TACTGGGATCGAGCCTCAAGCTAAGAGGCTATGGTTTCCCAGGGCAGAAAAGCTCACACATCAGAGCTGAGGCACCGGCCCGAAGCGGGAGACATTATGTCACTGTGTTACAGATGTCTTTCTGCCTATTTTTCTCTCTGCATAATAAGATGCTTTTGTAAAAGCTTTTTGAATGCAGAGAAAATTTTAAAACTTACATTTCTGATACTAAGCATATTTCGTGTTTTGTTTGTTTGTTTTTGTTTTTGAAGACGGGGTCTTGCTGCGCTAGGCTTGAGCTCACTTTGGGGCCCAGGCTGGTCTCAAACTCGAAATGATGCTCCTGCCTCAGCCTCCCGAGTGCTGGGATTACAGACTCCACTAAGCGTATTTCTCACACTGTCCAAGGGTGAGCCCGGGACACACTGCTGCTGCCCTGCTCAGAGAGAATCAGACTCCCGCAGCCCTGACACTGTGGTGCCAGCCAGGAAGGAACGTTCTCCTCCTTCCAGGCCCCCGACAGCGATGGCTGAAGGACGCCTCTGCGGGTCTCTGACAATGACGGGTTCTTCCCCTGGGCTGTCACAGCAACCTCACCTCGCTGCAAGAGTGACTTCTGCCTTGCACTTAACGGCAGAGACCCGCAGCCGACCGAGGGATATGACGTCATCTGCCTCCAGCGCTTCTTTCTGGACACAGTGTACAGTCACTCATGCCACTGCCTTCTCCACGAGTTAATAAACTCCGCTGGGCCCTGGGCCGAGGCCTTTGTTCCGGTGAACCACTGTCATGGCTGGACTTGGGACCCCTGGCTCCCCATCACCATAAATACGTCCTTACTCTCACCTCGGGCCGCACTGGAAGTGGCGGACTGGAGTGAACTGGAGTTCCCAGGAACTTTTCTGTGGGATTACAAACACCCACTTCCTGGACTGAGGTGGAGCCCGGGAAGGGCTCTCTGCACACCGTATTCAGAGAACTCAAGCCTTCCACCAGCTCCGCTTCCCATTCAGCACATCGGCCAGGCCAGGGGAGAAACGGAGGGGCGCCTGGCACTTCAGGGACAGGGAGACGGGAGGCAGCCTGGCCAGCGGACTGGACTCCACAGCCTCGTGGCCTCCTCAGGTTGCTCCGTCCTCTTCCCTGGACTTCTGTAAAGCCTTGGCAGGGATGCCAGCAACCCACCCGGTGATGGCAGTGAGCCGTTTGGAAAGTACCCGGCATCTCAGGCACTAAGCAAGTGCTCCCTGCGTTCTCCACCCCAGGACCTGGCTTTCCGGGCCAGCGGTGCACCGAGGAGGGCAGCAGTGGCTGGCAGCTGTCAGGACACCAGCGGTGGCAGGGGGAGGGAGGGCAACAGCACTCTGACATTGTCTTCTTTTGTTTTGTTTTGCTGAACCCAGGGCCTTCGCACTGAGCTACATCCCCTGCCCTTTAAAAGAAAAAAAAAAATTTTTTTTTGTCTTTTTTTTCATTTTTATCGGTACCAGGGATCGAACTCACGACTGCCTGCTTGCAAGGCAGGCGCTTATGCCGCTGAGCTAAATCCCCAGCCCCTAAAAGAAAAAATTTATTTTTAATTCTGTGATAGGATCTAAGTCGCCAAAGGCCTGGCTTGAACTGTGATCCTCCTGCCTCGGCCTCCCCAGTGCTAGGATTTCCAAGTGACAATGGCAGCGTCCCGGATGGCACCTGCAGCGGGCTGGGCGGGGCGGCGGGGTCCGGTCGAAGCGGGTGGGCAGGGCAGGGCAGGGCAGGGCAGGGCCGCGCCTCACCGATCTCCACCTCCACCTCCTCGGGCACCGTGGTGCGGTAGAAGAAGATGGCAGAGGCGCCCTCCTCGTCGCTCCGGCGGTTGAGGAAGTGCAGGATGAGGTCCTCCGCCTCGCCCTCGTCGCGGGCCAGCAGCTCCTCGAAGAGCTGGGGGTCGGAGAGGCCGAAGGCGGCGTACACGCGGTCGCGCATCCACAGCACCCGCAGGTCGTCCATGGCGCCGCGCAGAGCCGAAGAGCAGGGGCCCGGCGGGCGTCCTTGGCAACGGCGGCGGCCCTAGCAACGGGAGCCCGGACAACGGCCGGCACCGGTCGCAGCCCTGCTAGGTTCAAGCTTGACGGGCTTTGTGACCCTCGCAAGCCGCCATGCGCGGCTGCTGGACCACTTTGCAGGTAAGCAGCGACCTCGAGGGGCGGTGCCAGGCCAGGAAGGGGTGTGCCAGGGCGAGGTCAGAGGTCACAGCCCTAGGCCAAGCAGGCCCTGCGTGATGGGGTGGGGGGTGGCAGGGTGCCCGGGATTAGGGAGCAAGGGCGGGGTACTTTGGTTTTCCACCAGGACCACGACACAAGAAAGCACAGCACAAAAGTCTTAAAAATATAGGTATATTTATTTGTCATTAGCAAAAGGAGTCCAACACTGATAGGAAGATGCAGACTTGTCTTTAATGCATGGTAGAGCAAAACACTGCCTGGCTGCCGTCTTCCACGCAGGCAGGTGTCCACCCCTCTGCTACTAAGCTCCCCGTTCTGAGCATTTGGTAAAAGCCTGAGGGAAACTGAAAGCTCTTGACAACCCCTCATCTCCATCCTCTGGATTAACATGTAGAATACCCCATGGGGTGGCCAGGTGCCAGTGAGCAGCCTGTCCTGAACTTTAAAGGTATTGTAGCATCATCCACGCGGAGCTCGAGGAGGTCCGAACTTCTACTCATCAGCGCCTCGACTGCAGAGTGGCCACAGAAACCACACCAGTGCTGGACACTCCCAGTCGGGCGCAGTGGTGTGCCCAGAGGTGAGGTTTGCCTGGGCGACCCAGGAGGTCCTGCCTCAAAGTGAAGCCATCCACAAGTGAGAGTGGAGCGCATTTGGCGGGCATGAACCCTGTCCAAGGCCGGAAGGTCCCAGGGCAGCTGAAGTGACAACAGCGCGTCCTGCAGCGCCTTCTGCCTGCACAGGATGGGGTGGGCTCTGCTCCAACTTGGGGCGCTACACGCACCTCAGGGTACCCGACTGGCCTGACAGATATGGCTTCCTTGGCTCTGACGTCACACTGCAGCCCCTCCTGGCGTTGAAGGGTGCCATCAGGCAGCCTCACAAATGTGGTGCAAGGCAGAGCCTAACACTAGTGTAAACAGTGATTTGGGACAATCATGTAGTAAAGTAAAAGGTGCCCCGGAGCAGAGAACATGCCCTGATGAACAATTTCCAGAGTCCTTTCATGAATTCAGCTCATTCATTTTTCTAGAATTACATTCTACATGACTGCTGTATACTTAAATTGAAAAGTGGAGCTGGGCGAGGTGGTCCATGCCTGTCATCCCAGCACTACGGAGGCTGAGGCAGGAGGATCACCATGAGTTCAAGCCCAGCTTGGGCTACAAAGTGAGATCGTGTCTCAAAAAAAAAAAAAAGGTTCAGCCTTCACTCTTGGCACTTCACCCCATTCCAGGTCTTCAATGGAATACAAGCGGCCTCCTTCATGGGTCCAGAGGGCGCACGAGAGCCCAGCCAGAGCATCTGCCCCACTACTAATCCGCAGCAGCGCATGAAGTCCTGGCTTCCTAGGGACACGAGTAGCCACTGTCGCTGCCACAGATTCCTGCATTACAGTAACGAGGGGGACAAGTGTGGGGACAGAGCTGCAGGTGACGTGCAAGGAAGGGGTGTCAGGGCACCTCTGAGGACACGGTTCTCGGAGCTTCCCCCACATCATGGTCTGCTTGTGAGCGAGCATGAAGGAGGGCAGCAGTGCTCAGCAGCTGCAGCCTGCACCCCGAGGGTCACAGCCGTGGCACGGGCTGCCCAGCTCCTGTCCCTCAGCACACAGGGACGGGGAGGCTGCCTCAGCTCCCTCGCGTGCGGGTGTGGTGCCCCCAGGCCATTGCTCCCGACCTGAGTGGAACAAGAGGGGCAGGCCCACGACATACCAGCTTCTCTGAGAACACAGCTGACCTCAGCTTGCACAGTGATCTGACAGTGACAGACATGTGACACACGGACATGACTGACAAGACGGACTGGACCGAGATGTTCAACAGGACCGACTCAACCCGGGCGCCATCGGATGTCAAGGAAATGGTAAGTTTAAGTCTAACTTTATAAATACCAATGGCTGCGTAAGAATTCATTCTCACCTGATCTAAACAGCATTTCAAAGTTTAAATGAACTCTAACGCCCTTTATCAGACTTCTGTTTAGAATTAATCTAAAAGTAAAAAAATCACACTGTTCTCAAGGGTAAGTGCAATCTTCATGGTGAAATCCCTGAATTCATATTGTCTATAAACATATACAAACGCTACTTTCGTCCTTCTGTCTGTCGTCAGTTCAGGGATACAGCCAAGGTGAAGCCCAAGCTCAGATCAGACCTACATTTCATCTTCTGCAGTCATGCCCGGGGTTACGGCTCAGGATACAGCTTATTATTCCAAATGGACAATTTTCAAAATTGGTTTTATGTAAAGATAACAGTCTTTTAAAAAAATATACAAGTGGGAAAACCATTTACTGAACGGTATTTTATCCCACTTTCTCCAATTATTAAAACAAAACTGTAGAGATAATTCCCTACATGTAATTCTAGATAGCATATAATAAAAATAGTTTGTATATTTTATTCAAGCAGAATAAATGAATCTTTTGAGTATCTGTCACTCAATTAAAAAAAATGTTGCTTTCGTTTCAGCTGCTGGGAAATGTTATCTGACAACTTTGGGTGACAGAATAATTCTTTGTATTTTTTAATGAAGTCAAAAAGGAATCGAGTATCTGAGACCATTTTCAATTAGCCTTTCAAAACTGGCTTCTTGTCTCCAGTCCTCTGTCTTTAGAAATAACTTTAACATGACCTTTTTTTTTTTGTCTTTTTTATCGGTACCAGGGATCGAACTCACTACTGCCTGCTTGCAAGGCAGGCGCGTATGCCGCTGAGCATTAACTCCCCAGCCCCTGACTTTAACATGACCTTTAGCATTAACTTATCCTGTGTCCGTAATAAAAAGCAAAAGAAATTTAAGTGTCTGAAACTGGTAAAGTTTACAAAGTCTTTAACATGAGGAAGAGGTATATCCTACAGAATCATTTGGTTATATTGTAAGGCAATCAATGGAGACAGAACTGTTCCTATCGTGAACTGACGTGGCTGAAATTCTCGACATGATAATTCTCCATGACTCTGCACGCTGGCGGGGACAACAGGAGGACGTCACATTGCACCGTTGTCGTCGCTGAACTTGGACGAAAGCAGCAGACTGAACGAGAAAGGAACAAACTTGGTGCCTGCGCCAACGTAGAATTTGTTCTGAAACTCTACCCTACAAAACACAGTGCAGAAAGACCACCAATCAGGGAAGACTGAACAGCACCCTGCGTTTCTGAAGACAACATTAACATTTTTTTTTTTTTTTGTCTTTTTCATTTTTATCAGTACCGGAGATTGAACTCACGACCGCCTGCTTGCAAGGCAGGCGCTTATGCCGCTGAGCTAAATCCCCAGCCCCAACATTAACAATTTTTGAAAACCCAGGTCTGTGCCTGTTGCTCCGTGGTGCGTGCTCTCCTGGTGCGATGGAGTGTTCCTCAGCTAAGCGCCCCTGTCCCCAGCCAGGCGGTTTCCAGCCAGGTGACAGAAAGGCCAGCAGACACCACCTGCATACTACACACCCTAAATTTAATGGTGAAATCTAGGGAGCAGGAGGCCTCTGCCCGCTGAGGTCACTGCACACACAGGAGTGGCCAGATGTAGGGACTGTGACCCTGAAAGTATGTGGGAGGCCAATATGGGCTCTTTCTAAGCGCCTGTCCCTCCCTAGCCCTGGGCACCCATGGGTGGGGCTTCCTCAAGGCCTCTGGGTGACGGGCATAGATCTGAGCTGCTGGCAGGAAGGGGCCTGGTCATATCCCTCCCTCTTCCCTGCCATGCCCATGCCCATGCCCATGCCTTAGAGCCAGCTGCTAATGGACCAAAGCCTACAGATTGTGAGCTGAAATAAACCTCTCCTTTACTCTAAACAGGGATGCACACACAAAAGCCATGAAACAGATGGGTGGGGTGGTACAAACCTATAATCCCAGCACTCAGGAGGCTGAGGCAGGAGAATCACCATGAGTTCAAGGCCAGCCTGGGCTACATAGCAAGACCTTGTTTCAGTTTTTTTGTTTGTTTGTTTTTTGGTCCTTTCAGGCTGGTCTTGAACTCACAATGATTCTCCTGCCTCAGCATCCCAAGGGCTGGGATTATAGACATGCACCATGCCTGGCTTTAAAAAATATTTTTTAAAAAAGGGCACAGAACATGTATTCTACAAGCATCAGCTTGCTTTTCCTTGGCAGTACAAATTTCAGTTTAATCAGAGAGTTTGAATACAGATGCCACAATAGCATGGCTTAGCCTAGAATGTCCCCCAAGTGGCTCATGTGTGCAGAGGCTTTTAGAAGCTTTTAGAAGGTGACAGGGTTACAGGAGGTAGACTCCTGGAAGGTAGACTCCTGCGCCTCCTTCCCCACCCCGCTGCTCTGCTTCCTGGCCACTGTGAGGGGAGTAGCACTCCTCCACCAGCCCTCCCACCACGCTGCTCCCGGACTGAGCCTTCTGAACCCGGGAACCAGAGGAAACCTCTGTTTCGAGGCCAAGCTTCCCACTCACCAGTGGAGGCGGATGGCGTGGAGAAAAGCAGAAAGCCCTTCCATGACCAGCAGGATGAAAACGGTGAGAACTGTGAAGACGGCGATGACCAGGAAGAGCAGCAGGACCCCGAGGGTGGTGTCCACGCGGAGCCCCACACGCATTACCATGGCCCACAGTACATCAGACAGCTCTGCAAGGCAAGGCCGGGAGGTCACTTTCTGTCCAAGCAGCAACACCACTTCCTATTAGTCTCAATGCGCAAGGAACACAAAAATAAAAAACCGATTCTTACAGTGTTGGTAGCGTGGAATATTTTTTTTTTTATGGTACTGGGATCGAACTCACGACGGCGCACTTGCCGCCAAGCTAAATCCCTGGCCCTTGTAGCGTGGAGTCTTAAAAGTGTTTTCTTTCCCAATTTTTTTTTTAAAGAAAAGACTGGCCACTTCTCCTGGCCACTCCCCATTTCCTCTTGGCTGGCGACAGCCCTGCAGCACTGCCTATGCTTGCGAACTGTGCCGCAGGTTCGCAGACCTGGCACAAGTGTAGCTGTTGGTGCAGGCACCAGGCACTGGAAGGAAGCCACAGCTCGTGGACCGCACGTGCCCGCCGCTTCGGTTCCCTTTGGCTAGAGCTGCGTGAGCTCCCCGCAGGCAACTTACGCGCGTGGGCTAGGCTGAGCGCCCAGAGCCGCAGGTAGGACGCGGTGTTAGAGACGCAGCCCAGGCAGTACTCGATGGAGTGGATCGCCTGCGTCATCAGGATCTCTCCGAAATTGAACTGGGAAGGAGGGAAGTCACACACGTGTCACACATGCTGTCTGCACTGTGTCCACCTCAAAGCCTACCGGGGGGCCCACAAGAAGAACTGCCTTCTGGGATAGGGGGGTGAGGACAGCGTGGCTGACCAGCCCGGGCCACAAGTGTGGCCCTCCCAGGCTCAGTTTCCCCTAAGGTGAACTGAGGGCGCCCAACTAGAGGATCCTGATGGTCCCAACAGCCACCCCTAGAGAGCTCAGTGAGATCCCCCGCAGCCCCCGCAGGCACCACATGTGCGGAGAGCGCAGCTGGCTCCCTGCTTCCCGGGCAGAGCCAGCAACGGAGAGCCCAGGAGGAGAGCGGAAGGAGTCCGTTAAGGTCTGGACCTCGAGTGTCCCCCAAGCTTCTCTGTCCTTGGAAGATGAGAGACCTCAAGCACCGTACTCGTCAGCAGATTCCCTCAGGGGTGAATGAGCTGTTGGGAGCTGGCCACGGGTGTGTGACCAGCAGGGAGCGCTTCTGTCCCCGGTCCCCCACCCCGCCTCTCTGCTTGCCAGCTGCCACGGGGTCCGCAGCTCTCCTCCACCAGCCCCTCCACCGAGCCTTTCAGCCTTGGAGCAAGCCAAGCATGGACTGAACCCACCGGAAACTGTGAGCTACCATCTCTCTCCTTGTGGAGTGGTGGATGCAGGTGCCGGATCCCGTGAAGGGAAAGTGACTAAGACAGGGTCCCTGGGGCAGCAAAACCCTAACCCTAACCCTAATCCCAAAGTGACTGTGTGTGGAGACAGAGCCTTTGAAGACGGGTCTCCGGGGCCCTGACCCTCAGCCTTGGTGACCTTCGGGAGAAGCACCTGCCCCAGGCTGCATGAGCCAGGAGTGGCTCTGGGGCCCCAAACCTACCAGACCCTGAGTGGGCCGCAGCACCCTGAGCCACGCGGGGACAGTGTAAGCCGTTGGTGCGTGGTATCGTTCCTGCAGCCCTGCCACGTTAAGATGGCAGTCATCGGGGAGTGATAAGCAAGTGACCCCACCAGGCCCATCGGGTGGCTCCCTGAGGTCCCTCCCTTGGGTCCCCCTGAGGGCAGGGTGCAGTGAGACACTTTCCCCTCTGGCTAAAGACTGAAGGGGGCCCAGGGCTGCCTGTGGCCCCAACATCATGGGGCCAACCAGCTTGGGGACAGAGAGCAAACCCGAGCACGGCCTCTTGGAACTGGAGATTCAGTCCACTCAGACGCAACCCAAGCCTGATACCAGCTCTCCTCTGTCCCGGGTGAGCCTGCTGATTCCGCTGTGACATCATGTGACCTGGGGGTTTCATTTCCGCCACTATGAAAAGCCTCTGAGTGCTATGGGAATCTTCCAAAAGCCACGTCCCTCACACTAACTTGCCGTGGTGACAGGCTCAATCCCAGTGCAGGAGGAAACGACAGGGCGGAGCCCCAAGCAGACCCACGCACAGTGACAGCAGCTGGTGATTATCCATGCTGGCCACCAGCAGAGGGACAGTTACCTCCTCGCACGTCACTTCTCTGCATCTGGCCTCCTGGTTACTTCCCTCCTCGATGTCCTGGTTCCCCAGCAAAGACACTTCCTCCTCGCTGTCTCTCCTCACGAGTGTGTAGCCGCTCTAGCGAATGAGAGAGCAAGGGGTCAGGGCCCCTTTCGGGGCACAAAACTCACGTGGGCTCGAGTACTGATTCAGCACCTTGAGAAAAAAAACTTCCTAGAGGCTGAATGCACTTGCTACCCTTAAGCAGGTGCCTAGGTGATGGGGAGAAGGGGCAGAGGTGGCCGTGGAAAGGGCTAAGAAAGGGCACTGGCAGGAGGGGAGGATGGTGCAGCACTGTGTGGCACTGGGTGATGACACATGGCATGACCGTGACCCAGCACCCGCACTTCCGGTGTACCCCCAAAGCAGTGGAAGCAGAGACTCCAGAGCTATTTATGCAGCAGAGCCACAGCAGCGTCACTTATGGGGGCCAAAAGGTACGACAGCACAAGTGTCCGTGGATGCATGCACAGAGGAACATACGCACAGGCCCCAAGGCCTCCTGTACCCACGGAAGGGACCTGGGGAGCCACTGGACCATGGCTGAGACAGTGGCTTAGTTTGCTGATGGGCTTAGCGTAGTCCTGCATGTGGATGCTGGGAAGGCCCACCCGGGTTGGGTGGCACCACCGAGTGGGCTGTGGCCTGGGTGGGACCAAAGGGACGGAAGGCTCCATGCTGCTGCCGCTTCCTGCCCACCCTGCCCCTGCCTGGAGCCGGCCAACTGCGGCCTGAAGCTGTGAGCCAAATGGACCTCCCTCCGCTAACTTGTGGGTGTCGGGTGTTCTGTCCCAGTGATGAGGAAGTAACTGCGACAGTGGCACAGCCATCCAGTGGAATATTAAATATTCTTCAAAAGGAAACTTGAATTCATATGCTAGAACACCGACGGAGCTTGAGGAAATTACAGTAAATAAAACAAGCTCGACATAGAAGGACAAATACATGATTCTGGCAGGCGCAGTGCCACAGTCTAGAATCTGTTACTGAGCCTCAGGTGGGAGGATTGCAGGTTTGAGGCCAGCCTGGGAAAGTTAGCAAGACCTTGTCTCAAATTAAGTAAATAAAAAAGTGGGGCTCAGTTGTAGAGGGCCCTGGGGTTCAATCTCAAGTACTCTTTTAAAGAAAAGTCAGGTATGGTGGTGCACGCCTGTGATCCTAGCTCTTGGGAGGCTGAGGCAGGAGGATCACCCCATGTTAAAGGCTCGCTTTGGCCATGTAGTAAGTTCAGTGCTGCCAGACTAGACTACACTGGGGGACCCCATCTCAAAAAACCAAAACAGAAAAGCAGATCTGCCTCACGCCACACAGCTAGGCCACACTTACCCGGCTCACCCCGAAACAGCCACGCCCATGATGCAGCCACAGCAGGAAGAGCGGTTTCCCCAAGAAGAGGATGGGCACGGACAGCACGGTGATGGCCAGCAGCACTCTCTGGACGTACGCCTGTGGAGCACAGGAGACCAGGAGCCCTCAGCAGCAGCCTCAGGACACCTGGTCACATTGGCTGAGGCTAGACAGGCCTCTGGGCAGGCAGCACCAGGGACGGCTATGCTGGCCGCATGGGCCAGGAAGATGCCCACTCTTCCCCAAACTCAAGACTCGACACCAGGCCTGATGAGCAGAGCGAATGACGCAGAGACCACGTGCTACTCTGACTGTTATGGGGACTGAACTCCAGGTAACGGTTCTCTGGAAATGCTACACACACACACACACACACACACACACACACAGCCATGGGGCGTGGGTGAAAATATGCTGGGCACTATGTGTCACCCTCCGGCCACCACTTGGGAGAACAAGCTTTCAGGGTCGCAGTGCTGCCCACGTCGGAGGTTTTACTGTCCCTGCACCTCCTGAATGGCCCAAGAGGCGGGAGACACAGCAGAACACCGGGGGAGCCCTGGGCCGCAGGGTCAGGCGGACCCTGGTTCAGATCCTGCCCTGCCAGCTGCTGCTCACTGGTCTCCCTGGGCTACAGGCTTCGATCAGACAATGGAGGCCACCACCTACCCCAAAGAAGGGGCAGGGAACGCGCACTGCAGGCACACAGCCGGCACTGGAGAGAGGCAGCCCCTGCGCTGATCTTCCTGATCACGGTGCCTGAGCCCCACTGACGCAGTTCATCTGTACCTGCATCCTTCTAAATGTCCCATGAAACAATGACCATTCTGTCAGGTCATGAACGAGAGAAACAGAAATAAAAGCAGAAACCCAAAACATTCAAAAAGAATTGTACAAGCTGGGTATGGTGGTGCACACCTGTGACCCAGCCACACAGGAGGCTGAGGCAGGAGGATCACGAGACCAAGCCCAGCCTGGGCAACTTGGTGAGAACCTGTCTCAGAGTCAGACAGAGAGGTCTGGGGATGTAGCTGCCCAGGTTTCCTCTGCACTCCTGGAGGGAAGGGAGGGAAGCTCGTAAACCAAACCGGAAGTCCACAAGCTGAGGCAGGGTCCAGCAGCCGAGGGAGGGTGCACGAGGACCCCAGACTGAGAGCAAAGCCACCCTGGGAGGAGCCCAGGAAGCACACAGTGTGAGTCACGGTGGCCAGGTACAGGCCACACCCAAGAGACCTGCTGCCTACTACGCCGAGCAGCATGTTTTTACACTTTGCAATTGAGGAAACTGAGGCACAAAGAAAGGCAAAGCTGCACCTGGAGGAAGCAGCAGAGCTGGCTGTGTTCAGCCGGACAGTGAGCCCCGAGTGCCACCCACCCTACAGGCCGTGTGGCTCCGGGGAGGCCTTGGTGGCCAGGCCTGGGGACTGGGCAGCCCCAGGACCCTTCTCAGAATGCACTTCCCACCAGGCTGCCGGCCGCAGGGGCAGCGACTTAGCCATTCCTGGGGGTGGGAAGGGGTGTGCGGAGCACCCGACTCGGCCTGCTGACGCGAAGCGGAGGCGGGCTCACCTGGCCCGGGTAGAGGCCACTGGCCTCATTGGCGGGGAACAGGAACATGTTGATGAAGTCGATGAGGATGCTGGGCGCCTCCCTGGAGGTGGCGGCCGAGTACGCCAGCCACTTGTAGATGATCATGAAGATGAGGTACCCGAAGATGCACAGCATGAAGAGCAGCTCAGGGATGGACACCAGGTAGATGTTGAACTTCTTCCGAAAGTGCCTGAGGAGACGAGAGCCGGTGAGGAGTGGGGCATGGTGTGAGGGCACGGTTAGCCTGAATCCTGGGGCCAGAGCCACACGGGCCACCTCGGGGTCACCGTGTGTGTCTGGAGGCTCTGTGCCCGTGCTCGAGCTTGGTCTGCAGGGACAGAGATGAGGGCGGCAGAGATGACGATGTCTGCGTGGTCAGAGCCTGCCCAGGCCTTCTCCTTCGCGCCTTTTCTCTTTCTGAGACAGGGTCTCGCCATGCAGTTCAGGCTGGCCCTGTACTCGCTTTGGAGTCCGGGCTGCCTTGAACTCGTGGGGCCTGCCTCTGCCTCCCTAGTACTGGGATCACAGGTGTGTGCCACTGTACCAGGCCAACTCCTTGTGACTTTATTGGGTGCCACAAGTTACTGATGACTCTAGCTTCAGGAAGTTCGATCTTAAGTCATGTAACAGTGATTTTTCAGGATTCCAATTATGCTACAACTTAAAGCTGTATTAATTACACAAAGTATGGCTACAAGATAATGATGGATTGGTCTGGTTAAAAAAAAAGGTACAGCTGGGGATTTAGCTGAGTGGCATAAGCGCCTGCCTTGCAAGCACTAGATCATGAGTTCAATCCCTGGTCCCAGAAAAAACAAAAAAGGAGTATTATAAAACCCACTTCCAGAAGTAACTACGGTTTCCCACAGTGCCTATCTCCCTGTTGGCACAGAAGCTCCATGAGGTGAGTCCAGGTTGCATGACGAAATCCCAGACCAATGAGCACAGCACACAGCCCGTTGTGACTGGGCCATTCTGTGAGGGGCCAGGCTTGGTACAGAACAGAGCTCTCAAGCCAACGTGTACTTACATGTGGTTAAATATTCCCAGGATGACGCCGAAAGTCATGTGAGTAATCCCTAAAATCACAGACATCTTCATTTTGAAAGAATTTAGGAAGGTGAGGCGGTTTGTGGCCAAGTTCCAGATCTAAGACCAAACAAAAGGATGCAAAGGGTTTAATGCCTGTGCACAGCAACCCTGGAGGAAGCTGCCGTCCTGTGCCTGGCCTGGTGCTGTCTCGGAGGCCACCACACTGCAGCTTGGGTCACTGCTCCCCCAGATACCCCCCAGGCCAGGCTAGGCCCAGAGCATCCACGAAAACACAGCCCTGAAATCTCCATGTAGAAGGTGCTGTGGCCAGGGGCCCGAGGGGCCCACTCTGTCCACCCTGCCCCGCACTCTCCATTCTGGAAATCCCTCTCGTGCACCCCTGGGCCAGACTCTGCCCCTGCCGTGTCCATTCAGGGCTGTCCGCACAGCAGCCTGCCGCCCTCGAGCTCCTCTGGTTTTGCTTTTGTGTGCATCCTGGGGCTGAACCCTGAGCCTTCACGCTGAACTGCACTCTCCACCCTTTTATTTCTGGACAGGATCTCATGACTTTGCTGAATTCTCCAGGGTGGACTCAAACTTGTGATCCTTCTGCCTCAGGCTCATAGAGTGCTGAGATCCCAAGTATGCACCAGCACGCCTAGTTTCTTCCGTTTTTGAAAATAATGATTCTTTTTAAGTAAAAGCAAGATTTTAGGAGAATTTAAGGCTGGGAACTAGAGGGAAGAAGTGGGGACCATCAGCCTAACTGATTTAGATAAAGGAGACACGGCAGAGCGGCCTACACTGTGGAGCTGCAGCATCCCAGAGGCATGGAAAGTCAACCCACAAATGCTGAGGCTGAGGCAGAACCACCTCTTGGTGGGAGTGCAGAACACAGCTGACCTGCTCTGTGGCCTCCAGAGCAGCACGGCAGGGGTCGCCCCAGACCGTGACCTGGCCTCCCCCGAGGCCCCACAACCTCACACAAGCTTTCCTCCTGGTTCCCTTATGGATTAGCAGGGCCTCCGGCTGCAAAGTGCTCTCCTTACAGACATTGCTGTAAACGTTTTCAAGTTTCCCATTGCATGAAGTCTTATGAGTGCCAACTGGTCACACACACTGTCTGGACGTGAGTCAAATGGATCGGGGCACACTTCGACACCTGGCTCCTGGCAGAGCCACACTGCTTTCCGTTCTGTGTGTCTGTTTGTTCCTCACTGTATTTATATAAGGACAGCCACAGTGTCCCAGAGCAAGGCTGAGCCTATCCCAAATCTGCTACACCTCCTGAAATCCTGGGTACTCAGCAGGCTGAGGCAGGAGGACTGCACGGTGGAGGCTGGTCTGGGAACTTGCTTCAAAATGAAAAAAGCCAATGAAAAGGGCTGGAGCAGGGCTGGCACGCAGTGGGAGCCGCCTGCCCAGTGCATGTGAGGTCCTGGGTCAAACTCCCTCCACGAGGAAAGAGCCAAGCCTGGAGGTGGCTCTGGGGCAGAGGGTTTGCCAGGCTTCAGCCCCAGCCCAGCTAGAAGCAGTGACCTCCTGGGGAAGCTCGGGGGCCTGCTTGAGCCTTTCTCATCCAAGCCAGTATGCCCGGACCCCGTGGGTGGGGAGAGGGGACCACGGCACCTGGGGCCACTTCAGCCTCCCATGAGCACCCCTGGTCCACAGCCTCCCTGGGAGCAGCACATGGGGACCTGCAGCTCCCTCCGTGGCTGTGCCCTGCACGTCTTTCTAGGTTACTCAGAGACACTCGGCACTGGCAGTGTCACATTCACTTAGGACAGGCAGGAAGCAGGGCAGAAGGACTCCGGCTCCCTGCATCCTCGTGGGCCCTGACCCGGATCCCAGCCCTGGAGCCCCCAGACATGGACCAGACCACGGGCTGTGCACGCTCACACACACGGGGCACACACATGGGGGATGGATGTGCTGCTGTGCACATGCACACGGAGCAACCCCCACCCCAACCCTGAACGGGGTCACATGGCCTGGCAGGTACAGGGCCAGGGAGCTGCGCCGAGGGCGGGGCACTCACAGGGTCGATCCCGAAGGGGTAAGGGCCCCGGAACACGCCGGGGACACTGGGGTCAAGCTGCAGAACCCGGCTGTGCCGCACAGTGCTGGCGCTGGAAGGGAAGGCAGAGGCGGTCACACGGCGCAGGGTCAGCAGGCGAGGCGCCCGCCCAGCCGCCCGGCGCTCACTTCCAGAGCGCCAGCCCGCTGCGCTCCTCCGAGGCGGGGCCGGCACTGTACATGGCCGACACGTTCCAGCCTGAGCCGAAGAGGTTCACCGACTTGGAGAAGCAGTCGTTGTAGATGAGGCCCGTGTACACCGAGAACAGGCCCATGAGCAGCAGGATGTAGCGGCCGTTGAAGAACATCCGCAGGATCTGGGGGGTGGGCGGGCAGTCAGTTCAGCTCGGCCCGGCTTAGCCCACACCGGGGAGGCTGAGGCAGGAGGGTCGCCGAGGGGGGAGGCCGCCGGGCTGTGCAGGGAGGCGCCCCAGCGCCTGTACCTCCTGGGACTGGGTCAGGCGGGGGTGGTCCTCCTTCAGCACTAGCAGGAGGGCGAACAGGAACATCACGAAGCCGTGGCCGAAGTCTCCAAACATCACCGCGAACAGGAACGGGAAGGTGATGATGGTGAAGAGGGCTGCAGGAGGGCGGCAGGGAGGGCAGGTCTCACTCTGCGCAGGTGGCCTCGGGGTCCCCAGCCCCCGGGGCGGCGCGCACCTGGGTTCACCTCGCGGTAGCTGCCCACGCCGTAGGCGTCCACGATGCTCTGGAAGCCCTCAGTGAAGCGGTTGGTGCGGATGAGCGTGGGCGGCGTCTCCTTGGTGGAGATGGTGTTCAGGAAGGACGGCATCGCCGCCCCGCTCTCCCGCTGCCATGGAGACGGGGACAGTGAGGGGGAGGTCAGGGGACAGGAGCAGGGCGGAGGGGGAGGGGAAGGGGAAGGGCAGGCTGGGTCCCCACAATCAGGCGGGGTGAGTGGGGACCCGCGGTCAGCAATGTGACATGAGGCCGAGATGTCAGGGGTGGGGGGCCATGGCCGAGGTCGCCTATCTTAGTCAAAAAGGAGGCAGCGGTGTGGCCCAAACGGCCAGCAGGTTCTACAAGGCCGGGGTCATCGGGCCTGGCACTGACACCCTAGAAACCACCCACATGCTGGGGCCGCCTGTGGCGCTCAGAGACTCCCCAGACAGAGGGGGTGGGGCTACAGGAAGTGGAAAGGGCGGGATGGGGGCACGCAGCCCCCAGCTTTCTGGTCGGAAAAAAAGGAAGGGGAAAGAGTATCTGTTCACATCTGCTTCTCTGTGGCCACATTACCCCAGCATAAAACAGAACCACCACAACGCTGCCTCTCAGGGAGGGACTACAGAAGCCACATCCCAGCTCTCCAAGAGCAGCTCGAAAGGCACAGAGCCAGCCAGGGTGGTGCACTCCCACCATCCCAGCACTCCGGGAGGCTGAGGCAGGAGGGCTGCAAATTCAAGTGCAGCCTCAGTGACTGGACAATTTAGCAAGACCCTGTCTCAAAATAAAAAACACAAAGGGCTGGAGTTCCATGCAAAGGCACCGGGTTTAATCTTCCATTAAATCAAAAGCCCTGCCACGCAGGCTGAGGAGGACCAGCTTTCTAAAACTGCCCAGCGCCCTGGCTGCACCCTGCAACATTCCGTCTTCTCCGCCCTCCCGCGTCCGCCCTGGACGCCACTCGAGGGCCTCACCGAGCCTTCTTCCAGCGCGCGGCGCAGCTCGTGCAGGTCGGCCTCAGGACACCAGACCTCAGCGATGAGGCACTTGTTGGTGACGTCGAAGCTGCACATGTTGAGCGTGTGGTAGATGGCTTTCATCTTCCTCACCTGCACAGCGCGGCTGGACACGGACTCCGCGGCCTTGCACAGCACCTGCCTCAGGTAGTCCTCAGTCCTGTGCAGCACCTGGTGGAGGGGCCACTGCCACTCAAGGCCCTCCCACCAAGGGGGGTCCTTGGCTGAAATGGCCTGAACCCACCCACTGCCACCTGCCACTAGCACCCACCACACGCTGGGTGAGAGGCAGAGCCCCAGGGGGAGGAGGATGGGACAGCGGCCACTCACAGTGTAGAGGTCCTGGATGCGGGTGCTGAGTCCCTCCTGTATCTCCTTGCGCTCCTCGGCAGTGCTGGGGTAGGGGTACACGTGGCAGTGGTAACTGGAGGGCAGGGGGAGACAGGGCTGAGCCTGGGGACTAGGAGAGTGCCCACGCCAGCAGCAGAGACCTCTCACACAGGCCAAGAGGAGAGCGCAGCAGGGCCGGGGGGTCCTGCACACACACTGGACATGCATCTCGCACACGCTCCCGGGACCCAAGCCCCGTTCCTCCCCTGCCCCGAGACCCCCGGAAGCTCCTTCCCAGCTGTGGCATCCTCAAGAGTGCTAGCATCACCCTGCTGCTCAGGCTCCCTGCATCCTCACAGCCCTGGGACGGGGACTTCCCCTCGCCTCATGGGTGGGTGACCATGATGACCGCCACTGGCCACCTGAGCCCAGGAAAGCGGCATCAGGGGTGCTGAGCTGGGGCCCATGTGTCCCCTCCGGCAGGGCACGGAGGCTCCTAGGGCTGTGAAAGTCACAGGGAGCCCAGCAGCAAAGCTGAGCCTATCCTCGGCTGACCCCAAACCTTAGGTCCAGGGAAAAGGTCAAATCTGAGAATATTATTAACATGTCACTGTTTTTCTTTTTCTGTTTTTTTTTTTTTAATTTTGGGTCCCACTCAGTTGCCCAGCTGAGCTCAAACTTGCAGTCCTCCTGCCTCAGCCTCCCAGAGTCCTGGGATGACAGGAATGTGCCACAACACCCTACTGCCACTTTTAAATATTTTAAGTAATGCCCTGGTAAGTGACGACAAATTCAGTGTTTACCAGTTGGGCCTTTCAGGCCATGTGTGGTGGCATACATCTGTAAACCCAGCACTCGAAAGGCTGAGGCAAGAGGACCTCTGCAAAGTCAAAGCCAGCCTGAGTTACACAGTGACTGCCTCAAAAAAACAAAGAAAAGAAACAGAAGAACACAAGTGGAGGCAGCAGGCTCCGGGGGCCGAGGGCGAGGCGGAGAGCAGGGTTCAGTAAGGAGGACAACCAGGCGGGGCGCGGCTCCTCACCAGTCGCAGATCTTCTTCACCTTCTGGCCAATCTGCTCTCCCCAAAAGGAGATCAGGAACACGTACCACTTTATGATCTCCCCCTGCCAGGAGAGAGCGTCACCAGTTCATGCCTGTGATTTCTTTTCTATTTTGCTTTGTGCTTTCTGAGCCAGGGGATTCAGGCTGGCCTTGAATCCCCACTCCTCCTGCCTCAGCCTCCTGGGCTGGGATTACAGGCCTGTGCCGCCCGTCCAGCTCATGGTGACTTTAAAGGAACCTAACTCCAGTAAGGAGAACCAGGTACATTCACAACTATTCACCAAAGCAGAGTCCATGAAGTCTGAGCCGGGGAACGGGGCTGCAAAGGGTTCGCCCAGTGCACCTAAGGCCAGCGCCTAACACCACAGCCGTGAAAACCAAAGTTAGCTTTTCCTCACTCCTCGAGGGGCCAGCAGGGCCCAAGCACAGCAGCACAGGGACAAACCTCTGCCTCAGGGGGTGGAGACTTCTGTTCACTCTGAGGGAGGGAGGGAGGGAGGCAGCATGGGAATGCCATGTGTGCCAGGAGGATGAGCCACGTGACCAAACAGGGCTGAACCAGGCACAGTGGCATACAACTAGCAGCCCCACACTCTGGAAGCCAAGGCAGGAGGATCCTAAGTTCAGCCCCAGCCTGGGCAACTAAGTGACTCTGTGAGGCCCGGGCTCAAAATTAAAACTTTAAAAGGCTGCGCCTCAGTACAAAGGCCCTGGGTTCCATTCCCGTTGCCAGCAAGTAAATAAGATGACATGCGGTGGGGTTCGCATGCAAGGCCAGCATACCGCGTGCGGCAGCTGAAGCCTGGGGCCCACGTGCAGCCTGCAGGAGGCACTGACCGTTTCAGGGTCCTCCAGGGACTCGTCCAGCTCCGCGTAGGTCACGATCGTGTACCCTTTGCAGACACGCCACAGCATCCTCTCGAACGCTTCCACCTTGCCTTGCTGAATGAGGCCGGACACAAACCTGCAAGGACAGCGGCTGTCAGCCAGAGCCACGTGCTCTACCATGCAGGGGCTGAGGGCACCAAGGCTGCCACTCTGGCATAGTAGGGAGGTCGGGCTAAAGCCCCCAGCTGCAAAGCGCCTCAAATGCCAGATAAAATCTTTGTGAAGTGTCCTCTGAAAAGTATAACCGAGGCCTGGCACAGTGGCACAAGCCTGTCACCCGAGCCACTCCAGAGGCTAAGGTGAGCCTGGGCAGCAGGGCAAGACCTTGTCTCAAAACACAATGTAACACAAATCAGGGCTGCAGATGGGGCTCAGTCAGAAAACCAGGGTTCAATGCCCAGCCCCGGAAAAATACAGTAAAAGGGGTGGCTGCTACTGACCCGTACTTCAGGGCCTGAAGTTTAATGCCAGTGCGGGGACAGTGACAGGCACCAGGCCAGATAACAGAGGGGACAGACCTGCATCCCCCTAGAGCTAGGACTCCACCATTAGCAAACGGGTGCACTGGACAAAGTCCACTCTGCAGCGCTACTGCAGGGAAACTCAGGTTTTGTTCCAGATGGAAGGAGAAGGTTGTAAACCCTGAGAATTTACAACCACAGATCAGAGTTGGTTGGGACTGTGCCTTAATCCCCATTACTGCCTATCTCAAAATCCAAACCAAAAAAAAAAAAAAAAAACCCAAACCAAACCCGTCATCACACTGAGACAGCAACGTGACTGGGCTGGGCTGGCAGCGTGCACCAGCTGTCCAGCGAACACAGTCGCCCACTGTCCCTGCAGGGAAACCCTCAGAGCCTCTTCGAAAGCCTTCTGGCAAGAACTGACCTAGGCACAGAAGTTCACAAATCATACAAGGGAACGAGTTACTGCCAGCCCAAGTCAGCCGAAAGAATAAACAGAGAGAGCTGCAGAAAGCTCCACTTCAAAAGGTTAATCCGCTTGCACATGACACCAGGAGTGACCTCATGGCACCTGGCTGGCAGCCACACAGCAGGGAGGTCGCAGCAGGCACAGGAGCCAGCATCCACTCAAGCGAGTGTCGCCTGCACCCACCCAGCAACCCTACAGCACGAGGACAGCCAAGATGGTATCCCCATCTTGGCACCTACCCCAGCTTTGCGCCCAGCCTCTGCATATAGCTGTAGTCCAACAAACACTCGTTCTCCAAGGAAGGGAATTCTTCGTAAGTGGGTTCGAACTAGGAAAAGACAACACCAGGTGTGTGTCACTCCACGTGACAACGTCTCACATCCTCTTTCCACGCAAGTTTACACAAGTAGCGTCAGGAACCACTCAGATCCGGGTGCAAAATGCCAGGCTAGGCGAGGTGTGCCACTCGGCCCTCACAGGCAAGAAGACAGTTTTCCACCCTTTACCTGTCAGCTGCTTGCGCGTCCACAAACTCAGTCAGGGCTTCGTACAGAAGCCGGCCGCCTGGCAGGGGCCAGTGACGAGACTGAGCGATCACAGGGCGGAGTGGGCAGGAGGGGTGGGGCACCAGAGCCCAACCTCGGGGTCCAAGCAGCCCTGATTCGAGGGAGCGGGGTCTACACAGATATTCCTGCACCTAGGAGACGCCGCCAACACCTACCACACCCCTGCTCCCAAGCACACCCCACGGCCTCTTCTTCATCCTCATAAATTACAGACTTTTTATGTTGCTATGTTTAACAATCCAGGAAAACGTAACTTTAGGGTTGGAATTCCCCTATTCCATTTTCCCTCATGATCATAAGAAGGGTTTTTTCAACTGCAAGCTAGAGCACCTTAGGAATGCACAGTATTGCTATGGCTCAGCCCCACAAGGCGGGGAAAGCCCCGCAATGCTCTTCTCAGCGTGGCACAGGCCGCAGACACAGCTCAGCGGTGCATCCCCTGCCTGGCAAGCTCGAGGTCCTGAGTTCAATTCCCGGTACCAAAGCAAAACAAAAAACCACAAAAGCAAAAAAGTCACATCAGTGTGGCACAATCCCACTGAAAAGCAGCTCGGAGGGAGCTCCTCACGCCCAGGAAGCATCACATCTCCACGGTTGAGAATACACCCGCAAGCTCTGGGCAGCAGGGTTTAGTAGAGCAGCGCGCCTGCCCCGCCCGCAATGGCCGCAGACCTCCATGTTCCGCTTCACGAAGGTCCTGGTCACCCTCAGCATGTGCGTGTACTCGATCAGCTCCAGCAGGTTCTTCCTCAGTTTCTCCTTGTTCTTGGTGACTTCCCGAAGTTCCACCTCCAGCTTCTGCAGCTGCTCCTGCGGTCAGACAGCAGTCATGGAGCAGCAGGGGCAGTGGGCTCGGTCACCAAGCCTGCCACCCAGCACTGAGGGACACTCAGGCGGACGCCCACAAGGCCAAGTCCAGCTTGAGGGACTAAGTGAGAATCTGTCTCAGATTTAAAAAGGTAAAAAAAGGGTAGGGAGGAGCGGGCTGGGGATGTAGCTCTGTGCAAAGGCCTTGAGTTCAATCCCCAGTATTACAAAACAAAACAAAAAGGAAGAAAGAAAATTACAGGGATCGCAGCAGTGTCCCTGCGCACATGGCTGGTAATCTCTTTATGGGTTACTGAAGCCAGCAGCATTTATAACACATAAAAAAACAGCATGTACGTAAGTTTGTGAAACGCTCCAGGGTTTGAAAGGCCATCGTCTAAGTCCTACACCACCGATGCCCTGCGAGGAGCTGTGAGCTGGGGACTGGGCCCCTCGTTTCTTCCCTGGTCCTGTATGTGCCTGCCCGCGCCCTTCTGCCCATTGACAGCGAACTTCTCAGAGCTTCCAGCGCTGCCCACAGCCCCCTGCAGCAAGCATGCCACAGACTCGTCCCCGGTGCCCTATGCTAAGGCTCTCTTTCCTTCAATCTGCGACACAGGAAAAAAATTGCCATCATCATCCCAAAGATACACTTTCCTGGTCTCCAGCTTGAGTTTCTGTGCATGTGTGGCTGACAGAATTATGTGGACACAAAAATTCTTGAGAACAAATCTTACCCGTATTTCGGCATTAAAACCAAAGACACATAGCACCTCTAAAGCAGACTGCAAATGCTGAACTGGACTCAAATGAGCTGCCTGACACTCCCCCCATCGCTGGGGCCCTGCCTGATAACGCTACGAACAGCAGTCGCTGTTTGCAATGGTATTGTAAGCAACCACTGGACGGGCCAAACCCACAGGCCACACTGGCAGTGACCTCCTCCCAGAAAGGCAAGAGAAGGGCCTTGGCTACACCACACTCACTGTTCAAAATGAGCGCTAAGTACCAGGCAGGGCAGAGCACACCTGCCATCCCAGCACTTGGGAGGCTGAGCCAGGAGGATTGCCATGAGTTCAAGGGCAGCCTGAACTATGTAGAAAGACTCTGTCTAAAAAAACCCAAACAATTAAAAAATAAGGAGCAATGGGGACTTGGCCATGTCACACAGAAATGAACTGTTAGAGGATCCGACAGGATCCTTCCTGGATGGTTCTCAGGGAAGCGCTGATGCGTGATGCCAGCCTGGGTCTCAGGAGGAAGGCACGCTGCCTGCCACCCTCATTGGCCTCTGACAACCACATGGCAGCGTCGGGTGGATCTGGGGAGGAGGCAAGTGCTGCAGCCAGGGGCTGCGGTCATCGCTACTAGGGGAGGTGCTGAGACACAGAGGAGCCCACAGTGCATGCAGCAGACTTGATGACCTGCTTCTCGCGGGCCTCTGCACACTAGCACCCGGGAGGGAGCCCAGAACTTACAGCCCTGAAGAGAATGGGCTGGGCCTGATGGCACAGGCCTGAGACCCCAGCACTCTGGGAGGCTGGGGCAAGAAGATCACACGCTCCAGTTCAGACTGGCACTTTAGCAACACAGAAGAAATGAAAAATGTGAAGGGCTGGAGATGTAGCTTGGCGCAAACACCTTTGGGTTCAATCCCCTGCACCACCAAAAAAAAAGGCTTCTTCAGGGTCAAGTTACCTGCATTTCTAGAACCTGCTTCAGAGGCGGCGCAAGAGGGCTGACCTCTCCCTCAGACAGGGGAATATCCGCCTTAGTGATTTCCTGTGCCAGGTACACTGAAAATAAGATGGAAGCAAATTAGGTACAAACAGCTACCGCAGCTGTAGTGGTACACCACAAGCATCCCAGCACTTGGGAGGCTGAGGCAGTAGGATCCCTGCAAGCTCAGGGCCAGGCTGGGCTATAGAGTGAGACCCTGTCTCACAAAACAAAGCAAAACAAAACCTAGCACATCGCGTTTCATCACAACATTCTAAAGCCTGATCTTTAAATACACAAAACCCCGCTTGTCCCAGCTGACTATGGGCCCCTTTTCATAACCCTGTCGTGAAGATCTGCACGGCTTCCTGGAGGGAGCCTAGAGAGACGGATGCAGAGGCAAAACAAACCATAACCTGCCTGAGCGTCCAGTGAGACTGCTCCAACTCTGTGCTGCCACAGTGGCATCCTCTGCCCTGCACACTGGAGCAGCATGCTGGGAACCTGCTTGCAAGTGTGGAAATAGCCTGAGTGATGCCCTGTCACTGTCCCCAGGAGCCGGCCATGTGGCTCCTCTGCAGTCCTTGGAAGAGCTGGCGTCCAGAACCACGCTGGGGCAGTGCTGAGGCCACTTGCACTGTTTAAACTGGAAATAGGACCCGGGAGCTGTCAGTTTAAATCTTCAATGGCACACACCTGTCACCCCAGCACTGTAGCAGGCTGAGGCAGGAGGATTGCTAGATCCAGCCCAACCTGGACAACTTTGAATTGCCCAGCTGCATAATGACGGCGGCCACTGCAAAGGACACGGAGACTCTCTGGTGTTTCCCTGAGCCGGGTCTCAATAAGGTGCTAGGTTGCCTCAGATGGGCTCAAACCTGTGACCCTCCTGCCCAGCCTCCCAAGTGCCTGGATAACACACATGCACCACCATACCCATCTCATGTTTTGTGTTTGGAGCAGGAAAGGTCACAGAGATGACACTGAGATCTGGAGAGAAGACTCAGCAGGCCAAGGAGGCAGAGGAGGCTGCACCTGAAGCTCACTCCCCAGCAGCGAGGAGACACTTAGACCTCTCCTCCCCCAGGCGCTCTGGACCCTTCTCAGTGGCAGAACTGAACTGAAAGCCTTAGATCAAACAGAGGAGAGAGCCTGCCGCCCAGCTGCACAAGTAAGAGACGGTGTAAACAGGAAAATACTACTACTGATAATAATAAAAATAAATTTTAAAAGGGGGCTACAGATGTAGCTCAGTGCAAAAGCCCAGGATTCAACTCCTAGTACTCCAAACAAACCAGAGTCCTTCTCTTGAGCCTAGAAATTACAATACCTGGGAGAGCCCTAACCAGCCACAATATTTTAGAAAATGAAGAAATGAAGGCTGGAGGGAGGCGAGCGTGTCGCCTATGATCTCAACACCTAGGAAGCTGAGGCAGGAGTGCCATGAGTTTGAGGCCAGTCTGGGCTACACAATAGGTGCAAAGCCATCCTGAATTACAGAGCAAGACCCTGTCTCAAAAGGGAAAAAGAGGGCCAGGCATGTAGTTCAGTGGCATAAGCACCTGCCGCAAGGTTGCAAGTTCAATCCCGGGTACAAAAAAACAAAAAAAAGCGAAAAAGAAAGCTGGAGAGAGAGAGAAGGATGCGAAAAAGTAACTCTGTATCACCAGCCTGAGAACCAAGGAAGCACTGGGTGTGCTGGGTGTGGTGGCGGATGCCTGTAATCCTAGTGCTTGGGAGGCTGAGGCAGGTGGCTCACTGTGAGTTTGATGCCAGTCTGGGTTACAAAGTGAGTTCAAGGCCAGTTTGAACTGCAGAGCAAGGCCCTGTCTCAAACCCTTAACCAAAAAAAGTACTGGGTTTAAGAGGTTTCTAGAAATAAATGCAAACCCAATTTGTTCCTAAATCGACAAGCGTTCCTTGTAAGCCTGCAACAGCTCACACCACAGGAAGCCTCAGCCGTGCTGGGGCCGCTCTGCCCCCCAACACAGGCCTGCAGCAGGCAGGAAAGTGGCGCCACACTAGGACAGCTATGTGCAGCTTATCAGGGTTCCGGGTGTCAGCAGGACACCGGCAGGTGGTTGAGTGGATGTGTCACTGTTCAAAATCCTCAAAACTAAAATCTCCAGCAGCACCAGGCTCTTAGAAATCAGTCCACAGCCACAAGCTCAGCCCAGGTCCTCAGGCGTCCTGCTACCCAGGCCTGGGAAGGAAATTCTGTTGTACCTGTCACTATTCCCTCCCTGGGTTACCCTGGATTCCAGTAGAGCCCAGAAAACTGAGACTGCTCCCAGCAGGAACAGCCACTCCCCAACCACATGGTCCCCTGGGGTGTCCACACCTTGAAGCCACTGGGACACCAGAACTGAGGGAGACCAGCAGGAGCCGCACCACCCCTGCTCGCCGGGCAGGTCCCTCCCTGGAGATCATCCGAACCTAGTGTGACAAACGCAGAGCAAGCTTCAGGGCGCACTGGCACTGCGGGACCTGGTCTGGTGGCAGCAGGGGGTCACTGGAACCAGCAGGGCAGTGTGGATTTCAAAAGCAAGGCTGCTTTCTTTTAGAGATAAGCAGCTTCCCCCAACTTCCTCCTGGCCAAGCACATAGCCAACACCCCCTCCACTCCTCACCCCAGTGAAGTGACAGAGAGGTGACAGGACAGGCAGACCCCGGGACTCAGCCCCAGGGGGCCGCAGCCCAAGTTCCCCTGCACTACAATGAAATCAGGACCCAGTGATAAGTGGGCACGGAAGAGGCCCGCACTGGCCGCCCAGCGAGGAGGGCTTTTTCTAGGATAAACGGCCTCCTCTGACTTGGTCAGCAGGGAGCGCATGGACCTACCAGCCGGTAGCAGTACCAAATAAAGCACCAGGCTGATGACAACATTAGCTGGCCATCATGTACACGACCCCTTCCCTCTCTAGAAGAATAACAGAAAGGATGAAAAACTGCGTACAAATGCCAGGCGCAGGGGTGCACACCTGTCTCCCCAGCACTGGGAAGCTGAGGCAGGTGGATCGCTATGAGTTGGAGAAGAGCCCAAGCATACCAAAACCTGCATATAGCATGGTACTGGGAATCGAACTCATGACCTCACGCTTGCCAGGCCACTGAGCTCTATTGCAGCCCTAAGTACACTACTGAATGGGAAGAATATAAACAGCTGCTTTTTTTCTTTCAGTTTACTAGAGTCTCTGACTTTTCTAAAATAAGGTTTGCCGAAACAGTAATAATGTACACATTATTAAAATGGAAAATAAACTTACCCAATATCCGTTCAAGTTCTTCACATCTCTTCACCTCACCAACAAATTTTCTTTGAAAAGAACTTACATTCTGGTTGAGCTGAGAAAAGGAGAAAAAAATTGCTTTACACTTTTATAATTAAAAATAGACGGACCGTTGCTTGTATCACTCACCTGGATCTCTGGTGCTGACGACTGAGTCCAGGCCCCACCTGCACCACGCTCGGGCCCCATGGCTGAGCACACTCCTCCTCCCAAATTTACCTCTACAAAGTCTCCCTGTGCAGCTCAGGCTGGCCTCAAACTCACAGCAATCCTGCCTCAGCCTCCTGAGTGCTGGGGCCACTGCTGTGTGCCACTATACTTGGCAAAATTTATTTGTAAAATAAAGTATCTTTGGCAAGGATTTGGGGGAAAGTACATTTTCATATGCTACTGAATGAGAAAGAAACTGTTCTGATTTCTGGACAAAGACTTGGCAACTGTTATTATCAAAGAACAAAAGCCTGAAAAATACTGATACGTCTTATAAAGAAATTTAACTTAAGGGAAAAAAAAACACAGATATGGATAAAAAGTTAAAGAATATCATTCTCTGGGGTAGAGAAAATTTATTAGCCCTAAATCCAACCATAGGAAAGGATTAAAGTATAGACATATCCATGCCATGGAACACTACTTAGCAATGAAAAGAGCCAGGCAACAGGAAGTGCCCAGAACAGCAAAGCCAGAGAGCTGACTGGCGGAAGCCCAGGGCTGGGAAGGAACGGGGTCACTCCGCTATAGAAATGGGCCCCTTATTAGGGTGGTGGAATAGTCTAGAATTGGACTGTAGTGATGGTCGCCTGACCAAACATACTTTCAAATAATCCGTGAAACTTCACACTGAGCTGCGGGGACGGGATGACACACCTTAATAACCCTGTGTAAAAAGTGCAGATTTGGGAGGGCAGGGAGGCAGAAGAAGGAATAAGATGCATCCTGCACATGCACCAACTCCATGTTTACAACAAACGTGAACATTAAATACTGTAAACATGGACTAAAAAAAGTACAGGCATGATGGTGCAAAACTGTAACCCCAGCCCTCGGGGAGACTGAGGCAGGAGGCTCAAAAGCCTGAGCCTAATCTAGCCAACCTAGCAAGACAGTGTCTTACAGTTTTATAAAGGGGCTGGGGTATAGCTCAGCGGCACAGCGCCAGCCTAGCATGGGTGAGGCCCTGCGTTTCATCCTCAGGACCACAAATAAAGAAAGTTTGAAAAGAGGGTTTGGCCACGTGACCTATTACTATGCACTTATCAAAACTGATGCTTTAAATCATCACCTATTTGATATTATGAAATTTAATAAACGGTTCAAGTATGAACACAGAGATACTTATTGAAATGTGAACTTACACATCTTGGATTTGCTTCAGATGATCGAGGCTAGGAGGGGGAGGAGAGGAGACTAGAACACACTATTGTAAGCTCACGTGGGTTCTCATGACAGGTCGCTGCACTCTTGTGTTGACTTAATTCCTTCTACTGCAAAGCTTAAAACGGTGAAAGACACTGCAGGTCAGCGTGATGGTGTATACCTATAACCCTGACTCAGGAGGCTGAGGCAGGAGGGTTATGAACTCAGGCCAGCCTGGGCTACATAGGAGTTTGAAGCCACGCTGTACTAGAAAGAGAAACCCGTCTCAAAAACAAAATAAATACAACACAAGACAAAAGGCTAGGGTCAGAGATTTAGCTCAGCGGCACAAGTGCCTGCCGGGAGGGCGCCAAGTCATGAGTTCAATCGTTGTTACCAAAAAAAAAAAAAGAAAGACAAAAGGTTTGGTACATGGTGCACCTTTGTAACCCTACCATTCTGGGGGCTGAGACGAGAGGACTGCAAATTCAAATCCAGTCTAGGCCATTTACCTGTTTAGCAAGGCTGTCTCAAGATAAAGGGTTGGGAACGTAGCTCAGTGGAAATGCCCTGGTCCAATCCCTAGCAAAGAAAAAACAAACTAAAAGAATATTTAATAAAATTAGGGGGCTGGGGGCTTAGCTCAGTGGCATTAAGTGCCTGCTTGGCAAACTTGAGGTCATGAGTTCGATCCCCAGCACCAAAAAAATAAAATTTAAAAAATTAATAAAGTTAGGAAATGAGCCATGACTTGTGTATGAAAAGCAGAATAATATTAACCTAAAAGTTAAGTGTTAAACTATAGATAGGGGAGCACTGAAAGGAATGGATGATTCCCATGCTTTCCAAAGTTCCCATCCTTGACACATACTGCTCGTACAGTCATTCATGTTGAAAGATATTTGGGGCAAAAAATTCACCTCTAGGGGCTGGGGATTTAGCTCAGCGGCATAAGCGCCTGCCTTGCAAGCAGGCAGTCGTGAGTTCCATCCCTGGTACCGATAAAAAGGAAAAAGACAAAAAAAAAAAATTCACCTCTTTTGTCCAGAGTTACTGGTACTGGACACTTGAAACATAATTGAGACACCTTCCCTGAGAAAGGTCTACTTCCAGAGTCTCCAAGTTTTGACCAATGTTTTGAATTTTTAAAGAATTAACCAGAAGAAAACGAATTCTAATCTTGCTTTCGTTTATCGCACTCTCATTTCTGCAGGCCACAATCTAAAGCAGACACCGTGAGTTCCTGCTGGGGCGCACACCACCTCTCCGCACAGGAAGAACTGAAAAGGGCGCCCCGCCCCGCTGTGAGACCACACCTCGGGTTCAAAGTTGCCTCCTGCAGTGGCAAGCGCCTCACTGACCACAGGGGTCTACAAACAGCAGAATCTTTACAGAGCGCTAAACTTCTGTGGCCATCCTTGGATGGGAACTACACAGCCGCCCCTAGTCTATACACACTCCCACTTCTGAGGTATGGGTGACACAACCAAGCTTTTTCCATTTGTTTTTTGAGGCGGTGTCTCACTGTGCAGTTCAGGCTGGCACTGATCTCACTACGTATCCTGGGGATTATAGGCTCAGCGGCACAGTGCCCACCTGACGAGCATGAGTTCAATTCCTGGCCTCCAAAAAAAGAAGAGGTCCAGAACACACTACGTAGTGAGGCTGGCCTCCTCCTGCCTCAGCCTCTGAGTGCTGGGACTACAGGAGTGCTCCACCACACGTACAATCTGATGAAGTTCTAACGGTTTTTTCCATGAATTGGGGAGTCACCCCAATTCAGTCAATGGAAAAAGCACCTATTATACAACTTCCTTTTTTATTTATTTATTTACTTTTGGTACCAGGGATTGAACTCAAAACCTTGTGCTTGCCAGGTATGCATTTACACCACTGAGCTAAATCCCTGGCCACAGCTTCCTTTTAAGTCTAGCAGAGGAGACCTGTGGAGCAGGTACAGACAGGGTGGGCACTGTAAATCATCTCTGCCAGCAGCCAAGGACCACAAGGAAACGTCTGAGAACGGTCACTGAGGGAAGCAATCTCCCCCTGGCCCCAGCTCCTCTGGGTAGCCTGCTGACCTCTCTTCCAGGTCTGCCATTGGCTGTCACACAGACATGTTCAACAAGCCCCCTTCCTGTCACTCAGAGTCACAACCCACCCTCTGAAGGTGAAGTCACTGAGAGACTTCAGATAGGAGAGAGGACAGCTGGGACTTCAGCTCAGACACCCCACAGCCTGACAGCCACAGGTGCCCTGGAACCCCCTCTGCACACGCTTGTCTTAAGTGTGTTAGTTTTCTTTGTCGTTGGAAAAAAGTCAAAGGGGGGCTGGGGTGTCACCACCCTGGGTTCCACCCCTTAGGACAAAAAAGAAAACAAAAGATCATCACTTTTTCTTTCACTGCTGCTTCAAAAGGAACCGAGTACACTTCCAGACATGATACGGAGGCACTGTGGGAACCCGGGCTTGGTGGCCATCAAAGCATTCAGCTGAGCTACAATCCTCGTTTGACAAGTGCCCTGGCTTCAGCCTAGGGGGACAGAACGATCTCCCTGCTCTGGACAGAAGCCCAGGCACCACCACAGGTCCCTACTCTGTGGCTGCCACCTGCTGTCATCAGGGCTTCACTACCACATGGCAGCTGCCTACGAGACCTCCCCAAGAACCATCACAATGGGACCTCCAATGTCTCCTCTTGAAATTAAAGATCCCCTCCCCCCCAGACGAAGTGAAACAAGAGACAGAAGTGGCCCAGGACATTAAAACATTTCCCAAGTGAGCTGGGGATTTAGCTCAGCGGCATAGCAGGCGGTTGTGAATTCAATCCCCGGTACCCATAAAAAAAATTTCCCAAGTGACTCTGTTCCATCGGTGCAGGTCCTGCTCCCTAGTACACTCCGCTCACTATCAAGCTCACAATCAGCCAGTGTGGACCCGGCTCCTCCCAGACTGAGCACCAGGAACACAGGCTGCCTTGTTTACACCGAGTCCCCCGCACCAAACGCAGTGCCTGGGCACAAGAGACACTCAATAAAAGTTTGTTCATTCATTCATTTATTCAACAAACGCCTATTAATGCCAAAGAAGAAGGCCAGTGACTGGGCGAGGTTCTGACCTCGAGAGGTGTGAACAAGTCCAGCAGGCCCTGACCCCGGAGCTGGCGACGATACTCAAGTACGCAGGCACACAGGGTCTGCGGTGACCTCCACTGATCGCGCGCCCGCTCCAGTGCCCCACTGTAGCGAGCAAGGCAAACACGGGCTCCCAACGCCGGGAGCGCGCCCCGCTCGGCCCTCCCGGGCTCCACCTGTCTGTTCCTGTCCCTGCACCCACCCCGGGACCCTCTGCCCCCACCCCCGCTCGTCCCAGGCCGGCTCCTTCCCGTCCCCATCCGGGGCTCGGCGCCTCCTCTGAGATGCTCTCCTGGACCATCCTCCCAGCCCCGCTAATTCCCAGTCCTCCTGCTCCCGCTCCGACAGCCTGAGCGAGCTGCTCCGGAAGTCCCGACAGGACTCCAGGCGGCCCTCCCCCGGCTCGGGGCTCCGGACTCCGGATGAACCGCGCCCCGGGACGGGGCTGCCAACCAAGGCGAGCTGGGCCGATCCCGGCGGGCCGGGTGTCCGGAGGCTCAGGCCGGGCAGCAGGGCCTCCCTTCCCCCGTCCGGGCAAGGGGACAGGCATCCCGCGCGGCAGGTGCCGCCGACACTCACGTCTCGGAACTGCACCAGGCCGCGCTCGCCCAGCGCGCTGAGGCACTCGTAGGCCGTGCCCGCCTGCAGGAAGAGCTGTGCCAGACACATGGGCTCGCTCCGGAACAGCGACCCCATGGCGGCGCGCGCAGCGGCGCGCGCTTCGGGCTCCTCCTGCGGCCCGGCGAGCGCCCCGCACCATGGAGCTCCCGGGGCTGCCGCAGCGCTCGTGTCCTGCCACTGCGGCCTCCCTCCAACCGCCGCCGCTGCCGCCAGCGAGGCCCCGCCCCCGCCAGTTCCGGTTCCGGACAGCCCCGCCCCTACGTGACCAGTTCCGGTTCCACCCCCGCCCCCGTCGACCAATCGGCGCTCGGGGTTTTGTTCGCGCTGAGCCGCAGCGTGGACTTTGGCGGCTGCGGTGTAGCTCGCGCGACTCCTTAGGACTTCGGCAGTGTTTCTTGAGTGCGTTCGGCGCGAAGATCTCCATGACGGGTATACAGTGCTGTGGTTATTGATGCAGTTACTGAGGGCGCAGCCATCGCCACAGTCACACTGAGGGCATCTCCATCACCCCAGCGGACTCCGCCTGACACCCGGCGCAGCCCAACCTCCCTCCGAACCGCCCAGTCCCGGGACCGCTTCAGGAGCCGAAACCTGATGGGAGCCTAAGACTTCTCGATGCAGGTCTTAGCTGCACCTGTAATCTCAGCACTCAAGACAAGCGGAGGCAGGAGATCCCAAGATCAAGCCCAGCCTGAGCAATTTAGCGAGAACTTGTCTCAAAAAAAAAAAAAAAAAAAAATCCTCTGGCTTCTCTGCGTCCTAAACAGAATCCATACCTCGGGGGGCACTCTGACCCCGGTCTTTAAAACCCTCACCTCCCTGCCCTAGGCTCTGTCTCAGCGCAAGCCATACCCACCGTCTAGCTCTGGTCAATGCAGTCCAGCCCTAGAATTTGCTCTGGTCCCCTCCTTCCTCAGCCCTGTCAAAGGTGGCTCTTCAAGCGCCAGTTCCAGAGTCCCCTGTTTGAGAGCCCGCACCCGGGTTCATCCCGCCATCAGAGCCTAGGAGGGAAGCGCCACTGGCACAGGACACTGTCGTGGTGTCACAGTGAAATCTTGAGGACCCAGCTGGACTGCTGAACTATACCCCCAGCCCATAAACGGTCCTAGGGTTTAAACCCAGGGCCTCATGTTCCTTAATCCAGAATACAGGAAACATAATCAACACAAATATGTAAAATTTAAAGACTGTATAAATAAAGACCCTAAAACTGGGCATCTGTGATAAACTGAAATTCTAACATCAGTTTACATGGTTGATCTCAATGAGAGGTTTTAATGCATGTGCATTTGGCACTGCTTTGAACACCCATTTTGTTACATGAATGAATTAAATTCACACAACACATACTGAAAAGTTTCTATGAAAATAAGACTTCATTTATTAAAGTATGACAGAGGCACAGGGGTCACTGGAGTAAAGGTGCTCAAGGAAGGCCTAATGGAAGACCGCAGCTGGATGCCGGGCCCTGCACACCCCTGCCCAGGGACTGCTGAGGAACACGGCCAGCAAGAGGAGCGATACCAGCAGCAAACCCTTGGCCACACACTGTGAGTAAGGTTCCCCTGAAAGCAATAATAAGCGGTCTCACTGTGTGGTTCAGGCTGGCTTGCAACTCTGAGATCTTTCTGCCTCAGCCTCCTGAGTGCTAATATCACAAATGTGCACTGCTGCACCCAGCATTTTTCTAATAATTTAGGTAGGAAAAAGCCAAAGCATTGGGGCTGGGGATTTAGCTCAGCAGCATAAGCACCTGCCTTGCAAGCAGGCGGTCGTGAGTTGAATCCCTGGTACCAATTTAAAAAAAAAAAAAAAAAAAAAAAAAGAAGCCAAAGCATTAAGAGTGATCATTTCCAAGTATGTCAGTATCAGAACTTTTTTTTTTTTTTTTTTTTTTTTTGTCTTTTTCCTTTTTGTCGGTACCAGGGATCGAACTCACAACTGCCTGCTTGCAAGGCAGGCGCTTATGCCTCTGAGCTAAATCCCCAGCCCCTGAACATTTTTTTTTTCTTTTTAAATCCTTCTATAAGTTCTAAATTTTCTGTAATATTCACACATTTTTAAAGTTTTGTTTTGTTTTGGTATTGAGGATCGAACTCATGACCTCACAATTGCCAGGCTGAGTTAAATCCCCATCACATTCACACATTTTTAAAAAAATTTAGCTGATATAGCCAGATGTGATGGCACACATCTGTAATCCTGCAAATTCAAGGCCAGCCTATGCAATATAGTAAGTTCAAGGCCAGTCTGAACTACATAGTAAGACCATGTCTTAGAAATAACAGAGAAAAAATAAATTTAGCTGACACAGCCTAACTGATGACCACTGCCAAAATCGCTTTACCAGGCGGGAGTATGGAGGCACAGGCCTGTGATCCCAGTATGCAGGAGGCTGAGGCAGGAGAACTGACAGGAGTTCAAGGACAGCCTAGAATACATAGCAAGACCCTGTCTCAAAAAAAAAAAAAAAAAAATTGGCTTAACTCACCAACTCACCTTGATAATAATGGGTCCATGGATAGAGAAGTTGTGGCCAACATACATCATTTCTGTTGCAGTCATACTCAGTGAAATTGATCTGGAATCTATAGAACATTTTAGAAGATTAGGACAACCCTAAGGCAGGAAGACCAAGGAACTTGATTGAAGGTATAAACTTCCTATTTTAAGTCTTCTGCACCGTGTCCCCGAGGTGAGAAGTGCCTTACCTTGTGCGGGGGCGGGGCAGCTGGGCAGGTACTTTGATAAAGCGGACAGAGGCACTGACAGGGAAGAGGTCAGCCTTATCCTCGCATGTCAGCCCGCACTGGTACTGCCAGTCTGCAGTGAAGAACCTGGGAGGAAAGGATGCAGGAGCCCGGCCACCACTCAGGTCAGCAAGCCAAATTTATCCTGCAAACCTCTACATAGGTAGACCCCAGGGGAAAGAAATGGAACGAACCATCCCAGCCTATCCCAGCAACAGATACAACTACAGCTCCAGCCAGCTCTTTCTATAGAGATGGGGGCTGTTTTTTTTCCTGTTATTTTTGAGACAGGATTTGCTATGTAGCTCATGCTGGCCTCAAATTCAGGGCGATCCTCCTGCCTAAGAGCTGGGATCACAGGTATGCGTTGCCATACCTTGAACACTTTTAAAACTGATTTCTCAGGGTAACCGTAACAAGAGCCAACCATTTACTGAACACTTTGCTGTGAGCAGAGCAATGGATCCTCAAAACAGTACTGCTGCCCAACGAGGTGGCACACACTCCTGTAATCCCAGCGCTTGCGAGGCTGAGGCAAGAGGATCAAGTTGCAAGTTTGAGACCAGCCTGGGCTACAAAGTGAGCCCAAGGCCAGCCTGAACTACATAGCAAGAACATCTCAAAAAGAGGCCAAAAAAAGCCCTGTATCCAGAGTCCCTTCTCCTTTCTTCAGCTGCCTGTTTCGTAACTTTCCCACCCACCACTACAAGCTCAAACTTCAGTGAAGGTACGAGCCTCAATCACCTGCACCCAGCCAGTCAGAGCTGTCCACTCCACTGCCCATGGGAACCAGGACCCAGGAACAGCCTGTGGGAGGGATAAGCAACCGGACTCCAGCACAGCACCACCCCATCCATGGCAGCGCCCCGGGCCGCCCGACTCCTCCGCACACGCACCTGGTCTCCATGCCCAGGATCTCCTGCTGCACGATGCCCTCCACAGCGCCGGCATCCGAGAAGAGGATGCGGATGTGCAGCTGGGCAGGAACGGCCAGGCAGATGCCACGGGCGACGCTGGCAGCCGGGTCCACACTGGTGTTGGGGGGATCTCCGCCTAGGGGAGCAGGTGCCCATTTGGGGTTTTTGAGTCATAGTCTTGCTATGCAGTTCAGGCTGGCCTAGAACTCACTACGTAGCCCAGGCTGGTCTCAAACTCGAAGTGACCCTCCTGCCTCAGCCTCTCAAGTGCTGAGATTGCACTACCAGGTGAAGGTACATATTTCTAAGGAAATAACAACAGTGTTCATATCATGTCATGGTACGAAAAGAGAGAGACACCCTGAAGTCTAGGAGATGTAGACAGGTGCTGGTTAACCACAGCTGTGTTTCAAATGTTTCCTTGTGTGGAAAAGGAGTTGCCGAAATTTACAAGTCCTGAACCACATAACAAAACCATCATCATGATTCTGTTTCCAAGCTGCCTATTGAAATCTGGCCAGCTTTTCAGCAGAGGCATTTTAAGTTATTTCAGGGAATAACTAATAAACCCTGGGGAAGGCAGTGAAAATCTACTAAATGCCAATTCCCAAGGGCTGATGAGTGATTTCCTTAGGGGGCACAGAGCAAGAGCACATTATGCTGGCAGCCAGCTCCCCACAAGGAATTCGATCAGTAATGCGCACAAATGCATTTGCAGACCAAGAAAAATCTAAAAAGCGATTTCCTGGTGTGTTACCATGTCAAATGGGAGAGAACAGAAGCAAGGGGGTGTTCATGTTTGAAAAGTGGCACTTAGGGGCTAGGGATTTAGCTCAGCGGCATAAGTACCTGCCTTGCAAGCAGGCGGTCGTGAGTTCGATCCCTGGTACCAATAAAAATGAAAAAGACAAAAAAAAAAAAGAAAAGAAAAGAAAAAAAAAAGTGGCACTTAGTAAACCAGCAGCAAAGGGAGGTGGGTGGCACTGGGGGAGGCTTCTTTGTCCCTTCAGAGGCTGTGGAGGTGGCTGACGTTGCCCCTGGGACACACAGCAGCCTGCTCCCCAATACACACATAGGGCCATCACTTCCGGCTGTCAGTCAGGGTCGGGGCTGTGTATCTTCAGCTCAGATGTGGAAGGGCTCCCCCTTCCCCCAGGGACAGAGATGCTAATGCCTCTGGTTTCACAGTCAGCAAGCTGGGCTCTCTGGGAATATTTCTTACTTCTCAGGTGTTCTGCTGTATTTGTTTTGTTTTGTTCTTTGAAAGGGTCTCACTGTGTAGCCCAGGCTGGCCTCAGTGACCCTCCTGTCTCAGCATCCTTGGGTGCTTTACCACCTCCTTTCTTTGACCCCCTTTGTGTACATATTTCTCTCTAACATTATAAGACTGCAGTCACTGCATTACCTAGGAGGCTCAGGGAAAGAAACTGGCATGAGTTCGAGGTCAGCCTGGGCTACACAACAAGACCCGATTTCAAAAAAAAAAAATTTTTTAATTAAAAAAGAAGTTGGGTGTGGTGGTGCACACCTGTAACCCCAGCACCTGGGAGGCTAAGGCAGGAGGATCTTGGTGAGTTTCAGGCCAGCCTGAACTACACAGGGAGACCCTGTTGCAAAAAAAGAAAAAGAAAAAACATAAAAGAGGCCAGGTGTGGCAGTGCACACCTGTGGTCCCATTACTTGGGATGATGCAGCAGGAAGATCAAACATTCGAGGCCAGGCTGGGCTACACAGAGAGATCAAGGTCGGCATGGCAAAACCATTCCTTAAAGAAGTACGTTAATGAACAACTCAAAGCATGAATAAGAGGTGAGAGATACAAAGGGAGAGGTGACCCCTGGACAAACGTCCAGTTAAACCAGCAAAGAAAAGGGACTGCATGCATCAGGCTCACACCCTGAGGGCCGCCGCAGTCACAGCCAGCCATCTGCGTGCCCTCTGCGACATGGCGGAGACTTACGCAGGATCTCCAGCCAGCCTTCGGTCAGGTCGCTGTAGTCAGAGTTGCCTCGCGCTGCGACGTGTGTTGCTTGTACTAAAGAAGCCAGCCTCTCGGCTGCGCTCTCCCTGCAGGAGAACAGGGCGCAGCTCAGCCCCACCCAGCAGCTGTGTCTGGACACCCTTTGTCCCTGCTGGGCACCCTATGCCAGTGACATTGGCAATGAAGCTGAGTGGGAGCCCAGGGCAGGTGGCAGCAGCCTTCTTTACTCTAGGTTTTAAATACCACCCAGCATTCAGGAGGCTGAGGCAGAAGAGTCGCTGTGAGTTCAACTAGTGACACCCTGTCTCACAAAACAAAAGAAAAGCAGATTACTTAGGCCAGAGGCTGGGGAAGAAGGAAACCAGAGAGTAGCTACTTAACTGGGACAGGTCTCCCTTTTTTGTGAGGAAGATGTTTGGAACTAGATAAAGGTATAATGGAAGTACCAGATGTCACTGAACTGTTCACTTTAAGGTGACTAATTATAACTCGTTTCATGTCAATTAGGGACAATGCACATACATATGTAAATATACTTTCCAAATGCTACCTAAAGATGCACTGGAACATTCTTTCTTTGTTTGCTTGTTTTCCTTTTTGAGACAGGGCCGCTCTATGCAACCCAGACTGGCCTGGCACTCACGGCAGTCCTCCTGCCTCAGCCTCCTGAGTGCTGGGATGATAGGTGTGTGCCACCGTGCCCGGCAGCAAATCAGCTTTAATCGAAGCGCTCACAGTGCAGGCCAGTTCCTCCACACACTCACCGGAGACGAGTGCAGTTTTCGCTGATCCCGATCTCTAAGAGGCAGCCGGACTGCACGTTCTCTCCAAATAGAACAGGCCTGAAAGATGCAGAGGTGCACAAACTCCTCCCAGCTAGAGGAGAAAAGGGTTCCCTCTTCAGGGTTTCTGCTAAATAAATGCAAAACTGTGGCGGGACGAGGTGGCTCAGGCCTATAATCTTAGCAGCTCTGGGAGGGTGGGCCTGGATAATTTAATACTTAGCAAGGCCTGGTCTCAAAACCAAAAACTAGAACAAGGGTTTGAGGGGGTAGAGCAGAGACCCTGGGTCCAATCCCCAGGATCACAATAATAATTGAATTAGTTAAAAGGGCTGGGCTTTAGCTCAGTGGCATAAGTGCCTACCTGGCAAGCACAAGGTCATTAGTTCAATGCCTGGTACCAAGATAAATAAAATAAAATAAAATAAAACATACATTGAAGTTTTTTTGTGAAAAACATGGAAGAAACAACAAATAGAAATAGAAATAAAGCTTAGGACGGGGGATATAGCTCAGTGGTATAAGCACCTGCCTGGCAAGCATGAGGTTCTCAGTTTAATCTCCAGCACCAAAAAAAAGAAAGTTTAGCCAGCTGTGGTAATGCATGGCTAGCATCCCAGCACTCAGGAAGCTGAGGCAGGAGAAGGACCATGAGTTCAGGGCCAGGCTGGGCTACATGAGCCCCTGCTTCAAAAAACAGAATGAAGAACCAACAGAATCATGAAAAACAGCCTCCATCTCCTCCCCACTAAATGAACCAATGGGGTTTAACTGATTCCTTGATTAGATTCCAAATGGGAAACTATTTCTAACACTGGTCCACAGGGGGTTAATGGTGACCGATGGCCAAAGCAGATTACCTGGCTGCCAAACGTAGAGCGTGGTAGCGTTACTCGTGGCGTTGGCATTCAGGGCTCGGACCGGCTTGCCAAGCTGGTAACCTGGGCACACATGAGGAACAAGCTACAGCATCCTTCTAAACGTGCTGCAACGTCGCAAGGGCTGTGGCAGGAAGTCACATAACAGGAAGGCACAGCAAGAGGACAGGTGCAGGCAGAGCTTCTTCAAAACACGCGTGGGGGCAGGTGGCACATGCCTGTAATCTCAGCACTCGGGAGGCTGAACAGGAGGAGCACTGAAAATTCAAAACAAGCCTGGGCTACAAAGTAAGGTCAGGGCCAGCCTGAACTGTATAGGGAGACCTTGTCTCAAAAAAAACCAAAAATAAAAATTAAAATTAAAAAAAAAAAACCCACCCTAGGGGGTGGGGATTGAGATGCCATCTGTACGCGGACCAGTTCACTACACTGAATGTAATCTATACTGCACATGTGCAAATAAAAGCTAATCACTAAAGAAAAGGAAAGGGGGGGGGAATACCCTCGAGAGAATCCTAGCATATTCATTGTTTTGTTTTCTTTTTAACAAACGATACTCATGTTTTTTGTTTGGTTTTTGTTTTTTGAGACAGAGTCTCACTATATAGTTCCTTCTGGCCTTGAATGCATAATGATCTTCCTGCCTCAGCTTCCCAAGTCCAACATCAGTGTTTAGCCACAAATATGCTACAAATATCAGAAGCACACAAAGACATCTAGTTTTTTAGTTTGGGCAGGTTTTTGGGGGGGTGGGTAGAGAAAGGGTCTTACTATGTATGTAGCCCATGCTGGCCTTAAACTCAAAGCAACCCTCTGCCTCAGCTTCCCAAGTGTCGGGATGACAGGAGTGCACCACCGTGCCCAGCTGATAGACGGGTTTTGCAGGGCCTTGTGAAAATAAGCTTCAGACCTAAAACACTTTATCTCTGAGATCCCCAATACAGAATTCCCCAAATTCAAGCTGTTCCCCACTGAGCTACACGTGACCGTTAACTGCGGTGTCAGCTTGAGTAAGAGCTGCGTGGCGGGCCGCTCTGCGTGGTTCTGCACAGGCTCGCTGAACAGGGAGGCCCCGCCCAGGCATGGCTGGCACTGACCAATAAGCTTGCAGCCCATGTGGAAGAGAAAGGGAAAGAAGTGGCTCAGGCTTCCCCCTCTCACCATCACCCTTGGACCCCGTCTCCAGGAGGAAAGGCGCACAACTTTTTGCCCCTTGACTCCAGCGCTTGGCTGGGCTCCAAGCCCAGCTAGTGTGGCTCAGTGGTCAGCTCGCAGGCCACCCGGCCACAAACGCACCACCCATTTATTAACGATCTCAGCTCTTCTCTGTCATTTCTCTCCAGCTGGTGCTATCCAGATAAAACAGCAAACTCCCTGAAGACGGGCCCTTGGTCCACAGCCCTCCCACAATCTTGTCCTACTTCAAACCACAGATGTGATTCTCAAACACTTTATCTTTTTAGAATTTTTTACAAATTAAGGAAAGCTTCTGAGGGCCAGGGATATGGCTCAGCAGCACAGCGCCTGCCTGGCAAGTGCAGGGTCCTGAATTCGAGTCCTGGGGCTTCCCTCACCAAAATAAAAGTTTTTTGAGCTGGAGGACCACGATGCCAGTGCCTTGGCCTGCTATGCACAAAGGCCTGGCTCAATCTGCTGGGGTGGGAGATGGCCCAGCTACTTGGGAAGCTGAGGCAGGAGGATTGCTTGTGCCCACAAATTTGAGGCCAGCCTTGGCACCACAGCAAGACAACATCTCGAAGAAATTTTTTTAAAAAATAGATCAAATGTATTTGGATGCGCAGAGCGTGGTGGCACACTCCTATAATCCCAGCACTTGGGAGTCTGAGGCAGAAGAATGTTTGTAAGTTCAAGGTCAGCCTGCGCTACAAAGTGAGCCCCAGGCCAGTATGAACTGCAGAGCGAGAGCCTGTCTCAAAGAGACAAAAAGAAAAAAAAAATGTATTTGGACGCTATCTCTCACTGCCACCCCGCAGCAGGTGTGTGTCAGTCACACTGGACAGCATGGTCCCCACACCGAAATAGACCGTCAGGAGCCACAGAGAGGGCAAGAAGCAGACAACACAGGGCAATCAGAGGGTGACAGGTTTGCACACAAAGACCCAAACAAGGTACAAGGTGCCAGGGAGTCCCCAGTCCCCTTGCTCAGGGTCCCCAAGGAGAATCCACAGCTCATTTCTCCTGAGAAGCTAATGCTACCACGGCCACACATGCAGGGTCTCTTCCCAAAAACCAGGAGCTAAAGTGAAGCAAGCGTCATTTCCAAAAACCCATTACTATGGATGACACAGTACAAGTAAGTTTCTATCAGAAAATACCCTGTCTAACCCGGCATGGTGGCCCAGACCTATGAGCCCAGCACACTGGGAGGCTGAGGCAAGAGGATGGCAAGTCCAAGACCAGCCTGGCCATCTTGGCCACACGCAAGACCCTGTCTCAAATGAAAAATTTAAAAAGGGCTGGGAATGTAGCTCAGTGCAAAGGCCCTGGGTTTACCTCTCCAATACCTTACAGAGGAAAACCACAGAAAGAGAACCAGTAGAACCAACTAAACTTGGGGAGAGTTTCTGAGGGTGCTGTATTAGGATCCGCCTGTGGCACGCGGGATAGACACAGTCATCTCACCTGGGTTTCCAGAGAGTTCCTTCTCGTTAGCACTGTTCCGGTTTAAAAACTTCACTGTGAATCTCTGCGTCAGTATTCCTAGAATATGCCAAAGTGAACACGGAGTCACACACATGCGTAGGACACAGGTACGACCACACTCCATGGGCGGGACACAGCCTCCTCCCCACCCCCGAGGCACCTTTCTGGTGGGCGCTGATTTCCGCCTGCACGATTCTGACACTGATTTCTGTGACTGTATTGTTGTCCCACCTGAAAACGTAATGTTCTTCCACAGTCACCCTTCTGGGGGCCGAGGAGCGGCTCAGAAGCACTTCTGCAAATACAGGAGAACTCCCATCAGCAGGCCGTGGTGGCACACGCCTGTGACCCCAACGCCGGGGAGGCTGAGGCGGGAGAGGGACACAGCTGTCTCCTCTCTAAGAGCGCAGGCCTGCGAAGAGCAACCACCCCCGTGTAACCGGATTACCACACAAAGCAAAACCTAAAAATGTAGCAAAACATGAGCTGGGCTGGTGGCACACTCTGTAATCCCAGCAGTAGGGACACTGAGACAGGAGGATCAAGTTGCAAGTTCGTGACCAGCCCGGGCTACAAAGTGAGTTCAAGGCCAGCCTGAACTGCTCAGGGAAAAAAAAAAAGGCAAGGCAGGGCTGAGGATTTAGCTCAGTGGCATAAACGCCTGCCTGGCGAGCGTGAGGTTGATTTAGTCCCCAGTACTAAAAAAAATACAATTAAATTAAAAAACAAATGCATCTACCACCAGACAGATGCCAAGGGAAGGCTCCACGCCCTGTGGGCAGGACGCGCCCCAGCTTGCCCACCCCGCCCAGGCCTCCAAAGCAACAAGCCAAGCAGGGGACAGGGGCTCATGACGCTTGGGAGAGGTGACAGCTGCCTCTGGCAATGACGCTGATGCGTGACATTAAATACCTGTGTCGGGGAGGAATCTGCCTGGGTTGGCTGCTTGCTCGTAGGTCACCAGGGGCGTAACCGGGGCTAAAGAGACACACACATCAACATCCAGGGACTATACAGTCCGCACAAGCTCTCCACCCACTCAGAGGAGTGCCCTCCCAGCACCCCTGCCAGCGTCCACACGTTTTTGTCGATTTTTTGAGACAGGGTCTCACCATGTATCTCAGGCTGGCCTCAAACTCACATCCTCCTGCCTCAGCCTCCTGAGTATAGCACCATGCCTCGACCATAAAAATCCCAGTTTCTTGGGGGTTTTTTCAGTGCTGGGGACGGGACCCAGGCTCCTGCACATGTAAATCAAGGGCTCTACCACCCAGGCCAAAGTGCTTTTCCTCTTAACACTGAATTACAGTGAAGAAGAAGTATCACTGAAATCAGTGCCTGGCGCTCCCCTAGGAATGATAGGCAGATGCAAACACACACATTCATACCCAAACCTGGACACGGTGTTCGCACCAGCACATGTATAAAACCCAGACATGGACAGAACCTAAGTGTGTCCCTCAATTAACAAGTGGATAAACGGATATGGTTTCTCTAACTGGAGGAATATTATTCACCCACGAAAACAAAGCCAGGGCCCAGACTGCAACCCAGAGAATCTTGAAAACATTTCGCTGAGTGAAAGAAGCCAGGCACAAAAGGTCACAGACTGATCTGTACAGGGAAGGATCTGGCACAGGGAAATCCCAGGGACATGGATGATCTGAGGTGGCAGAGGTCAGGGGCAAGATGACCTCTCAGGAGGAGCACTAGTCAAGTGTGTACCAGCTTCTTTTGGGGATGAGAAGCTTTGGATCCAGATGGAGGTAAGTTACTAGATGACATAGGTTATAAACTTTAATGTGGGGCTGTGAACATTTTAATTAAAAAGATACGCAGCCAGACATAGTGGTATATGCTTAGAAGACTTGCCCTCTGGAAAGATGAGGTAGGAGGTGCAAGTTAGAACTCAGCTCAACAACGGGCAAGTCAGCAAGACCCTGCTTCAAAGTTTGGGGACAGGAATGTATCCCAATGCAAAGGCCATGAGTTCAGACACCCTCATCAAAGGGAAAACAGAAAGAATTACTATGTGATACACCTTCTTCCAAAGACAACAGCGTCCCCCGCTGCAGCTGAGACACTGCTAAACTGAGCCCCCAGAAGCCACCTGCACTCTCCTGAGTGTGTCTTATGCTGTGTCCTGACCCTCAGGCCGCGTTCCCCAAGGAGGGTCACAGTACCTCCGGCAGCGCCGCCCTGGACCTTGGGGAGGCCCCCATCACCCCGCTCTCGGTAGGCGTCCAGAGGAGTGGTGCATTCCGCGCTGAAGCTCTGCAGGAAGGCCACGGGGGCATCGAGCACGCACTGCCCAGCCAGCGACACCTGGAGGGGGCACAAAGCCGACAGGTGATGGTCTGGCTGCTGAATACCACAAACCAATGGGCATCACTTAGCATCCTCCCCCACTCTGGCTGCAGGCTCAGCTCCCGTCCTTGCTGAGTACGGGGCTGCAGGGAGGATGCTTGGCATGTGCCAGCCCAGCTCTGGGGGCCTGGGGACAGTCACCGGCACTTAATAGAAACAAGGGCGCCCCTCACCCCACCCGGGTTCTGCTTCACCAGCACTTGGTTTTCTCCAACTGCATTTTCTCTTCTGCATCATAACCAGACTTTTTCCAGGTACTAGATTCAAACGCAGAGCCCTACATGCCCCTGGCTTGGGTTCTAGTCCCAAACCAGTGCTCCTGCCCACCTGAGAAAACCACAGGACCTCTCTGCCCTGCTGACGTCTCTCCATTTGGGCCCCACTCTGCACCTGCTCACTGAACTCCGACTCGCTCATTTAGGCCACAGGAAACGACCCGAGCTAAGAGCTGCTGCATAGGGTCTCAGGATGTAGTCCAGGCTGGCCTGAAACGCACAGTTGTGCTCCTGCCTCAGCCACACTTACAAACCCCGCATTCGGGAGACTGAGGTAGGGGAACTGGGAGTTCAAATCCAACCTGAGCTACATAATGAGACCTCATCTCAAAAAAAAAAAACTTACAAAAGAAACGCAATTAAACTAACAGAAGTGAAGAATAACCATAACTTCCAAGAAAACTTGTAAACAATCTTTTGATTTTTATATTATGGGTTCATGTCGAGACTGATTAATTTTAAAGTGAGTTTTTGTTTTACAAGCCATTGGCAGTTAGGTCCCTGGAAATCCACGAGTAATCTAGGGAGAAAGGTTCAAGAGCAAGACGAGTTACACTACCTGCAGGGTCGGGGAAATCACAGCACTTGAATCCAAACGCTTACCTGCGGCACAGTAAAATACACCTCCTTCTCCGTGGTCCTGATCGGGTCCCCCTGTCTGTAGCCAGAGTGTGGAGAGAGTCTGGGGACAGAGTGCAGAGAGGCTTCGAAGCCAGGGCGCTGGCTCAGGGACCTGCAGTCCACGGGGAAGACCATCACTGCACAGCAGCGCTAGGGCACCGCTCGGCCTTTACTGTTGGCATTTTGTTTCGCTTTGCTTTGCTTTGTTGGGATAAGGTCTCAATACACAACCCCGGCTGGCCTCAAACTCAGGCCCCTGCCTCAGCCTCCTGAGTGCTAGGATTATAGGTATGTACCACCATGCACAGGCCCCTGCCTCAGCCTCCTGAGTGCTAGGATTATAGGTATGTACCACCATGCACAGGCCCCTGCCTCAGCCTCCTGAGTGCTAGGATTATAGGTATGTACCACCATGCACAGGCCCCTGCCTCAGCCTCCTGAGTGCTAGGATTATAGGTATGTACCACCATGCACAGGCCCCTGCCTCAGCCTCCTGAGTGCTAGGATTATAGGTATGTACCACCATGCACAGGCCCCTGCCTCAGCCTCCTGAGTGCTAGGATTATAGGTATGTACCACCATGCACAGGCCCCTGCCTCAGCCTCCTGAGCGCTAGGATTATAGGTATATGCCACCATGCACGGCTTTAATTACAAAAAAAAAAAAAAATGTAGGTGGTTGTTGCTTTTCAACAAAACAGAACTGGAAAATGCAGAAAGTTAAGGTCCTTCATGGGCCCGGCGCTCCTGTCCCCACCTGAGAAAATCACCAGGGCCTCTCTGGCCTGTTGACCTCTGCCCACTTGGGCCCCCATCTGCTCACTGAAATCTAGGACCTGCTCGCTTAGGCCACCAGAAATGGCCAGAGCTAAGGGCTGCTGCATGCAGTGGCCCTGGGGACAGACCCTTCCCCGCACTCACACGGCGCCATGGTAGAAGAGGCCGAGGAAGGGCGAGTTGTCGAGCGATGACTGCACACACAGCAGGGGGAACCAGTCGGGCCTGGGGCTTTCGGTCTGCGCCGTGCACAGCTGGTCAAAGGGAGGGCTGACCTCACCCCCAAACACGCCCGGGAGACAGGCACCTTGGAACAGCCGCCTTGCATCCACAGAGCAGTCCTGGGGGGCAGATGTGACATGACTCAGCCTCGAGCTCGCTGTGTGGCCCAGGCTGTGCCATGATCCTCCTGCCTCAGTCTCCCTCAAGGTGGGGGTTACAGGCATGCGCCACCACACCCAGGTGGCCGTGATACTTCTGTACCCCCAAATCAGAGACAAACGAACCTGGTCACAGCAGCAGCGAACATCACAGGCCCCAGCTGTCAAGTTGCAAGGACAAGGACCGAGCGGCTGATACACCTGGTCGGGGATGACTGTCACGTTCTCTGGGGAGAACACATGGGAGGAAACTCAGCTCCAAAACAAATGACACGGCACTGCCCAGCACTGACCGCCAGAAAAGCTGAGCCAACGTGTCACACATCACCATGACCAATGTCCCCTTAAGAAACCCGTGACATGTGCCCAGGATTTGGCTCAGTGGTGTCAGTTCCTGCCTGGCAAGTGCAAGGTCCTGAGTTCAATCCCTGGTACCAAAAAAGACAAAAGAGAAACCCTGGACGTGAGCATCACAGGAGACTGATGCCCGGTCTGTGCTCGCTACTCCAACAACAAAGACACAGAACACACTCGGCTATTGACAATGAAAATGAACTATAAAAAAGAAAGAAAGAAATGAACTACAGCGAGGCAAAGAGTCAGAGCTGACCTTTCAGATTACTGGTTAGGGCTGGTGTGGTGGTGCACACCTCAATCCCAGCACTCGGAAACTGAGGCTGACAGGAGGATCGCCAAGGGTTCAAGGCCAACCTGTGGTACGTGGTGAGGCCCTGTCTCAGAAAACTAAGATGGTAATAACGAACTGAACATAGCAGAACCCTCCCGTGTCAATGGTACCGGCCCACGCTACCCTGTAAGGACTCAGAACGGGGTTTCCAGGCATCAGGGACAGAGGTTCGCATGTCCGGCCATGTCTCCTAGCTCTACACCTCCTTCGTTCCTCCAGCCAGCCCCTGCCTGCTGTCTGCCTTTCCACCCTTTTTCCCGTTTTGATCTCTGTCAAACTGAGTTTTCATACCTCCACCGGGTCAGAGCGAACACAGGAAAACCACCAACAGCTCTACGCTTCGCAAGTCTGGCTATGTGAGCACCCCAAATACTACACCAATAAGCGCAGGCATGTTTTCCAAAGGAAAAGATGAAAGTCAGTGCTCCAAACAGTACCGCTGCCATCAATCCATCCAGGAGTCTTTTCCCCCCATGGACCAGTGAAACCTTAATTAAACATTTTCACACATAATCTCCTGGGAATCTTACACAGGCTTCTCCCGCCTAAAGAGGTCTCCGGCACCATCACCCCGATTACAGTCCCTGTGTTCCGGTTCTCACACAGGACAGGAAGCAACGGGGTGAAACTGACCGCAGAGGGGCCCCAGGGACCTAACCCTCAGATTCGGGAAGTCCGAATTCCTCATCCTGGAGGGGAAACAGAAATAATGAACTCCGGGGAGACAGGGTCTCCCTGTGTAGTTCATACTGGCCTTGGACTCACTTTGTAGCCCAGGCTGCCCTCCTCTTGGTGATCCTTCTGCTTCAGGCTTCCAAGTGCTGCGATTAGAGGTGACTGTCACAACCACACTTGGTTTAATATTTTTAATTCTTCAGTAGATTTTTTGGTGGCACATGTCTGTGATCCCAGCACTGGGGAGGCCGAGGCAGGAAGATCACTGCAGGCAGGGACCAGCCTGGTCTACAAAGTGAGTTCAAAGCCAGCCTGAACTGCATAACAAGACCTTGTCTCAAAAAGAACCCCAAAAAAGAACAAAAAACCAAACCAAAAAAAAAGAAGCTCAGGAGACAGAAGGGGATGTGGAAAGATGGAAGACGTGTTACAGCCAGGTGCCACCTCCACGCACGCAGTCAACACTGTATCCTGCAGACAGGCACAAATAACTGTTATGGCCTAGCTCTAACCAATGTGCCTCATTCTGTTCTGTATGCACCATTTTCGACAGGATTAAATTCCATTTCCAGAAAAGACTTAAATTTCAGCTTCTTGTAAATCCCCTCCAACCCCCCTTCCACATGTTTCTGCAAGGTGTGCTGTTCCAGGAAGATGTTTAACCATAGAGAGCAACCGGAATGTACCAAGAATCCCAGATGTTATCTGAACTAGGTCAACAGCTTTGTGGGTTTTTAGTTTTAAAAACCCTGCCCTTAATCTGCTAGGCGCAGTCTTCCATACTGGCTCCTGGAGGCTGCGTCGCCAGGCCTGGAAATAAAGCCTTTGCTCCAAATTTCTTAATTTCTTGCTTCTTTGGATTTATTCCGGGCTATCACAATAACAACTTTCTAAAGTAACAAAAACCTCTTAAGTAAGTAGATAATACATGGTTTGAAAAATTAAAGGATATTTTAAAAAGAAACGAAAGCCCCCCCCCAGGTCCCACATTAGCCCCGACCCGGAAGCAGATTCTTAGCTTCTCAGCTCTTCCTCTACAATCTCCCGATGCACATATCAATAAATGCTTTTACCCATGTCTTTCTGACAGAGGGTTGCACGCCACATGACGAGTCTACACCGGGGTTTTCCACCGCACCCTGCATCTTGGAGGTTCCCAGGGGTGCACAGAGCAGCAGGAGGACTTACGGGGAGGAGGCGGTGGCGGAGACTGCGCATGCGCCTCGGCATGGGGCCGGGCCTTGCCCCTCCCCCACCCGGTGACATGGCGAGCGAGAGGAACTGGAGCACAACACAGGGTGGCACTGATCCCAGGAGACCTCAGGGTGCCCTGTCTAGAGGAGTTCTTGGGTCACAGAACACTGCCGGTCGTGAAAAGGAGAGTAACCCAAACCTGATTTCCCGAAGATGTACACACATGTGCACACGGATATGTGATCTAACACAAGTATGGCTCCAAAGCTGGTAATGACTCAGGCCATCAGAAGGAGCCTGGGGAAATACGCGATAGGACATCCTGCTGAAACACTACACAGCCATCAAAAAGCAGGCAGTGTCTTGGCTGAGGGTGCAGCTCAAGAACAGAACTCATGTGAGGCCCCAGCTTCCAACCCCACCACCAGGAAAGAAAAACTGAGGTGAACTTAATCCCTAAGTTACATTATTTTTAAAAGGTATAAAATAGTGAGTCATGAATTATTATTGTGTATATTTTTAAAAGAAAGGAGTACATGTTTCTATGAGCATAAAGTAACAGCCTGATTCTTACAAAGATGAACTGGAGGTTCAAAGGCTTCTCTCAAAGTCTGATGGTTTTCAAGACGTTCACTCATGAAGCCTTCTTTCCCTTAAAATGGAGCCATACAGACCGGGTGTGGTGGTGCACACCTTTAATCCCAGCAGTCGGGGCTGAAGCAGGGGGATTGATGTGAGTTCAAGGCCAGCCTGAGCTAAAAAGTGAGTTCATGGCCAGTCTGAACTGCAGAGTGGAACCCTGTCTTTTTTTAGACCAAAGTAAATAATAAATAAAAATTCTAAAATCCCAGCATTCTGTGAGGCTGAGGCAGGAGGACTGTTAGACCCTACCCCAAAACAAAAAGTAAAAGTGCTGGGGATGTAGCTTGGTGTGAAGGCCCTGGGTTCAAGCCCTTGTACCACAAGAAAGGAGGAAGGAAGGAAAAGCGAGACAGAGAGAGAAAGAGAAAGAATCAACACAATTTTCTCCTCTCAAAAATTATTCAAAGTGGTTTACAAAAGTTACAAACAGTAGAGCAAGATACATTTAATTATTTTAAATACAAGGGTACAAAACAGAAACTTTTTTTTTTTTGGTCTTTTTTCTTTTTTTCGGTCAAACTCACGGCTGCCTTCCTTGCAAGGCAGGCGCTTATGCCGCTGAACTAAATCCCCAGCCCCCAAAACAGAAACCCTTAAAATAAGAAAACCAAACACGAAGCGCAAGTTTAGAAAGGCAAGGCCGACCCTCGAGGAGTGCTGCAAACCGGCACCGCCTGCGGCCAAGGCCTGTACTCGCCTGATGCGCGGCTGCCCGGAGGGGCGGCCAGGCTGTAGAGCTCCGCCCGGATGAGCAGGTGCGCGGCACAGGCGGGGCCGCGCGCAGCCGAGAGCAGCAGAGTCCGGAGCAGGCACGGGGCCTCTGCCAGGGGCTCGGACGCGTTGGAGACACACTGTTGCGGCCACCTCGTCAGCCTCACTGTCACCTCCGACGCACCCTGACGGGAAAACACCCAGTGCCCTCAGGCAGCTCAGAAGAGCACCTCTCATTCTCATCACCCGAGAACGGAGGAGGGCGCACCTTAGCCCAGGTCTGTTCCAGAAAAGCCCTATGCAGCGATGTCCGAATTCTCCACGCCCCACTCCCAAACGGTGGCACCAGCAAGCTCTGATTCCTAAACAAACGATGTCTGGACACTCAGAGAAAGACAAACGTGGGTCTAATAGATTAACTCGCTTTCTCTGGAAGTTTCTAATGTTTTACTTATTTTAGTTTTATTTACTTAGGGGTGTTGGGGATCAAACCTAGAGTCTGCCACATGCTAGGCAAGCACACTGTCCCTGAGCTATGGCCCCAGGTCTGTCTGGAACCTTTTAAAGTGTCTTTACCCTCCTGCTAGCAGAAGTGTCAGTTTTGTTTTGTTTTGGAGGGACAGAGGGTCTCACTATGTAGCCCAGGCTCAAACTCCCAGTGATCCTCCTGCCTCAGCCTCCCAAATGCTGGGATTATAGGTGTGTGCTACCATGCCCAGCCCCTAGCAAAGTTTAAATACATTAAAAAGTCAATGAAAACAATCCCCCATTTCTCTCAGAAGGCTTTGGACATTTATGTGCCCCCAAAAGGCTGTCTTCTCCGTCAGTTTATCTCCAGAGTCAATGCTGGGCACATAGTAGGCACTCAATAAACACTCATCAGTGGGAAACGTTTAGCCTCCCAGGGTTGCATATCCTGACACACAAACTTTAAGTGAGGCAAGTTGGGCAGCTATGAAGCTTTTTTGGACCAAGGCCCATTAGATAATTTGACAGAAGCGATGGCCCTCGTATCAGAAAAGTACATACACAGCAGAGCTTCATGAGGGGGTCATTCCTGCAATCCCAGGACTCTGAGAAGCTGAAGCAGAAAAATCACATGTTTGAGCCCAGTCTGGGCTCACAGATCCCTTGAAACATGCTCAAGGGCCCCTAATCCTAGGGGCAGTATCCTGGGCTGAATGGGTATCTACAGTGACACCCCACAATTTCAGAGCATTTCTAAACCCAGAGAAAGCTACCAGGGGTAAAATCAAAGGTGTGTTACAGAGACCCTAGGCAGAAATCTCTAGGGTCGGCACAGCTTTGCTTATGGCCTTACCACAGTGGGGGTCACAGTCACACTCCAATCTCCTGTCTCATTGCTCAGCTGTCCACAAGTGGGAACGGGAAGTACACCTAAGGGAGAGAAGATGAGATGCAAGACAGCATTGTCTGGCCTGCTGTAGTGACCCATCCTCTAACCCAGTACTCAGAGGCAGAGGCAGGAGGATCACCAGGAGTTTCAGGCCTGCCTAGGATACATAGGAAGACCATGTCTCAAAAAAATGAGCACTGTCCAGCAGTGAAGGAGTGCCCCCGAGTTAGACAGCCTAGGATGGAATCCCTATGGGACTCTGGGCAAGTAACAACCTCTCTGCACTGAGTTTCTTCATCTGTCAAATGGGACGGAGGCATATTACGGTTAGGAAAATGAGATGATACATGCGAAGCACTTGAGATAGCTCAACGAAAGTCCTCCTCATCTCTGCTTTGCAGAGGACTAAAAGCACCCCAGAACGCCCCCGACCAGAGGAGCAGACTCTTACCTGCCTCGACTTGCAGCGGGGCCAGGGACACGGTCACATTCTCGGTGTCTCCGACCAGGATCGCACTGACCTCAGGGCCGGACATTCGGATGAAGGGAGGGATGAATACTAGGAGAGAAGGACGAGGCGGGGAGGGGTCAGCCCGAGGTGTGTGTGTGGCGCTCTCTTCTGTCGCGCCTTCCGAAGCTTGGAGGTCCCCGCTCCCCAGGTCCCTTCTGCCTCGGCCCCTGCAGGTCCCTGCCCAGCCGTACACACCCAGGTCTCCCCGCAGCGGCCCCAGGAAGCCCAGCAGAAGGAGCCCCGGTAGAAGAGGATTCGGCGGCAGAAAGTCCATGCCGCCAACCGCGTGCGCCCTAGAAGCCGCGACAGGCCCGGGAGAAAAAACTCAACCGTCGCCATGCTGAGGCAGCCATCTTGCCACGCGCACTCCCGCGACTATGGCAACCACCAATCAACCATCAGCCAGGTGAGATGAGCAATCGTGATTGGTCCATCCTCAAGAGAGTCCGCCCCCAGCTCGGACAGAAGCATCCTGGCCCCGCCCACCAGTCCTGGCTTGATGCAGCAGCTTGGGTCTTCAAAGGGTGCTCAACAAGTGGTGTCCAGGGAGTGCGGCTCCAAAAGTGGAGTTTCCTCCGACCTGGAGTTAATGCAGCATGCTGCGAGAGCCAGCCTGCAGGCGCTGGGTATCTACCTGGGGGGAGGGGATGCTGCCTTGTAAACTCGACTTTTATGGAGGTTTTCAAGGAAGGGACCTAAGGGGGTGAGGCTGTGGCGCTGTAACTGTGTAGTGCTGTTGGGTTCCTTACCATTCTTTTGTTTTTCTTTGTTTAGGTTTGGTTTTTTTTTTTTTTTTTTTTTTTTTTGTCTTTTTCCTTTTTATCGGTACCGGGGATCGAATTCACGACTACCTGCTTGCAAGGCAGGCGCTTATGCCGCTGAGCTAAACCTCCAGCCCCTACTGTATTTTTTTTAAAATATAAGTTCTAATATTGTGAAAGGTGAGGTTCTCCAAGGTCTTACACTAAACATGGTCTTTTCTGTGCGTGGTAAACCACAGGTTGCTTCGGTTGTAACACTGGCACAAGATTTCACCCGGACTGGCCCCTCATCCTCAGTAAGAAACTGTGATGTGTTGGCCTCTCTTGATATCTGGAAACAGAGCCTAATAGAACATTGATAAGGTGGTCACTTATTTATGTGCTTCCCCATCTGTCTTTGGGGAAATGAGACTATGAATTAACCAGTTTGGAAGGAAAATCCTCCTGAAGGAAAACATTTCTGTAACTGGGCCCTTCTCCTCCCTCTCCTCCCCATCACCCCACACTCCCAGGAGCACACAGGCTGTGATCTCAGCACGCAGGAGGCTGCGGCGAAAGGATCATTGCCAGTTTGAGACCAGCATGAGCTACAGTGAGCCCAAGGCCAGCCCAAACTGCACAGCGAGCTCCTGTCTCAAAAAGACAGAAAAAAAAAAAAAAAGTGCACAGGTGCTAGGCAGGATTCATACTTGTAATCCCAGCACTCTAGGAGGCTGAGGCAGGGGGATGGAACCTTTGAGTCTTCCCTAGGGAATCAAAGGCTGATGATGTAGCTCAGTGCAAAGGTCCTGGGTTCAGTTTCCAGTACCAGAGAAAAAGCACACAAAGAGGGTGTCATAAGGAGCTGAGTTTGCCTCCCATGGCTCTAGGTTTATGAGGCGTATCTTGCCCTCTCTTAAGGTGGAGTCCATGTTGACCTCCGGTGAGAAATGTCCTTCGGCCCAGCAGGATAAGTCAGGACCTGGAGTGGCCACTGTGGAGCCATGACTTGTTCAGGCTGCCATGGCCAAGGCTGGGCAGGACACTTGAGCAATTTAGTTCCAAAGATCTGCTCAGGATGCTAGAAACAGGCCCAGGGGATGGCAGGGATCAACTCAACACATTGCACCAACGGAAGAAGCCAGCACCATGGCTACTGTTGTGTGACTGCATTTCCACACGATGCCCAGAAAAATCAGCCCGAGACAAGCAGATTCATACCTAAGAAATGAGATTTCTTCTTAGGTATGATGGAGGTTCTAGAACCCAACAGTGGTGAGGGCTGTACCTCTCTGTGAATACAGGAAAAGCCAGTGGATAATGCTTTTAAGAAATTGTTGAGCAAGGACTTCCTACATGGTCCAGGCTGGCCCCTTTACTCATGGGCTCCTCCTGCCTCAGCCTCCTACATGCTAGGGTTACAGACATGCACCACTGCACCCGGCTGGATTATACACTTTAAAATATACACTATTTAAAAGCTATTGTGTAAATATACACTATTTAAAGGCAGGAGGACTGCTGAATTTGAGGCCAGCCTGGGCTACGTTGTGAGTCCGAGGCCAGCCTGGGCTACGTTGTGAGTCCAAGGCCAGCCTGCGCTCACAGGGCACGCCCAGCCGGCTGAAGCCCGAACTGTGAGCTGGTAACAGGCAGGCAGGTGGATCTTACGTTAGCTATCACAGCGAAATAAAAAAGCCCGATTTTCTGGTGTTAAAACCAGCTGTTTCTCCAGTGAAAATACCAAGTAACTGAACTGTTACCAATGTTGCCCCCACCGTAACACAACACAGGCAAACATCAAATTTTCTTCTAATACTCAGAAACCTTGTACTAAACCAGGATGAGTGGGATGCACTTATAACCTAGGATTTATCAGGCAGATGCAAGAAGATGCCGACAGTTTGAGTGCTTTCTAGACAACTTAGTGAGGCCCTATCTAAAAGGAGAAAGACAGGGAAAGAGGCAGGACTGGGGATACAGCTCAGCACAGAGGCTCTGGGTTCAATTCCCAGTACTATGAAAAAATAAAAAATAAAACACATGTCCACCCCTGCACACCAATGTATTATAATGTGGCCGTTGTAATGGTATGTATCTATAATTTTGGCAAGAGTTGAAATTTTAAACTGACAATTAACCAAATCCATTTGAAAATGAGTTGAATAAACACAATATAAACAATGAATAAAAGAAAATAATTCAACTATGGAAATTTAATATTTTATTAAACAAATTTATATAAAAGAAATCATAAACATGACAGTTAAAAAACTGGAGCAGAACTAAGCAAGTGTATAAAACACTTCAAATGAGAAATAACCAAGCCTTGTTCACTTATTAGAAATTATGCATCTTTTAGATCTTTATTTCCTAGGCTAAAATAATTATTCCAATTACGCTTAAGTAGACTATGGGGGGGGGGACACACATGACACCACCTGATCTTAAACTCAAGGACTAACAAATATATGCAAAAGGATTATCAAAATCTTTGTATATTTGTTTACAAATTCATAAAGCAAAAATTTTAAAAATCTATCTGAAGTTACTGGTGCAAACACAAAATTATCTAATAAAGATTCGGCTTCAGAGATAAGTCAGTGTGGCGTGGTGGTGCACACCTGTAATCCTGGCACTCAAGAGGCTGAGGTAAGAGGGTCTCTGTGAGTTCAAGGCCAGCCTGGACTACACAGCAAAACCTTGCCTAAAAAATGAAAAAACAAACCAAGAGATGGTCTAAAGAGTTTTCAAATCTATTTGTATACTTTGTACACAAATGTTTTTTGTCAATACACTTTTAAGAAACTCCAAATTCGCTATAATTCCTTAAACTTTTCCTATACTATACTGGAACTTAGGAACACTTTTAATAATTTCTAGGAATGCCAGACAATGTAGCTCAAACTTGTAATTCCAGAACTCAGAAGGCTCAGGCAAGTGGTTTGCTATGAATTCGAGACCAGCATGGGCCACACAGTGATTTCAAAGTCAGCCTGTACTAATAGTGAGACTCTCAGGAAAAAAAAAAAAAAAAAAATCTAAGAAAAATATTAAATTGAAATTTTTAGGAAGGTATCTCAAGGAACATTATTAAATTGAAAAATAGTTTTTTATTGTTGAAATTACAAATAATATTTCTTTTGAATTTACAAAAGCTTCAATATTCAGTTCAGCACTTTTAGAAAGAGTTCCCCAATATTAATTTATGGGCCTTTTTTGGTTCTGAGAATTGGCCTTCAGGCCCTCTGGAAAGAGGTACATTCTCAGCCTATTTTAGCTTTTTTTTTTTGGTACCAGGGATCAAACTCACAATCTCACACTTGCTAGGCAGGCACTTTTGTCACTAAGCTAAATCCCTAGCCCTCCATTTTAATGTTTTTTTTTTTTTTTTTGAGACAGGGTCTCACTATGTGGTTCAGGCTGGGCTTGGGCTCACTTTGTAGCCCAGGCTGGTCTGGAGCTCGCAGCGATCTGCCTGCCTCAGCCTCCCAAGTGCTGGGATTACAGGTGTGCATCACCACATGCAGCCATTTTAGTTTTTGAGACAGGCTCTGATTAAGTTGCAGGGGCTGGGCTGGAATTTGCAATCCTCTTGCCTCAGCCTCCCAGGGTGCTGAGGTAACAGGCAGGTGACAGACACTGTGCCCAGCTAATGTTTTTCCCATTAAAAAAATGACAGAATTGTATGTGCAGACAACAGATAATGCAGAGCTCATTCTCCCCAGAACCTACCATCAGCTTTCACAATCCTCTGCCCACCGCCGTATGTGAGGAACACTCGGCAAGCAGCTTCCAGCCTTGCTCACCTTTCTCATTCAGAGTTAAACTCCGCAGCTATTCGGGGACAAGCCACCCTGAGTATTCAGAGAGCGGCCCCGACACTTGTGGGGTCAGTCAAAAGAATAACTACCTGCTGACCCTCAGGAAGACTCAGGGTTTATCCCAGCTGGCCTGGAAGGTGCCGCCGATGGCAGTGTGCACTGCCGGCACCTCCTCCAGCTCCAGCCGAGGCAGGGTCTAGCAGGCTGGCTTGGCCACATGAGCCCGGTGAAAAACAACCCGCACAGGCCTGCGGTTCTGGGCCTTCCAGCCACGATGGCCTGAAGAGAAACCCCGCCGCATCACGCAGACACTTTCAGTTTCTTCTTCTTGGCCTTCAGCACAGGAGGGAGAGAAATCTTAAAGGCCGTCCTGAAAGGGCAGAGGGGACAGTGAGTGACTGGTCCACATGTGCAAGGGCCCACCCCGGGCAGGGACACTTACTCGCAGGTGGTGCAGATGGGGCTGAAGTTGCAGAAGACTGTGGAATTGAAGCAAGGACAGGGGTGAGACACTCGCCGCCCCTCCCTGGAGGGCGAGGACGGGGCACGGGACTCACTGGACAGACACACGGAGCACACGTAGCCGATCTCGATGAGGTTCCGGTGACAGAAGCAGGCTGCACGGTAGTCCACGTGGATGGGGGGCGGCAGAATTAGCTGCGCTCTCTGGTCTTGATCCGGGAGGAAAACCCACTGCAAAAGACAAGTCCACTGAGACAGGGACCTCTGATTTACACCTCGGGGGGGAAAAGGCAGCCAGCGGTCAGGACACACAGAAGCCTGCGCGGAATCAAGATTCTCTTTGCTGAGTGTGCCTAGTTCAACATATCTCAAAAAAAAAAAAAAAACCCTCCCTAAAAACCTAGGGTCCCCCCAACCCCAGTACTAAGGACTGAACCCAGACCTTTTGTAATGAGTTATACCCCCAGTACTTTTTTTTTTTTTTTTTGAGACAGGATCTCACCAAGCTATCCAAACTTGCTGAAATGCGAGATCCTCCTGCCTCAGCCTCCCAGAGCTCTGGGATTATAGGTCTGCACTTTGATTCCAGATGAAGAAATGCATTTTCATTCATTCAACAATCACTGAGCAGGTACACACACAGCCTCCTATAGGACCACCTGCCCCCACCCACCAAGGACTCGTCCAGCCCCAAGCCTGTGACTCTGCATCAGTGTCCGGCCCTCACCAGTAAGTACTGCAGCAGGGACGTCATCTGGGGCACCTTCAGGTACAGCCCCCCCGTGATGTCACAGGCCTGCAAGACACAGAAAGGTGCTGTCGCAGGGCCAGCTGGATGCCCAGGCAGGACGCCCTCAGGGAGGGAGAGGCGGCAGCCAAAGCCCACACCAAGTAAGCAACGTGCTGGCTGCTTGTGTGAGCAGAGCCACAAGGCCTGCGACAGGCTGAAGGGTGGGACTGAGGCTCCGAGGGAAGCTGGGCAGGGCGCGGAGGAAAGCTGGGGTTCACTGAGTGCACGGAAAGGTGCTGCTAAAAATTAGTGAGCCGTTTGATTTCTTTTTTTTTTTTTTTGTCTTTTTCATTTTTATGGGTACCGGGGATCAAATTCACGACTGCTTGCTTGCAAGGCAGGTGCTTATGCCGCTGAGCTAAATCCCCAGCCCCAGCCGTTTGATTTCTTAATACCGAAATACAAGCATTTATGTAAAAGTAGGCAGACCATGTAACATGGCGTAATAACAAAATGTGGGCTGGGGATTCAGCACAGGGGCGTAGGCGCCCACCTGGCAAGCACATGGTCATGAGTTCAATCCCCAGTACCAAAAAAAAAGAAAGTAAATATGACAACTACACTGATCTGATCACCACAGGCTACATATACGTACAGCTATGCCCCACTGCACCCACAGGTACGTGCAATTATGTTGCTATCAATTCTAAATAAAAACATTTTAAAAATAACAAAATAGGGGCCAGGGATTTGTCCACCTGGCAAGTGCAAGGTCATGAGTTCAATCCCCAATATCAAAAATACAAATGAATAAAAAACAAAGCCGGGCAAGGGGGCACATGTCTATAATCCCAGCACTCAGGAGGCTGAGGCAGAAGGATCACTGTTAGTTTGAGACCAGCCTGAACTACTTGTTGAGACCCTCTCTCAAAAAGACAATAACAGGGGCTGGGGATTTAGCTCAGTGGCATAAATGCCTGCCTTGCAAGCAGACAGTCGTGAGTTCGATCCCTGGTACCGATAAAAAGACAAAAAAAAAAAAAAAAAAAAAAAAGACAATAACAAACTTTTTAAAAATAACAAAAGAGCTTGGCATGGTGGACCACACCTTGCAATCCCAGCACTCTGGAAGGCTGAGGCAAGAGGATCAACATGAGTTTGAGGTCAGCCTGGACTACAAAGTGAGTCTTCGTCTCAAAAAACCAAAAAACAAACTTTCTCTAGCAGCCACACAGGAAGAGGGAAAGCAGAAAGCAGACAAAGTTCACGTGAGTACCACTTCTTAACTCAGTATATTCAAGGCAGTACTGTTCTAACATGACTCAGTACAAAAGTTAATTTCCATAATTACCAACACCAAGCACCCTAAAAACGCACCTGCTGGAGAAGTCCTGAGTCAGTGTCTAAAACACAGGCGTCGATCAAAATATTCTGCAAGGAAAAAAAAAAAATTCTGCAAGGACATTTCAAATTATTGCAGGAGTCATAACAGACAGCAGTGACCACACCAACCCCTGTACCCACTGTGCAGCAGACTCCTCGCTTGAGTAGGCTCACATGATGCCCAGGGGGATCCTGGGAGAGCCACCAGCAAAGGGGTGCATTTGGTCACTGAAGAGCCTGAGCCCTGGGCTGGCTGTGGCCACAGAGGCGGCCGGGCAGGGTGGTCCCTCACTGTCCCTTTTTCCTGCATCCCAGCGCCCCGCTTTGATAAAGCAGCACCTCACATTAAACTGAAGTCGAGGGGCCGGGGATTTAGCCCAGCAGCGTAAGTGCCTGTTTGGCAAACTCGAGGTCGTGAGTTCCATCCCTGGTATCAAAAAGTCTAGAGCCAGGTGTGGTGGACACACCCATGAACTGGCACTCAGGAGACCGAGGCAGGAGGACTGCCACAAGTGCTAGACCAACCTGAGTTACACGGTGAGTTCAAGGCCAGGCTGAACTGCACAGTGAGACCCTGTCTTAAAACAAAACCCAAACTGAAGTTTAGAGATTTTCTTTCTTTTTTAAAACTTATCAGACAGGCCAGGGACATAGTTTAGTGGCACATGCACCTGCCCAACAAGCGCAAGGTCCTGATTTTGATTCTTGGTACCAAATATAAAATAAATAGACAAACATACCAGAGAAGAAAATATATTCATTATAATTCACTGGGACATTTCAGTCCTTAGCAAAGTAAAAATACACACTGCCGAAGCAAGAGGAGAAACTGAGGCCTGGCCTATGCACAAACTATGGAACCAGGGACTGGGCTGGGGGCTGAGGATGTGTGCAGCACCGTCCTGGGAACAGGCTGGGGGTGGCCGCGGCCCACCTGCTTCTGCGCAGCGAAGATGACATTCATGAAGTTCATGTACTGCAGCGCGCTGTCCTCCGCGGCCTTGAGCACCTGGAAACACGTCGTCAGCACCCTGGGACCCGGCCCTGCCTTCTAGTCACTGTGACGAATCAACACCTCGCCCCCTGCCCCCCGCCAAGGGACAGTCCCTGAGAAGAGCTGATGGCTGTGTGGGGACCTGGGCACACACGTGTGCACAGGAGGGCAGGGGCACGCAATGGAACACCCATGTCAGTGGCACAGGATGCCCTCAGCGTCACTCAGCGACGGGCCAGGTCTGCTGGCTGAAGCTCCAGGGGACGTGCAGGGCACTCACTCGGCTCTAACCAGCTCTCTCATGACATCCGCAGGGACCCTGCACACCAACCTTTTGTAGCTGTAGCCTTTTGTCTACAGCTGTATATAAACATCACTGATGTTTTTATCTTACCAATATCCTTGATTTCATCTCCTGATTATCTACAGAGAGATAAAAACTGATTAAAATTTAACTAAATGACAACATAGCTTATTAAACACACTATAGTTATTAACTGATTAACAACATAACTTATTAAATTTCTAACCAATCTTTATGCTTATTTATGTATTTTTGTCTTTTTGAGACAGGGTCTCACTATGCAGGTCAGACTGGACTTGAGCTCACTTTGTGGCCCAGGCTGGTCTCAAACTCACAATAATCCTCCTGCCTCAGCCTCCTGAGTGCTGGGATTACAGGGGTGTGCCATCATGCCCAGCATCTAACCAATTTTTAAACACACCAAAAAATATATAATACTAAATAAGTAATATTATAATTCTCAAAGAAAATGCAAATGTCTACCTTTAACTTCTTTGTTCATTCTATGAATGTCTTCATTTCTCAGTATTAAGGAATATAAAAATATTTACTTCATAAACATTTATAGGATCCAAAAATACCTCAAATTTCAATTAAATAAACCCAGCATCCACCTAGCTGGAAAAAAGGAAAATGTTTCATTCACCAGGATAGAATCACAAGAGTTTTCAGTTACTAACTCTGTAACCAGCTAGGTTTTGCAATCTCCTCAAAACACGATCTTCGGCCCCAGATGATTAAAACTAGCAATCCGTGATTATCCTGCACTACCCTCCATATCTTAAACTCGCGTACATAAGACAGTAAATGAGATGAGGAGCCCAGAATCAAAGTCTAGGACATGGGAATCAGTGCTCTCCCAAAGAATAAGCATGGTGGTACCCAGCAGCGCAGAGGCTGCCCAGGAGCATCGCTCCCAATCTGAGGTCAGCCAGCCTGGGCTACACCGTGACTTCGTGGTCAGCTGAACTCCATGGCAACTTCTGTCTCAGAGCAACAACAAAATAAACCTAGGGGAGCCAGTACGGTGGCACATGCCTATAATCCCAGTACTGGGAAGCTGAGGCAGGAGGCTGGTGTGAGTTCGAGGCCAGCCTCAGAGCACTGCAAAATTCTGTCTCAAAAAAAATAAATAAATACATTTGAAAATGTATTTCAAAGCCACAATAAACCATCTTTTACAGGCTTCCCACGAACGTAAGATGCCCAAAATGCTAACAGCACTCGTGAATACAACGTGCTGGCCCCAGACCCCAAACTGCACCAGACAGACACCAAGGATACAGCACAGGGCCTTGGCGAGGGACCCAGCCAGCAAGGTCTCGGTGTGTTGGCCTTTTATGTCACCTACAAATATAAAAAGCATTGAAGAGGGAATTTTAAGTGCTTTCTTCAACAACAGTCATTTCCAAACCAGCGCTTTTCATGAATGAAATCAAATGATGACATTTTCAAACTGGGTTTCAAATTACAACAATCTGTTTTCATTCATGCTTAAATAAACTGCTTTTTAGCTTTTTCTCAACTTCAATAGCCAGTGTTTGCTCAGGGACTGGGAGAAGGGGACGTGGGGAATAGTATGTAATGGCTACAGGGTGACAGAAGGTTCTAGAGATGAACTGTCATGAGAAGAAGATTCTAGAATAATCCAGAACAGCAGTCCTCAAACTGGGTGATTGTGCTGACAGGATATATGGCAATGTTTGATGCCATGTATGTTTGACACAACTGGGAAATGTCACAGTTACGTGGGTCAAGGGTGCACAGGATAGTCTGTACCACAGAGCGGCACCCAGCTCGCGATGTCTACAGTGCCAAGGGGAATGTGGATGACAGCATGATCAGTCTGGAAATGCTTCCAAGGTAGACAGGGGTGGAAGCAGGGAATGGAAGTGACGGCGGGGAAGGCGATGATGGGCCGAATGGGGACGCTTCATCTTAGCCTGAAAGGATGCTGGGCTTGAAACACAGACTGGCAAATGTTCCTGCACCCACGATCATTGATGGCAAAAGTGGATTAGAACACTCAGAGCAAAAAAGGCAGAAAGGCCGGGCGTGGTGGCTTACGCCTGTAATCCCAGCCCTTGGGAAGCTGAGGCAGGAGGATTGTTGCAAGTTCGAGACCAGCCTGAGCTACAAAGTGAGCTCAAGGCCAGCCTGAACTGCATAGCGAGACTCTGTCTCAAAAAGACAAAAAAAAATTTTTTTTTAATTTAAAAAAAAAAAAGGGAGAAAGGGGTCGGGATTTTGCTCAGCAATACAGGCACCTGCCTGGCTAGCGTGAAGTCCTGAGGTTGTGAGTTCAATCTCTGGTATTAGAAAAAAAAGCAGAAAGACATGCAGAATTAAAGGGACAAGAATAAAGAAGAACAAGACACGACTGAAAGGGAAACAAGGAGCAGGGTGGAGAGGCTCACATCTCTGGACCCTTCCAGATCAACTCCATTAGCCAAGCATCGACTGTTAACAGTGAAGGCTCTCGGGCTTACTCTTGGTCATCAGATCTTTAATCTCCTCGACTATCACCTCGTTGGCTGCCGTCAGCAGCTCGTATTTGCCGTCTTTACTCCCCGAGGGATTATATTCAGGAGGGGGGTTCCCGGCGTCTCCAAAGAAGTCTCCAAGTCTGCCATTCTTTCCAGGGTACAAGAATCGACTGAAACAGCAAGGAAAAAGGCCCACGTTGCAGCATGACTCCCTGTCCTCGCACGCACTCACACTCAGCATCGAATTAAGCTGAACATGCAGGCGGAGATGCCTAAAATCCCAAGCTGAGGCAAGAGACTGCAAGTTTGAGTCCAACCTCCGCAACTCAGTGAGACCCTCTCAAAATTTTTACAAAAGACTGGGGACCTAACAGGCATGGTGGTGCATGCCTGCAATGCCCACACTGGGGAAGCTGAGGCAGGAAGATGGCTATGAGTTCAAGGCCAGCCTGAGAGACATAAGTAAGCTCATGGCCAGCCTGAACTACGTAGCAAGACCTGGCTCAAAAAAATGAAATCACACAAATATGGGGCCCACAAGAGTCCACAACTTCATTTTGAGCATGGTGGTGAACATTCCCCTATTACCTCAGAAGGCTGCCATGGTTCCAGGGCTTTCCAAAAAAAAAAAACAGGAAACATATCGGGTGCTGGGTGACAGGGTCCTGAAATGCTTCAGGGTGGTTTCTCACATGACAACCAGAGGAGACTGGTACCCCCATCAGTCAGACTCACTCTGGCTAATTATCCGAAGTGTGTACTGTCTAAACCATGCGGAGCACCTTCCTACGTTTCCGACCCATGCAGGAAGCACGCAGGGGACGCCTTTTCCTCCCTTCCTTCCGCGGGCTGCGGCTGCGGGCCAGGGCCTCCCTCGTGCCAGGCCTGTTTGTTTTGTTAGAGGGAACTTTCCTGGTGAGGCTTCTGCGGCCACCTCACCCCGTCTGGAGAGGCAGCCCGTCCTCAGGACCACGGGCGCCTGTGCCCCGTCACGTACCCAATCACCAAGAGAATCCAGGCTGCTCACTACCTGTGAAACACGGGCCACATAGTGGCCGACAAGTTGCCACTACTGTGCAGGGACAGTAAGGCAGCAGAGCCGCCTGTGACGGGGACTGGACCCTAGACAGGTAGACGCTCCGAGGAAACCCAGCCCACATGACCCATGAGACCCTCCTGCCCACACCTGGCCCACCCCACCAGCCCCAAGGAATGCCCACACAGCCTGGCTGTGCTAGGGCCTCAGGGAAATCACTGGTGAGGGCCTGGCTGGGGCTCAGGCACCAATGTGGCCAGAAAATCCGGATTTCCTGGTGGCACCTGAGATGTATTCGGGCCAGGCCCGGATGGCCCTAGTGCTGCCCGCTGCAGCTGCTGCTTGCTGGGGTGGCAGAGGGTTCTGTGGCGACACAGGGTCCTACCTCTCATGGATGTGACTGGCGATCACGGCCAGCTTGTTGGAGCGGTTCATGAACAGGTGGGAGTTGCCCAGCACCAGCACGGCGTCCATGCACTTGGACAGGGTGAACTGCGGCACAGGCGGGGTGCAAGACAGAGACGTGGCTGATTCTCCACCTAACCCTTTGCTAGAAGCCCACCCCACCCCGCCGCCCCAGGCACAGGCACAGGCAGAAAACGCTTGAAAAGCCGCCTTCTAATTTTACTCACAGAAAGCCAATGCAGGATTTAACAAAGTGTTTTTGTTTTGGTACCAGGGGTCAAAATCTCCACCTTGCGCTTGCCAGACAGGCACTTATACCGCTGAGCTAAATCCCTGGCCCAACAAGTACTTTTTAAAATGTGTTTAATATATTTCAGTTACTTAGGATTCAGCTCAGGCCCTCACGCATGCTAAGTAAGCTTTCTACCAATCAGCTGTATTCCTGGCCCTCCACAAATACTTCCTGCATAGGACTTAGGGCACTGCAAACATGTCCTGTTTCCTGTGACAAAAATTATAAAGCAACACGAAGTCAGGCGTGGTGGCACATTCTCATAATCCCAGCTACTCAGGAAGCTGAGGCAGGAGGATGGCAAGTTTGAGGCCAGCCTGGACAACACAGTGAGACTCTACTTCCAAAAAATAATTAAAAACAATACTCAACACTGCTCAGAGACAGACAGACAGAAAGACCAAGAGAAAGAATGAGCAGGGAGAAATAGGTGTAAATCTAATGAAACATGTACAGGCTTGATTGATGAAAAATCTAAATAAATGGAGACACACACTGTATTCACAGATTAGAAAACTTCACATAGTAAAGCTGTCAATTCATCTCAAATCTATATACAAACCTAATATAAATCCTCTCGAAATCCCAGAAAGACTTATTTTTTGTAGTTATAGGCAGGATTATTTGAAAACTTATATGGAAAGAAAAGGAACTGGGGCTGGGGATTTAGCTCAGTGGCATAAGTGCCTGCCTTGCAAGCAGGCAGTCGTGAGTTCGATCCCTGGTACCAATAAAAAAGGAAAAAGACAAAAAAAAAAAAAAAAGAAAGAAAGAAAGAAAGAAAAGGAATTACACAGATTAAAACAATTTTAAAATAATAAAGTGAAAAAAAAATAATAAAGTGAAAAGAATCTATAGGCACAGGTGTAATGGTCAGGACTGGGGAAGGGTGCAGGGACAGACACAGAACCACAGAGCAGGCCCATTTGATCTTCTATGAAAGAACAGCAGGGGAGGTGATGCACGGCTGCAGTCCTGGCACTTGGGAGCTGAGACAGGAAATTCTCAGGAGTTGGGCTGGGCTACAAAGTGAGTTCAAGGTCAGCCCGCACTATCTAGCAAGGCCCTGTCTCAAATTTTAAAATAAAATAAAAAACTGGAAAAAAATGCTTACAAACCATGTATCATGCAAAGTCCTTGTAGCTGGAACACTGCACAGAAACACAACCTGTGGGGCAGGTTAGACTCCAGACAGTGAGAGAGATTTTTTTTTTTTTTTTTTAGTGAGAGAGATTTTTAATGTGCTCAAAGACATGTTCTCAGGCCAAAGATGTAGCTTAGTGGCACAAGCACTTGCCTGGTAAGAGGGAGATTGTGAGTTCAATCCCCAGTACCAAAAAAAAAAAAAAAAAAAAAAAGTCATGTTCTCCCTGGAACTGAGGAGCAGTGACACAACTTTGCTAATTTGTAAATTACTGAAATGTACACTATAATAGGTCAATTTTGTGATATGTAAATTATCTCTTCAATAATGTTCTCTTTTGTTTTGTCTTTTGAGACAGGGTCTCAAAAGAGACCAGGGGACCAGGCTGGCTGTGAACTTGTGGCAAACCTCCTGACTCAGCCTCCTGAGTGCTAGCGTTACAGGTGTATGCTACCACACCTGACTAATCAAGCTGTTATTTTTTTTTTAACACAAAGTAATAGAGACATAAACATATTAAGTCAGAATCACCTGAAGTCCCCTCAAGCTGTCTTACCTGAGATTCCTTTAATGCTTGCTTCCCCCACCAAATTGGGTTGGTATCAACTATGATGACCAGAAGATTCAATTCATCCTCTGAAAATATTAATAAGAAATGAAATTCAAGTGTTAGCCTCATGAAATGAATGAAAGCTAACAATCCCAACATAAAAATTAAATTCACTACAATGTTTGTTATCCTGTCTGGCAAGGGCAAGGGCCTGAGTTTGATTCCTGATGCCAAAAAAAAAAGGCCAGTTTATTATTCTACATCCTCCCATTCACAGAAGGCCAAGTCCCTTCAGATGTAAGCTCAGTGGGTTCTTAGCGAGCCCTGTCTGCTGCCTCTACCACCACATGCACCACAGTGCAAATGAGAGGGGCTTTGCTGTTTTGTTTTTGTCAACTCCTAGTACAAAGCAAGTGCTTAGCTCTACTAACTGAACTCCAAAGAACTTGCATTGTGACTGCCTGGTCAAAGACTGAACACTCTGAATAGCCATGAACAGGAATGCCCAGGTAGGGCTGCAGGTATAGTCCAGGGAGACACAGGAGTCACCCTGTGCCTAGTCAATCATGGAGCAGTAAGGCTGATGGTGATTAGGAACCAATGGAGGTCTTTCTGATTGTTTTTGTCTCAGTATATAGTTCAGACTGGCCTTGAATTCACTATGGAGCCCAGGCAAGCCTTGGACTTACAGCCATTCTCCTGCCTCAGCCTCCTGGATGCTGGGATTACAGGTGTGCATCCCCACACCTGGCCTCTGGATAAAGGGGTATTTCATACTGTTTTAGGTTAGATGAAATATGGGACACGTTATTCCCATTTTGCAAGTGGAAGAACTTGCCAACCCACATGCAGTCTTAGGAAGTGGAGAGGCCAATCTGTTGATTCTCAGTACAACTCTTCATGATGTCATTGCCTACCAGAGGACCCACAACACAACCAAGCCTCTCCTAACAACAAAGAGTTCACCAGCAGACGATTTCAATTGCTCCTCTCGGGCTTGCCTCCCACACTATGGACTCCATGTTGAGGCTGGGGATGTAGTTCCATGGCCAAGCTCCAGTCTATGATGCACAAAGCCCTGGGTTCCATCCCCAGTAACACACAAAGAGGAGGAGACACGCTTTTTGCTAATCCTAGGTTGAAATATGTGTGCAAATCAGACAACAAAGAGCCACCTACAGAATTAATAACTGTGTCTGGCACAAGTCTTGCCCAAGGCCCTTAAGCCCCTGGCCTCAATTTCCCATTGGGATTTGCCCTACAACTGTCAGGACCTTGTTACAACCAAAAAGCTTACAAGAGTGTTGCTAGTTACAAGTGTGTATTTATGCACATGCAATGTCCCTGCGAATTCCCTCCTTCAGGTCTCTGCCTTAGTTTTTAGATCAGCAATGCTAGGTCTGACATAGTTCATTTCTCCACACAGTGGCAGAAGCAACTGTTCTCAGTGCTGGGGAGTGAACCCAGGGCCTCATACATCCCAGGCAAGTGCTCCCCCACTGATCTGCCTCTCAGTCCCAAAGTGATCTTTTTGCATGGCAAATGAGAGCAGAACAGTTTTTAGCTTAAGATCCTACAACAGCTTTATATGACGTTAAATATGAAGCGCAAATTGTTGGACCACAAGACTGTGTCTGGCCAAATGTGGCTAGTTCTGAGTTCATTTCTCTTGCTTCCTCTTTTTCAAAATATCAAAAGACTTTCTATGTGGTACTGTAATGCGTGAAAGTCTCCCTACCTTCCTATATTCCCAGGTACTCCCTAAATCCTAGTAGCTCAAACATCCCCAGGACCTTTTGCATTTAACAAGCATTTCCTGCGGAAGTTTGCAAGGCCATTTAAGTCTTAGCTCCAGCATAGCTCCCTCGCCAATACCCTAACTTTCTACTACTCTAAAGTAGCTCCTCGATCCCCAACACCGCAGCGTGCTATATTGCCCTCAGCACTTGTCACCTTTTGGAATTCATTTTATGTATTTGCGATGACTTCTGTCGCCCACGAGGCTATCTAACCTCAGCCAGCTTCCCTGCTCGTCACGTTTTCTGCAGTTTCTCCAGTGCAAAAAACAATGCCGGGGCCGGGAATTTAGCTCAGCGTCTGCTTGGCAAGCGCGAAGTCGTGAGTTTGATCCCCAGTACAAAAAAAAAAAAAAAAAAAAACTGCCAGGCAAGCAGGGGACGACCCAAAAATATTTACTCAAAGAATGAATGGACTAGCTACTCCTCTAAACACCGAATAGATCCCGCACAGCCCAAAGGTACTAGATAATCTATTTGGCAGGCCCTAACCCTGCCGAACCCGCCCAGCCCCCGAGTTGGGATCTACTTCTAAGAGTCCCTCACCGTCTGACACCATGGCGACTCCCTGCCCTCAAAGCAGAGGAAGCTGAGGTCTAGTGCGCGTCCGGAAGCCTGCGCACTCCGACTTCCGGCGCCGCCGTGTGACGCAAAGGCGCTTTGGGCCGGGCTGCTCCCTGTACCTCCACGGCCCCGCCTCCAAAGTACCGGAAGTAGCGTAAAAGGCGCGCGCCGCGCTGTCAGTCGTAGCTTGCGCGGTCGCCTGCCTCACTAGAAGACAGCGGGTGGTTCTGGATCCCTGCAGCTTCGCCGTCTGGAGGGCACCATGGACGACAAGGGTAAGCCAGGGAAAGCCAGAGCTGCGGAGCGCCTTTTAGGGATCCCCCAATCTCGAATGCCCGGGCTGGAATCCACGAAAGTCGCTGTCCGAGTTCTGACTGCTGGCTGGCTGTTTCTCCTCGTCAAGTAAATCTCCCTCGCTGACCCCATATCTGAGGGATGGGCCCCCAGAGCAGCCGCAGGCCCCACTCCCACACACGCTCCTGCCGAATCGTGAGACTGCGGGCGGAGGGCGCAGGCTTTCCTGGTCTCGATGTCTTCAGATATGAAGTAGAAGCAGGAATCCCTGTTCCGCTGGATCAGCTACTAGAATCAAAAGGCTTCTTTGCTGTTCTCATCCATGGTGGTCATCAAAATGTTTTATTAATTTAAAAAATTGAAATAAATGTAACACTGTGCATGTTAAAAAAAAAAGAAAGGGTTAGGGGCTGGGGATTTAGCTCAGCGGCATAAGCGCCTGCCTTGCAAGCAGGCAGGCCTGAGTTCGACCCCCGGTACCGATAAAAACGAAAAAGACAAAAAAAAAAAAAAAAAAAGAAAGAAAGAAAAGAAAAAGAAAGGGTTATAATTCATTCGTATAAATGCGCTTGTGCGTGTACTTGTGTGTTTTGAGTGTCTGAATAGGTTTGAATTGGCACAGACTGTCTGGAGAGGTACATGACTTTGGAGTTCTCTCAGAACTTAGCCACCTTGAAAAGTAAGAGTGACTTTAGATTATCTGAGCCCTAGGGCTTAAATTTTATAGCTTGCACACTGATAGCTTTTCAAAATTAATTTACTTTTAAAACAGGTCCTAACAAAGATGCTAAATTGCTTAAGCTGAGTTCAAATTTGCAATGCTGCCTCAGCCTCTCAGAGAGCAGGGAGGGATCAGAGGAGTATACTAACACACCCTGGTGGCTTGTTTGTGTGTGTGTGTGTGTGTGTGTGTGTTTGACATAGAGTGTCTCTGTGTAGTTCAGGCTGGCCTTGAACTCACCATGTAGCCCAGGATGGCCTTGAACTTGTGATCGTCCTGCCTCAGCCTCCTGTGCCACCAGGCCCAATAGCTTTTTAAAGGCCCAAAACTTTTTAATACCCCAATAGTTTTTTTAAAATATGATCTTTCAAGCAATTAAGTGATTAAAATCTACTCACATCAACATTAGGACTAAATACCCAGAAAACTAAATACCCAGAAAAAAATGGTATTTTTAAGTGATTTTGCTTTTGAAGATCAGCAGTCATTAAGAAGCTCTGTGTTCTCACATTCTGCTAAATGAATGTGATGAGTCACTTTTTTTCTTCCTTCTCAGAGTTAATTGAATACTTTAAGTCTCAGATGAAAGAGGATCCTGACATGGCCTCGGCAGTGGCTGCTATCCGGACTTTGCTGGAGTTCTTGAAGAGAGATAAAGGTAAAGGTTATCTTTGAACACTCTGGACTTCAGGAAAGCCTTCTGATGATTAGCAATGTAGAAAAAGAGAGATACGCTCTGCCTGCATGAGCTGATGCAGCCCAAGCACAGCTTCTGTCTCCATTTCAATTATTTTATCACGTTATCATCCAAAGTCTCGTCTATAAATGGGATATGCTTTGAATCAAGAGCAATCATCTAATATCTCCTGTCGCATTAACCATGGAGCTTAAAGTAGTTAATAATTGAACCTTATAGATGTTTGCTGAGCTCATCTCAGATTCTGGGCAACTCCTGCAGAGAATGCTGCAAAATAAATCCAGGCAGTCACATGGTATGTTGTGATTCCTGCTAATTCAGCCTCCTAAATATAACCATTGGAGTATAGCATGTATAAGCAAAGTGATAATAATAATGGCTTCTTCAGTCTGAAGGCCTGGCCTGCAGCCCCACATTCCTGAGTGTCCAATGTCCCTCATTCTTACATAACACCTGAACACTCAGGCTTCCCTGTGCTGTCCTGCAGATCTCATCTGCCTCTGCTGCGTAGTTACCTTCTGTGCTGTCCTCATTGGCCTGTGCTTCAGCCCTGCTGGCCTCTTCACAGTTTATACCCAGCTCATTCCTGTTGTGAGGTTTTGCACTGATACAGTCCATGCCTGGCCCTTTCTTAGCCGGCTCAGCCCATGCGGCCCTCAGCCTGTTACCCCAGCCCCACCTCCGTCATTCTGCTACTCTCTGTCCTCCTTACCATCTGTGATAGCCTAGCTGGTGGCTTTACTGCTATGTGTTTTCCACATTCTCCATTATGGCAGAATGCGGCCCACTCACTGGTTGTCCTCGCACACCCACAGCAGTGTCTGGCCACGATGCACCGACTGCTTCCTCATCCTAGGGCTGGACCAGTGAATCACAGGCCGGGCAAGGCCTGTGGCCCCAAAATAACACCACCTTCCTTATCTGATCATGGCAGGGGAGACGATCCAGGGCCTGAGAGCGAATCTCACCAATGCCATAGAGACGCTGTGCGGCGTGGACTCCTCGGTGGCGGTGTCCTCTGGCGGGGAGCTCTTCCTCCGCTTCATCAGCCTCACTTCCCTGGAGTACTCTGTGAGCCCCACACTCCCGCCCGAACCTCCCCACTTGCCGCCTGTCGGCAGCCACTCTCAGCTGGCCTCCTTCTGCTCGTCTCCTCCTAGGACTACTCCAAATGTAAAAAGATCATGATTGAACGGGGAGAGCTGTTTCTTAGGAGAATAGCCCTGTCAAGAAATAAAATCGCTGACCTGTGCCATACGTTCATCAAAGATGGGGCGGTGAGTAGACGGGCACTGCACATGGCAGAAGGCAGGGCCCGGCATCAGACTGCTTGGCCGAATTGGGCGCTGTCGTCACCCGCAGGGTAACCTGAGGCAGCCCACTTAACCTCTCCGAGCTGCAGCTTTCTCATCTGTGAATGAGGGGAGCAACAAGGGTTACCGGAGATGGAAAACATCGGGGCCCAGTGCTCGGTCAGTGTGGACAGCGTCATTATAGACGCTTGTCACTATAACCTGGGACAGGACGAGGGATGGACTGAGTGCAGAGCAGTTGTCTAGCAAGATGTCCTCCTGAAGAAGTGTTTTTCGGGCTGGCCATCTAACTCACTAAGTCCACACAGACCAGCTCTCCTCACTGGTTAACACCCAGCATCATCTCACTATGCTTGCCAGCTGATGGAGATGTCCTTCGTAACGTCTTTTCTGACACTCCCACAGTGGGCAGAGCTGCCAATCAGCCGTAAGCGAGCAAGGGCAGGAGCTGCCCAGGCTCCCGGCATGTGCCATAAAACACTGACTGTGACCAGTTGCAGCGCCGGCTCAGCCCCCTCACCGTAAACACTGGCTCGCTTCCTGACTCTTAACTCTTCTGTTTTATTGTCACCTTCTGAAACTTTAGAGTACATTATTAAATAAATGACAGACCTGGATGTGGTAGCGCACAGCTACCCAGCACTGTGGGAGGCTGCGGCAGGAGAATCCAAAGGTTAGGCCCAGCCTGGGCAATTTAGAAAGACTCCATCTCAGAATAAAGATTAAAAAAGGCTGAAGATGCAGCTTAGTGTGAAGGTCCTGGGTTCAGTTCCCATACCGCCCCAAATGCTTTTTCAATTTGAAAATGGGCTTGAAACCCAGTGTCCTATGAAGCCCCCTTTCTAGTTCTGGTCAACGTGTGTGAAGGCGCACAGACGCGCAGGGCTGGCACCCGGCCCACTGGGCACTTGTCCAACTGATCAGACTGTCTCACCTACAGCGAATTTTGACTCACGCCAGCTCCAGAGTGGTCCTGCGAGTCCTGCAAGCAGCTGTGGCGGCCAAGAAGCGCTTTCATGTATACATCACGGAGTCCCAGCCCGACCTGTCAGGGCAAGTATCCTCCCTTCGCCTGGGGCCGCCAGCGATGCTCCGGAGCCGGCTATGACATGGGGTAGTCGTCCCCGGCCCTCGGGGGAGACTGTAGTGCACACCAGGAACAACAGGAGATGGTGGTGATGTCAGTTGCCCATGCAGAAGTAGGTAATTCACAGAAGACAGGAAAAGCCAAGCTCTCTCCTTTTCTCCTGAATCTGTCTCCTGCCCAGCATCCTAAGAGTGTACTTCCCTGAAATTCCCGCTCTTTTCCCAGAGAGCCCCAGCTCTCCTCTCCTTAGCCTGGAGCCTTCGCACATCCATATTAACTGAGTTTCAAGCTAACCTGTTTATTGCTGTCTACCTTAAGTGATTCATCAAACATCACATGGGATTTTCTTGGTCTTTGTCTAATGACTTTAAAATATCATCTTCAGTAAGAAGATGGCCAAAGCCCTCTGCCACCTCAATGTCCCTGTCACTGTGGTGCTGGATGCTGCTGTTGGGTAAGTGTCCTTGTGTCCTGGCCACACTGGCCTGTCCTTGACTGCCCTGGGGTGGCTCCAAGGGAGGGTTCAGACCTCAGGGTGAGACCCACCCTGACTCCTCCGTGGCTGCCTCTTCATCACTGGCTGCTATTACCAGGGCGTGGGTTACAGGAGGACTCAGTGGTGCACATGGAACTCAGGGTGCTGGCAGAGAGGGGCCGTGTGCATGCATCAGTGCTCCTAAAGAGCAGGATGCCAAGATCACTGTGCTCCTTTAGTTCTCAGCAACTTGAACCACTAGGGTTACATGCATGACTGTCCTATGGACTAGTCATACCACCTGGTGCACAGTCCTGTGCTGCCCAGGACAGTCATGCATGTGCGTGGGTCAGCAGCGAGATTACCAGTGACAGCCCTGCTGTGACCGTGACGAGGCAACCTTTCTCCTGATACTAAGGCCACATGTCCCTGGGTTGTCCGTGCGTCTCACAGGGGAAAACAGAGCCAAGCCACCACCTAGAAAGAAAATACACAGTGGAGGAAGTGAAGGATGGGTTTTAGACTGAGCACTCAGAGCCGGGTGTGGGATCTGCAGTCCCAGTGCAGGAGCACCGCTGCTAACTTGAAGCCAGCCTGAATTCAGAGCGAGGCACGTCTCCAAAGAAAGCATTTCGAGTACTTTACTAACTGGTCATTTTTTTTTTAAGTAAAATTTTTCTATTTATTTGAGATAACCTGAGCTAGTGAAAGCAAAAATAGAGGATTGTAGGTTATTTTTTCTTCCTCTTTTTATCCTTGAAATAAAATAGATTTTAGAGGGAAAACTGGTCATTTTAAAAGGAAAATTGTCTTTACCGTATTAATTTTTTTTCCTCATCTTGGTACTTGGAATTGAAACAAGACCTTTCTACTGAACTATATTCCTAGCCCTTTTTTTTGAAACAAGGTCTCACTAAGTTGTCCGGGCTGGGTTTGAATTTGCAGTCTTCCTGCCTCAGCCTCCCATGAGATTACATGTGGGCAACACCATACTTCCCAAGAGTTTTAAATTGAGTAACACTTGATTTCAACTTCTGATCACCTCAGGGTCACACCGCTCAGGCTGCAGACACATATGTGCGCACGCCAGCTGGGTTCCAGCATGAAGTGTTTGTGAAACCCTGAGGCCTTGATTAAAAAAAGATCTCTTTCGGCTAGGCAGTGTGGCATGCACGTCTGTAATGCTGGCACTCGGGAGGCTGAGGCAGGAGGATCACTGCAAGTTCAGGACCAGCGTGGGGTACAAAATGAGTTCAAGTCCAGCCTGAACTGCATAGTGAGACCCTGTTTTTTTTTTATTCTTCTCTGTCTTTTTACATAACTCTAAGTCCCAATTCTTCATCTTGTTTGCATTTTCTCAGCTACATCATGGAGAAAGTAGATCTGGTCATTGTGGGCGCAGAAGGCGTGGTTGAGAACGGAGGCATCATTAACAAGGTGGGGAGCTCAGGGTGCAGGCGCTGCGTGGCCTTTCTCCTCATCTCCCTGGTCTCGCCAAGCTCCTGCCCTGACCCATTGAACTCAGGCCAAATTTCCTTCTTTGGAGACCAAATTCTTTAAATTGAGCTTGTAATTCATATTTACACAAAATGGGCTTTAATTGGAAGTGGGATTTAGTTTTTTTCATTTTAATTGAACACATTTTATATTTCATTACAATTTCTTTAATTATTGCTTGATTTTGAAGTGTTTCATGAAAAAATGTTTATGGTTATTACAGTATATAAAACATAAAACGTGCTATTTTAAGTACCCGATAAGCCTACATGACTTGGCAGAAGGGCCGTACATTACCCCATCGTGCCAGTGTGACAGCTGCTTAGAAAACTTCTCAGACAGAAAGTCTGTACCCAGTAAACACAACCTCTCTGTTCTCCCCCCTCAGCCTGTCAGCTCTAGTCTGCTCTGTGGTTTGCCTTTTCTAGATCCAGGTACCTGACAGCCAGGTGTGGTGGTCCACATCCAGAACCCCAGCACTCTGGGAGGCTGAGGCAGGAGAACCACTAGTTTGAGACCAGCAAGACCATGTCTCAAAATAAAAAGCAGAAAAGGCTGGGGTGCAGCTCCATGGTAGAGCCCTGGCAGGCCCAGCATGTGCAGGGCCCTCAGTTAGATCCCCGGCCCAGCAGCAAATGAACACTCACAGTGCACTTCGCTTTCCAGTACGGCCCGTTTCCCTGCAGCTCAGACTGACCATGCTGCGCCAGCCACCACTCCAGGGTCACCTGGGTTGTCTCCTGCTTTGGTCTGCAAGCTCACCCTGTGGATGTCCCTGAACACTACTGGAGTCCCTTGGGTGTGTGGACTCCTCTGGTTTTGATCATGTTTCCATGGTAACCAGTGTTCCCAAATGTCTTCCCTATGTCTAGGAGCCCTCTGTGTATCTTTGGAGAGATGTCTGCAAAGGTCCTGACTCCAAAGTCAGAATTACATGTACTATGTTGATTCCTACACTGTCACTTGCACAAGCTCACCCTTTTCCGCTTTCTCTGACCCCCAGATCGGAACCAACCAGATGGCCGTGTGCGCCAAGGCGCAGAACAAGCCCTTCTACGTGGTTGCGGAGAGCTTCAAGTTCGTACGGCTCTTCCCGCTGAACCAGCAGGACGTCCCCGATAAATTCAAGGCAAGTTCTACTCAGGGGCAGGGTCAGGTCCCTGCAAAACTGCAGGATCCAGAATGTTCAGAAGGTTCTTCACTTCCCGCTGTCACACGGGTTAAGCCCTGTGCGTGCTGTGGGAGGCAGGGAGGCTGGCAGGGCAGTCCCCACTTTGTCACCAGCGGGCCAGGCTTAGCTCCCACTCCCACACCACCCCTGTGGTCATGGTCCGTCCTGTCATTATGGCCACTGAACTCAAGCAGCCTTAGCTGTGCATGGGGCAGCTCCTGACACAGGAGGCCTCTGTCACACAAAGGCCTGGCACATAGTGGCTCACCCCAGGTCTAGAGGGGTCCATCCAGCACTCGGGGGCACTGTTGGACTCTGTCCTTAGCCACATCTGTCGTGTGGCCACAGAGGCCTCAGCAGCCCCCTGCCCACCCAGTGGTTGGGTCTCAGCAGCTCACCTGACACAGGCCTTCTCCCCACAGTACAAGGCAGACACTCTGAAGTCCGTGCGGGCAGGGCAGGACCTCAAGGAGGAGCACCCGTGGGTGGACTACACGTCCCCGTCCCTCATCACCCTGCTGTTCACGGACCTAGGCGTGCTCACGCCCTCGGCGGTCAGTGACGAGCTCATCAAGCTCTACCTCTAGCTGCTCCCGCGTTACCCCGACAGCCCCACCAGATGCAGCTGGGTTTTCACGGACACTCATGGACGAAGGATCCCACACCCCAAGCCTGGAGCATCTTTTCACTGGTGACTCAGTCCCATCTAAACTTGCTCCAACACCAAACCTAAACCCAGTTAGTTTCCACAAGCCTGCAGTCACCATGTGTCTCCAGAAACCCAGGTCGGTTGCAATGTAAACCCTGGCTGGCCAGAGCCTGCGCCAACCCCGTCCCGTCCCCACGGGCCCACGGAAACCATGCCAGCTGAAGGAGGTGTTCCATCCTGCCAGCCCCTCTGCCGCAGTGACCGAGGGCTGGCCAGGACGCTGCACACCGTGCCTTGTAACCAAGGCAGAGAAGGTGCTGCAGGGTGCAGCCAGGAGGCACAGGCCACCTCCCTCTTGGGGAGTCTGTCCACCTAGGTTCTGTGTCAGGAATTCCCTTTACACGCCTTGGGGCCTGAATGGCTTTTTAAATTAAACTTTGGAACACACTGAGGATCTTTACAAATAAACAGTGAAGGCTTTGACACGATGTTGCAATCTCCGGGCCCTGGATGCTAGCCTTGGTGCCACTCTGCACTGGAGGCCCCCTGGTGCACAGCAAAGCACAAGTCCTCTGCCAGGAGGGACAGCAGCACTGCCCCTCAGGACTTCTGGGCGGCCTCATTTCTCAGGGACTCACCAAGGAACAGCATTGGGTGGTTCTCAGAAACCCTGACTGGGCGTGGTGGCGCATGCCAGTTATCCCAGCACCCCAGAGGCTGAGACGGGAGGATCAGAATTGGAGGTCAGCCTGGCTACACAGTGAATAAGGCCAGCCTGAACCACACCATGAGACCCTCTCAAAAAAAGGAAAAAACCCTTGCACATTTGTTACTGGGCAGATGGTCTGTGCAAGGGGTCAGGGGTCAAATGAAGCCCAGGAGATGGGGGCAGGGAGGGCTGTGCACACTCCTCGGAACTTAGGCAAGTACTGCTCAGCACCTTTATGTTGAGTGAGTGGAAGGGAGCCTCAGGGAACATGCTCGTTAACTTAGGTGCCCACAGGAGTCATTTACGTTTTCTCTGACGTCAAGTCCAATGGTTTCAGTAAAGCAGGCACCAGTGTCAGCCCACAAACCACGTCCATCTGTAGGAACCACAGCTCGGATCCGAGTAGGGCACACAGCGCTGTCCCCACAGCAGGCCAGCTGTCCTCTGATGCGCACCACCTGAGGTGCTGGCGTCAGCAGTCGTCTTCCGGCCCAGACAGCTCGGGGTCTGCAGCCCGGGTCGCTCTTTTACCACTCAGCAGCAACCCCTTCTCGAACTCATCTTCGGTAATTTTGCCTTTTTTAAGCTTTTTCAAAAGTCTTGTGTCATTGAGAAGTTCCTCCATGTCCTCATCTTCGATGTCGGATCCCTGTGTGCGGGAGAAACCAACAGACTGCTGAATCTTGGCCACTGTGCACAAGCGCAGGTGGTGATTTGCGCCTCGAGTTCCCCACCCTGGTCTCCAACCCAGTGCATGAACCCCGCAGCCTCGCCCAGCTCCTACTCAAGAAGACTGCACTGCCCACTCTTCTGGGGTTTTGGCTTTTTTGGAACAGGGTCTCACTATGTAGCCCAGGCTGGCCTTGGACTCACGGTGACCCTCCTGCCTCAGGCCCCAGCCTGCTGGGATGACAGGCATGTGCCGCAACACCCAGCTTGTGCTGAGTTTAACCAATCAGGAAAACTGCAAAGCTTACCTCTTCTCTTTTCCTCTTCTCATTCATTTTTCTCTTCCTTTCCTTTTTGGCCTTCTGCTTCGACCACGCTTTATTCTTTATGAATCGCCTTTTCCCTTCACTTTCTGTTTTCTCTTTTCTTCGCTGCTCCAGGAGTTTCTGCCTCTGCTTCTCCCTGGCCTTGTCTTTAAATGGAATCGTGTCTGTGTTAACATCCACAGGCACGAAGTCAGGAAACTGCCTGCCTCTCAGCTCTGGCATCCTGGGCATCCTCAGCAGGGCGAAACCTCGAGCAAGACTAGCAAAATCAAGATCTAATTAAACCAAAATAGCAGAATTAGCACATCCAAAAGGCAGTTTCAGGAATCCACAGTGGACCAATGCTCAAAATCGAGTCTTTTCTAACTTTATGGGTTCATTTTAAGAGTAAACTGAATTCCACTTCTGCCAAGTAAACAGGAGCCGGCAGCCAGTGGCCAGTTTGTGTGTTAACAAAATGAACGCAACTTCACACCTTAGAGGAACAGCTGTGTGCGGCCGCCTGACTCACCCTTCAGCCGGAAGATGAGGCTGCACTCGTGCTTGGCGTAGGCCTGGACGTGGGACACAAATGCCTTCATGCCCTTCTCAAACACAGCTCTGTCGGCCAGGGCCATGGCCTGCAGCTTTGGCAGAAGGTCCACAGCGTCGCTCGGGAGCCGCGTCTCCTGCAGCGGGCACTGCACACAGCACTGGCTCGCCACCTTCCCTGGCCACCGCGCCACACCCCAGCACTCCCTGCACGGCCAGCACCCCAGAAAACTGTGGCAAACAAGGCCCAGGCCCAACCCTAGCATTTTCCTTAGGGAGAAAGATATTTTAAATAGAATTGAAACTCCGATTTCCTGTGAAGACCCTCGCTGGAACATGCGCCCCGCAGAGCTGTCTCGGCAGCTGGAGGGGGGCTGCTCTGTGCGGAGAAAGGGGAGCCCTTACTTTCTGGTTGATGGCAAGGAAATTGACGTAGGCCTCTTCCATGGGCAGCAGGAACACGAGGGCACTACCGCCATGGCCAATGCGAGCTGTGCGGCCGCAGCGATGCACAAAGGCACTGTGGGGACACAGATGAGACCAGTGTCCCCAGGAGGTCACCAGGCCCTTGGCTCAGAGACCCCCAGCCACTGCCCTGCGGGAGAATCGGCAGCAGGCAACAAATAGACACTGGTGACAGACAGGACTTAGAGACACTTATTTCCAACTCAAAATCGTGCTTGAGTGAAATCACACCCTCTCTCTCTCTCTCTCTCTCTCTCTGATCAGACAAAAAGCAAAGACAGTGGCCCCCTAACCTCAGAAGCGGCCACACTCATCCTGGGGTGTGGAGCACCGTACTTCCCTACATCTGCGAGCATCTCTTAGGAATAGGTGCTCGATTTGGGGAAAGCCACTGTCATCTCCACGTCTGGTTTTGCTTCTTTTCACTTAAGCATCTACTATAGAACTTTCAGTTTCTGAAAGGAGCCTGCAATTCGACACCACCACTGCCACACCCACCCAGGGAACAGGCCCACTGGAAAGCGATGTTCTGCACACTCAGGGCTGCCAGGCCTCTGACGCCTACCTTGCGCTGCTGGGTGGGTCGTACTGCAAAACCCAGTGGACTTCAGGAATGTCGATGCCCCGGGCCATCACATCGGTGCACACCAGGATCCCGCTGCGGGAGGAGAAAGCAGCTCTGAGGAGACACAGCCCCCAGGTCCTGGCCTCGGCCAGCTTCCGGTTCTCGGGGAAGCAATCCTGACTGGTGGCAATATTTCCATTTCTGTACTGTCCCACGAATCTCCCAGAATTTGCAGGTTCCTAACCCAAACTGGCAGTGGCGGGGAAAGTGAAGGATTCTCTTTAATTCGTGTGTTTCTGTGGAAAAACAACTGAACAGTGGCAGGCCGGACCCTCAGCAGCTACCTGGGAACAGGTGTGACTTCCACCTGAGACTGAGGAACCACAGCTGGCTGTGTCACTGGGCCCTCGGGAAGGCTTTTGTGTGGTTGTACCGTGACTGATGGGAAATGATTATCTTCACAAACAGAAACAACCTATGGTCACCAGAACCCCACTCCCTGCTGCATGGTCACCATCCTGACCGAATGCTGGTTTCATCCTCGGGACAAACTGACCGAAATGTCCACTGGCCAGGGCAGGAGGTCTGGGAGTGCGCATGAGCCAGGCACTCGAGTCCTCCTGGGGCCCACAGTCTGGTGGGGCACAGGGCATGGGGCACAGGGCATGGGGCGGGATCGGGGCTGCACATCTGCAGGGAAAGCACAGGGCCAGGACGCGAGGTGGGAGCGGCTCAGGTAGGAGATGGGTGCAGGTCCAGGGAGGGCGCTGAGCGCTCACCTCTGCAGCCTGCGGAAGTCCGTGAAGATCTTGTTGCGCTTGTGCTTCATCTTCCCGTGAATGCACGTGACCGTCACGCCCTTCACCAGGGCCTGCAGGGCCTTCCCGTAGTACTCCACGCAGGCGCAGGTGCTGCAGGGAGGAGACAGGCTCAGGCTGCTGCCCAGCTCAGCCCTACAGCTGGGGAAGGGAGCAACCTGCGACAGATGCAGGGACAGGACTGACCACAGAGCCTCTGGGGAGCGTGTGGGACCACAAAGACACCTGTACCGAGCTCTGGGTCGGAAATCCTCTTGGCCAATGAAAGACCGATCTCTTCCTTTTTTTTTTTTTTAAATTAATTATTTGTTTGTTTGTTTGTTTGTTTGGCAGTACTGGGGATTGAACTCACGACCTCGAGCTTGCCAGGCAGGCGCTTATGCCGCTGAGCGAAATCCCCAGCCCAAAAAGACTCTTGGCTAGATCCCTTAAAGGTGAGTGAAAACTCTGAGCATGTAGCCCACCTCCTTCAGTCAAAGTCAGTAAGGGCAGCACATATAAGAAGGCTTTCTGCCTCCTGATCAAAAAAAAGGCAAAGACACAGCTCACAGCGCTCTTCCCAGCTCCCCCACCGCCTGCCTTCAGTGGCTCCAGGCGGCTCCGGGAGCTCAGACAGCACACGGCAGGGGCCAAGGCTGTGCAGAAACTAATACTGACGGTGCTATGACAGTGAAACACCTCCGGACCCTCCCAACCCTGCTGAAGGAATCCAGAGTCCACCCTCCAAGCCTCAGCAGCCTTTTGTTAACCCAAAGCCCCGCCAGCATGAGGCCCTCATGCCTGCAACTGAGACCCAGGACTGCGACCCTCAGCACACGCGGGGTGGTGAGTTCCAGCCCCCTAACTGGGGCCCAGACGGGTTACCTGAAAAAGACCAGGTGTTTCTCCTGCTTGTGGTTCCGAAGGAAATGTACCAGCTGGTTAAACTTCTCATCTGCCTTACATACCTACAACAAAAAAAGGAAAGTTTTTAAGATTTTTTTAAAAACTCAATAATCCCCATAGTTATTTCAATTTCAGCCTTCAATGTGACAAAATCCCATGTCCTCTAGGACAAATTGATAATCAATGTACTGGGCTGCAGACTGTAAATGTTAATCAAGTCACAAGGTCACAAAGCCCTGAGGAAGGCATCACCTGGTCGTCCCAAGCGCCAGCACTCTTCGGTGACCTTGCCAGCTGCAACACCAGGGGACAAATGCAGGTTCAGGCACTGCCAGCTCAATGTCACCACGTGAGGCAAGCACGGCCATCAGAAAGGCAGGCCCGCCACTCCCTGGGACCCGTGGACAGACCCCACTGGCTCTTCACTCCACTCACGACTCCATCCCTGCTGGAGACGCTAAGGCACAGGGACGGCCCCTGTTCCTACAGAGCTAAATCTCCATCTGGAGCACTGCTCCTGCTCTGGGCCACATCTCAGTGCAGCCCCAAGGGCAAATGCAGCATCTGTGGTGTCTCAGCCCTTACTGTGTCCTAAACCTCCCCTCTCACAGGTAGCGACGGTCAGTGCAACCAGTGACCCCACAGGGGACGAAGCCCCAAAACACCAGTGCTGAGTACTCCCCTCCCCAGGACAGACTCACAAGTCCCACTTCAGCAAAGCACAGGAGATCCCAGCACCTCTCTAGGTCAGCACCACGGGGTGCCTTCTCATCTTTGAGCTCCTTCTACATGACCAGGACAATAGCCTCACCCAGCCACCAGCCCACTGCCTCTGTGCACACAGCCACGTCCAGGGCCCAGAGAAGCCCCCTCAGACATTGGGGGTTCTCAATGCCACATAAGCCGTGGCAAAGCCCAGCAATGGAGGATGAGAGGACACTGCTGACCTTGTGAGTGAGCCATCAAAGTGCCCCAAACCTGCCCATGGCCTTGAGGAAACAGCAAGTGACAACGGGGCTGGGTGCAGGTCAGAAACGAGGCGTTTGCCCACACATTTCCCACACGGCCATCAGGCTGGGCCCACTTCGGGGCCCAGGGCGCTGCCTGCACACTCTCACACGTGCCACACAAACATCCAGGGCAAGTCCTCTGGGCTGGGAGGTTCAGACGCAGTCCTAAGACATCACTCCTCTGTCATTCAGACCATGTGGCCTAGCCCTGTCCCTCAACACTGTGCCACAGGGTCTCGTTTTCTAGATCAGACTTCCTTGTGACCCCCAGCAGATCCCGAGAACGCCGGCCGCCCCCGGACCCACCATGTAGTAGTTCTGCAGCCTCGAGGGTGTCTTCTGGGTGCTGCTGGCCGCCACGCCCTTCTCCTTCACCGAGATGCGCACAGGGTTGCGGAGCCCAGCGCGCACCAAGTTCTCCACCTCCTGTGTCTGTGTTGCCGAGAAAAGCCCTGTCCTCCTCTGCTTCGGCAGCAGCTCCAGGATGGTGTTGATGCTGGGGAAGCACACCGTGGGCTTGAGTGCTCGCCTACCAGCAGCCAGCACACAGCACTAGAGGGGTATTTTAAGAGTGGAGTGCTGGGTATGGGGGTGCACACCTGTAATCCCAGCACTCAGGAGCCCTAGGCAAGAGGACCGCCTAGAGTTCAAGGCCAGCCTGGGCTACATAGTAAGTTCAAGCCAGCCTGAACTACCAACTGAGACCCTGTAAAAAAGACAAAAAAAAAAGACAGGAAGAGAAGCCAACAAAATAGTTGACAATAGTGGGAGTGAAATTATAAGCAATGGAGGCGCCAAGTGTGGCGGCAAACAACTGTAATTCCAGCACTTGGGAGGCTGAGGCAAGAGAATAATTGCAAATTTTAGACCAGCTTGGGATACCAAGTGAGCTCAAGGCCAGCCTGAACTGCACAGCAAGACCGTGTCTCAAAAGAACAGAAAAACAAAAAGTACAGTGGAGGAGGGGCACAAATAGAAGAGAGTGAAATTAAGCATTTTTTTGTTTGTTTTTTGTCTTTTTCCTTTTTATTGGTACCGGGGATCGAACTCACGACTGCCTGTTTGCAAGACAGGAGCTTATGCCACTGAGCTAAATCCCCAGCCCCAATTAAGAACTTTTTGAGACTAAAACATACTGCACCTTACACTTTATATGAATCCCTTAAATGGTGTTTGAACATATCCCCCAAAGCTGTTTATTAAACAAAAACCTGAAGGAAAACGCATTTTGAGGTCAAAGCTAGAACTGGAAGGACGTGATAGCAGAATCTGAAGGCCTGAGCCACCTGACGATCTGAAATCCCAGTGTGGGATGAAAGCAATCCCGATGCAACACGACAGAACTCCTCTGCTTTTTCTACCAGTACCGCTGGTCCATCCCAGGGGAGCCCAAAATCCAGTACCTGGCTTCAAATCCCATGTCCAGAAGTCTGTCTGCTTCATCCAGCACCAGGACATCCAGGGCCCGCACACAGCTGGCTAGGTCCAAACCCTCCGCCTTCCTCCGGAACATGTCCTCCAGGCGGCCTGGCGTTGCCACGATGATATTCCCACTTTGGGAAGAAAGGTAACACTGGCCACACGATCTGGAACTCGGGAACACTGGTGATTTCCAGACCATCAAACTTCCCAGCCCTCAAAGCCCTCTAATCCCACAGAGAAGGAAGGCGGCCAGGAGAGGGGCACAGCACCCTGCAGGGTGCGCAGCAAGGGTTGCAGGGGTCAGAGTGGTTCCTGAGCCAGAAGAGGAGCTAGGAAGTGTGCACCAGGCAGCAGAAGGGAACTAGCAGAGCTCCCAGGTTGGGGGCAGGCCCATGTCACGCTCGGACTCGGCTAGGGTCCCAGGCCCACAGCAAGGCCAGCCAGGAGCCAGAGAAAGCAAGCTCACCCTTCTCGCTTGAACCTCTCAACATCTTCTCCAGGGTTCCTGCCTCCAATCCAAAGAATCTGGCTAAAACAGAAAGTGGACTCTGAGCAAGCCAGGCCGGACATCAGTCCAGGGCAGTCAAGGATCAGCATTCAACTCACCTGAACTGGGGGAAGCGCTTTGTGAAATGTGACAGGACCTCGTCAATCTGAATGGCCAGCTCGCGAGTGGGGGTGATGATGATGGCACCCACCTACCCCAGGGAAGGGATGTGGTCAGCGGGTAGGCAGAGACCAACCGCACAAGCCCACACCACCTCTCCCGGAGGACCAATGCCCAGGGAAACGGCTCGTGCTGGGCTTTCACCAAGCACCAGGTCACAGCACTTATCAGCTGCTCCAAATTCCTTGTCATTATGCACGTGACCACAGCATTACTGAGTCTGGAACTGCTGCTCCCACGGGAAGCACAGGGTCAGGTTCCTGCAAGCCCTTGGGCACACCTTCATCAGTCAGTCAATACCTCATGTTATGGAGGTTTGGTTGAAACACATCTTTTTTACTGTTTGCCACTAATCTGTGACCACTGAATTCAGGACTAAGAGCATGACGCACACCTGAAAGTTTTCTAACACACTTTCCATACAAGCCACTCTAAGCCAATAGCCAACAACCAAATCAGAAAGGAAAAGCCCAGAAATGTAAAAAGCCAGGCACTAAGCCGGCCATGAGAAGGGTCCACTTATAGGACAGGAGGGGAAAGCAAGTGCGCTCTGCCACCGTCCCTGGAGGGCCACGGGGGCAAAGGAGAACACACAGAAGCCGAACATGATGAGACTCCACTGCCAGCTCCTTCCCCAGCTGTCAACACTCTGATGACCACGCCATGACAAACCACTCAATGACTAACCTGCCTCTTCTTTAACTTCTCTTCTCTTCTCAGAAGGACTTCCAGGATGGGGATGACAAAGGCGAGGGTTTTACCGCTACCTGTGACCTGCAAGGGGGAGAAGGCTTCAGTTTGCTCCCCGATGCCAGCTCCCCAGAGGGACTGTGGTCGGCTGAGACCCAAGGCACTCACCGCTTCGGCGGCAACGTCTTTATTCTTCATGAACAGGGGAATGGTTGCAGACTGGGGAAAGATTGCATGACACTGGTTAAGGAATGCCACCAACTCCTGTGACACTCAAGTTGCAGGGACAGTGTGTGGCTGATGGGACCATGAGTACCAAGGCAGCCAGCACTGGGGTCATGGAACAATGACCCTCTCAGTGACCCGAATACATCCTCTTAGTTTACACATCCTGGAAGGCCCCTACAAGAAGACGGTTCTTCTGTGTCAGAGACTGAAGCAGCTACAGCTGAAGCAGATTCCCTCCAGGACTCTTTCCCTGGGCCCCAGAGCCTGCATCCAGCCCGCCACAGCACCCAACACACTATTAAAACCCTCTACAGGCCAAATCTTGAACGGGTGACTTCTGTCTCCTCTCTACCTAAGAAAGGCTTGGCAACAGCTGGAGGTATCTTTGATGATCAAAGCCCAGGGTGAGCCAGACATGGTGGCACATTTCTGTGATCACTCAGGAGGCTCAGGCGAGAGAATCACAAACTTGAGGCTGGCCTGAGCTACACAGAAAGACCCTATACCAATTCAACAAAACAAAACCCAGGTGAAAGTGACTGGCCTCTGCTGGATACACACCAGGGCCACTAAAAAATACTCTGCAGTGCCCAAGTTAGGCCTACAACACAGCATTTTCTCCCCCAAATATCAACAGTACCCTGAGGACCACAATAGAAAGACAAAGTGAATTGAGCCACACGTGGTGGCTCACCCCTGTAATCCCAGCACTTGGGAGGCTGAGGTGGGAGGATAATTGTAAGTTTGAGACCAGCCTGGGCTACAAAGTGAGCTCAAGGCCAGGCTGAACTGCATAGCGAGACCCCGTCTCAAAAAAAAAAGAAAGACAATGTGAATCACATCCAAACTTGTGAACTTCACAATAATGAGCTGGTGTGGTAGTATAAGCCTGTAATCCCAGCCCTTGAGAGGCTAAGGACAGAAATGTCCCAAATTCAAACCCAGTCTGGACTACATAGTGAGATCTTGTCTCCAAAAAAAAAAAAAGGAATAGTAGCTATAAAAAAAAGAAACAAGTGAAATAAATGTAGTAATATATTTTATTCAAGCCCAGCGAAGTGGCACAGGCCTATGATCCAAGCACTCAGGAGTCTGAGGCAGGAGGATCACTGCAAGTTCAAGGTCAGCTTGAAGTACACAGTGTAAAACCTTGTCTCAAAAATAAATATATATATTATTTAATCCAATACAGCTAAAACATTGTCACTTGAATATTTGATCATTACACAATTAATGAGATATTTTCCTTTTTTTTTTGCTTTGGTTTTATTTTTTAGAGAGGATTTCACTATGTATCCCAGACTGGCTTCAAACTAGCTATTATTGGGGCTGGGGATTTAGCTCAGCGGCATAAGCGCCTGCCTTGCGAGCAGGCAGTTGTGAGTTCGATCCCTGGTACCGATAAAAATGAAAAAGACAAAAAAAAACAAAAACAAAAACAAAAACAAAAACAAAAACAAAAAAAAACTAGCTATCATCGGCCAAGCTGGCCTTGAATTTACTCCTGCCTCAGCGTCCAGAGTGCTAAGATTGCAGACGTGTCACCCTGCATGGCTTTTTCAATTTCTTCAAAATCCAGTGCATCAAGTTCCTTGCAGCAAGCATCTCATCTGGACATGTCTGGTGACAGGGGTGGTGGCCGGGCAGCTGTAGACACTGAGCTCCAATGTCACACGATGGAGGTTACTACATGCACTACATTCTCGAAGCCTGGCACACAGAGTTCCCACTTTTTATCTCCAGCCCCACCTGCTCCCCCTTCCAGTCCTTATGGGGATCTCAGTGAGGTTTGTTTCTTTTTCTTTTTCTTTTTTTTTTTAATCGGTACCGGGGATCGAACTCACGACCACCTGCTTGCGAGGCAGGTGCTTATGCCGCTGAGCTAAATCCCCTGCCCCTATCAGTGAAGTTTCAAACTCTCTAATTAAACAAAACCAAAATACACAAGCAGCCGCCCCTCAGTGACACCTAAGAACCCCACCCCTACCCCTCCAGATCCCTCTTTCATAACCCCATACCTGGCTCTCAGCAATCCGGGGCTGTCCCAATCTGGCGTCTCACTGGGCACTGCTCCCACCCTACTTCAACCCACTGCCGTGTCTCGGCCAACGATAACGGCCCCCCTGCTTCTCCTACCCCTCCACAGGTCGGTCACTGCCCTTCCCTTCTCACCACCCAGGAGGGCTTCCTACCCCACTGACAGCCAAACCCAGGTCCCTGCAGCACCCAGCCCCGGCTTTTGTCATCACTCAGGATGCTCGGCCACAAAGCCCGTGCGGTGCTGAGCTCGCCTCCCCTAGCCCGAGGGCGTGTGCTGGCTTTCCTCTCGGCCCCCAAAACCCAGAGCCGGCCCCTTCCCGATCACCGCAGTCTCCAGTGGGTGACGCAGGTCGGAAGCCCTGGCCGCTGACCCCTCCTATGCCTGCTCCTTCCGGGGAATCACATCGCCCCCGAGTCCTCCCTCCCTCGGCATCAGGGGAGATGATCTCATTCCTCCTTTCCCTACGGTGGCTCCTGCTCCAGAATTGCAGGCCTCGCACCAGGTACCAAGATTGCAAAGCTCCAGGAGTCCAGATCACCTGGTACCCATCAGCTCCTCCAATAAACGCTTCTTGAGTCAATGGGACCAGGACGCCCGGCTTTTGCCAGTGAACGGTGAACACCTACTGAGCTTCCCCACGCCTGTCTAATCTAACTCCGTAGGAGGCGGGGCACGTCACTTCCCTCGTTTCATAGGGACTGCGTGTGACGCGCCGAGAGGTTAAGTTGTGGAGCTCTCACAGCGACAGCCAGGGCGCTCAGCCGCGGGTCCCCTCGGGCCGCCGGATCCGGCGCGGGAGGAGCCCGGGCTTAGCGGCCTGGCTCTGTCACCCACAGGCTGCGGCCGAAAAAGCAGGTGCCCGCCCGGCTCCCGGCCTCACCTTCCCGTCCGGCCCCGGGTGAGATACCTGCACCGGCGTCATGTACGGGAATCCCAGCTCCCGCAGGGTGTCCAGCACCCGCGGGTGCAACGGCACAGGCAGCGACTCCCAGGAGCCCTCAGTCACGTGCTCCATGGCGAGGTCTTGAACAACCTCGGTGGCACTCGGAACGCACCAGTGTAACGCCAGCAGGCATTTCCGCTTCCGGGAGCGCAGGCTTCCGGGCCGGGAACAGTGTCCCGAGCGGCAAGGTTCCGGAGCCGGCGCAAGGAAGGCGTTCCCGCCCCCAGAACGAGGAAGCCTCAGCGGCACAGAGAAAGCGATTGTGCCAGGGGACTGGAGACCCCGCTGCGCTAGTTGCCGCCGCCTTTCCGAAACGCCGACCAGGCATTGAGGAGGGAGGGATTCTGGCTCGGCTCTTGCACTTCCTCCACCAGTGGAGGCAGATGGCAGCACAGCTCCACGTGCGGAAGCGCTGTGTGGCCAGAAAGGCAGGAGGGTGAGGACCTGCCTCCTTTCGGGAAGTTACCGCCGGAGTCCGCATCGACAAGTCTTCCCAGCCCTGTGCTCGCACCCGCTCGTTTGTCCCCACACACCTTCGCTGGACACCCTGTCATTAGCTGTGTGCTGGGCTCCGGGATGAAGCTCCTTCAGATGCGTGCACGCCTCCCTCCCTCACATCCTTCCCTTTTGTTGTTGTCTGTTGAGACAGGATCGTGCTAGTTCGGGTTGGCCTTGAACTATAGCCCAGGGTGGCCTCCAACTCACAAACCTCCTGCCTCCGCCTCTTGGGTGCTGGGATTAGAGACTTGCGGCACCAAACCCAGCCACGCCCTTCACTTTTCAAGTATCACATCTCCGTGATGGCTGTCCTTTCCAATCACTAAATCTCCTTTCTTGCTGTATGTTCCCACTGTATGTAGACGGTTCATCTCCCCCACTAAACATTGAAACCTCAACAATGGGATATTGCCTTTACTAGAACTGTTGCATACAGGAGTCAAATGTATGGGATGAATAAATGCGAGGAAGAAATAGTTCCCAGGCAGAGGGTGGTCGCCTCAAACGCAAAGATAAAACCTGAAACAGTTGCACTGGAAGGATCACCACAGGACACTTCCAGACAGCTCCAAAGCAAGCACACAGCAAACTGCACGGCTGTTGGTTTCTTGCCAAGACCTTTTTCCAAGACCAGTCCCTCATTCCCAAAATGTTACCCAAAGTAATGGCAGTGTTGAGGCATAAACCGGCCAAAGCATGGAAAGCATTTAGCAACAGCTCAGGCCATTCCGCAGCCCTCGGTAGAGGCTGAGTCCCAGCAGGCCTTGGTGTAAGGGAGGGAGACCAACTGTCAGCCTGCCGAAGAGGCCCTGGCTCCGCCTTTTACTGTATCTGGGGTGTTGAGCAAATCACTCTCATATCCATCTCCAACCTCCATAAACAAATCGTTAAGTGACATGAATTCATGTTTTTTTCAAACAAAAAAAAATAGAAACTAAAATTGAGTCCCTATTCACTATCCTTGTTTATTTATCCTTAATTTATTTTGGTACCAAGGATTGAACTCAAGACCTTCCTCTTGCCAGGAAGGTGCTTGTGCCGCTGAACTAAATCCCCAGCCCACTATCCTTATTTATAGCAGGTATAATTACATAAAACATGGAGATGTCTCATCTCAAATAACAGAAAAGTTGGTTATTTAACAAGAGTGAGCTAACCATAGTTAACACATAAAACACAGAACACTGGATGTTTTTAAAAAGAATTGTTTATTTAGTGAACCTGGGGCATATTAGATACACAACCAATTTTAAATTTACATATTTTAATTCAATTTTGAAGTGTTTCCACACACACACACACACACACACACACACACACACACACACAAATTGGCATGCAACAGTTTTCCTAAAGTGAAACAGGCACCTCATCAGTAAACTGTTGCAAGTATTTTCATCCAAGGTTAAAAAATTGTCCTGAACATGAAAACCTGTAACGAATTTAAATTAACTATATAAAATTGTTACTTATAGTTTTCCCCTTGCAAAGATTCAAAAAAAGAATGTCCAAGTAACCAATATACCTCAGTCACAACATAATCCTGGATCACTCCCACACCAAACCCAGAAGCTCCTTTAATCTGAAACTCATCATCAAAGAGAAAGACTTTTCATTTTATGTAAAACAAAATTTACATGTGCCAAAAAAGAAAGACCCAGGAGAAACAAAACAAGAACCAGAGTGCTGACACTGACACCATGTTCAGTGCCCTGATGGGACCTAAGAGGCCACAGATGAGAAATAAAACAGTGGCTGTTTATCACCGCAAAGAAACCCAGAGGCCTGAACCCTTTGGCATCACAAGTCTCGATTTTTCTACAATGCCAAGGGTAGAGAAAAGGGACATGCTGGCACCGAGAGCAGCTGGCATGTGCTTCGACACCCAGGGAACAGGCTGAACAGGGGCTCCTGAGGGGGCGGAAACCAAACAACAGTTAGCTCAGCCGCTTAGCTCACCAGTGAGGGGGTTCAGTCTAAGAGTCTATGGAAGTGTAGGGGAAGTGTGTGTTGGGGCAGTCTTAGACTGAAGGGCGGTGAGGGACAGTGGGAAAGGCCCCAGCCTCCTGCTCTGACACTCCCAAGTCAGAGCACTGCCACTATGCTGGGCAGAAAAGGCCAAGATTGAAATCACTGTTTCATGTAACAGCTGGGCAGTCAGTTCCCAAGGACTCAGCCGTGCCAGGAGGGAGTCCAGAGACTGGAGTCACTGTATGAGGGTCCATCAGGCTCTGTGCCAATTCCTGAACAAACTGCATTTTTAAGTGAAAATAAAAAAGGCATAATAAAAAACTATACTCCTGCTTCTGTTCACAATGTTGGAATTTTGGAAGGACCTGTATAATGAAAGCAATTCAAATAAATTTTATGCCGATCAAATGTCAAATTTTCAATTTAACTTTCCTAAAAAAAAAAGGTCCCCCCCAGTATCTATTAATCACAAAGAAACATAAGCTGTGAATTTACAGTTCCAAAAATAAAAATGTAGAAACTAATGACACTATTATGACCAAGATGTTTGGTAAACAAGTAAATTATGTGTTTGGGATCATAAGAAAGGCCTTTTAAACAACCCTCCGGACTTCAAAAAACCTCTTCAGGTAGTAGATCTGTCCCAATGTCATAGCAACTAGAACAAGAGCTTCAAAGAAGGACCAAAGGACCACTCTGCTGTTCGTGTTGTCATTGACTGTAGGAAGACAAGAAGAAAAAATTAACAACCACTCCCTGAAGGGACATAATTCCCTAGGTTTTTTGGGGTTTTTCTTTGTTTTGTTTTGTCTTTTAATTGGTACCGGGGATGGAACTCACGACTGCCTGCTTGCAAGGCAGGCGCTTATGCCACTGAGCTAAATCCCCAGCCCCTATTATTCCCTAGGTTTACACAATACTGTTTTGCATACCATGCACAGGACTTCTATCTGCGGTAACTCAGCATCTCGGGAGCAGAGATGTTTAGCTCTGAAACCTTAATGATATCCACTGTGCGGAATCCTACTATGCTGAAGTTCAGAGACCAGAGAGCAAACAGCCCGCCAAAGTCACACTTCCAAGATTAACCTCCAGTCCAACCCTCTTTCTTGCTCACTATGAATGTCCTACATTATCATACTTTTAGCTGGGACAGAAAACAGTTTAACGAAAAGCATTGTCTACCAAGTCAAAATATGCCAGGCTGTGTGTATTTTTCTTTAAATGCTTAGTCGACAAAGTATTTAGTGAGCACCTACTATGTGCCTGGTTTTTATTCTAGATGGGAGAAGCTTCTCAGTTTCGTGGACTGATTACGGCAGTTACAACACTACCAAACAGAAGACACTTTCTCACCACTGACCATACTCTCACGCTAAGGATTTGACCCTTAAAGGAAACCCAGGACTCCTTAGATCCACTCTGCTCACCCTGTCACATCTCCCTCTTAGTTATCTTTCTACTGTTACTTCTGTAAACCACTCAGTAGCTCCCCAACTTCTCTGTAAAAAGCATTACAAGGCTGGGGTTTAGCTCAGCAGCATAAGCGCCTGCCTTGCAAGTTCGATCCTGGTACCAAAAAATAAGGATTACAATCAGTCATATTAACCAGCCGCATAAGTGAGCACCAGATTGTTGGATACATGCATTTTAAGACTGAACAGGTCCTGTAATCACTCAGGGAGAAGTGAAAAGCAACTGGCATTCTTCTAAAAGGATAACTTCATTTCTCAAAAATGTAACTTTTGGGCTTGGAGTTTAGCTCAGTGGCATAAGACTGCCTGCCAGGCAAGTCATGAGTTCAATTCCCAGTACCAGAAGCCAAAAAAAAAAAAAAAAAAACCTCAAAAATCCCAGAACATTAACTAGATCCATAAGAACCATCAAAGATCCATTCAAAATTACTGACATGTACTAATTCCATAACTGGAAAAGCTCACTTCTGCTATACTGTAGCATAACTATGAATAACTATCATGTAAGGATTGTCTGAAAGAGGAAAGTTTGAGTAAGTATCTCAAAATATTAAGCAACTTTTAAAAATCTTTTAGAGGTATGGGAAATAGGAGTTTCTTTTTTGGGGAAGGACCAAGGTCTCACTAGGCAGTTCAAGCAGGCATTGAACTCACTACATAGCCCAGACTAACCTCAAACTTAAAAATCCTCCTGTCTCAGCCTCCCCAGTGCTCGGGTTACAGGCACCGCAGGTGCTACCACGCCTGGCAAAAATGAGTTTCTAGACAATGTCTAAGAAACAGGCTATAAAATTGTATACGCCGTTTTACTCACTTATGTCAAAGTTCCTGTCTTTAAGGAAAAGCAAGCTAGCTGGCACAGTGGCACGCGCCTGCATCCCAGCACCTCTGGGACACTGAGGTGGGAGACTCAAATTCAACTGGTGCCAGGGCGGACTAGTGAGACCCTGTCTCAAAACAAAGAAAAGAGCTGGAGACACAGCACAGTGTCGAGGCCCTTGTCTTACTCACTGATATCACCAAGAACAAATGAATGACGAATGAATGAATGAATGAATGGAGTCGGAGGCACAGTTCTGTGAAGGCACTAGGTCCAGCCCTGGAATCAGCCCTCCCCCGAAATAAACTTTAAAAATTAAAAAACAAAACTTAAATGTAACAGTCTGGTGTGATGGTGCACACCTGTACCCCAGTACCATGGGAGGCTGAGGTACAAAAATGCCAAGTTCTAGCCCAGCCTGGGCAACTTAGCAAGACCCACTCTCAAAACAAAAAACAAAAACATAAAAAGTAAATGTGGATTAAGCTCAGTGTGAAGGCCCTGAGTTCAATCTCCAGTTCAAAAAACAAAACAAAACAAAATAACAATTAACAGTGATGACTAAGCCAGGCAGGATGGCACATGCCTATAATCCCAGCACTTAGAAGGCTGAGGCAAGAGGATCACCATGAGTTGAGACCAGCGTAGGTTACAAAGTGAGCTCAAGGCCAGTCTGAACTGCACAGTGAGACCCTGCCTCAAAAATACAAAACAAAAACAAAAACCATGCTTATCCTACAGTAGAGGAGGGGAGCATCTCCTGGCCCTTTTATTCTGATACAGTCCTGCTAAGGTGCCCAGCAGAACTTTAACTTGTAATTCTCTTCAGCCTTCCTGATGCTGGTATTCTAGGCTGAACAGTTTTTATTTCTTTCTTTATACTTCTTTGTATTTCTCAAATTTTCAACCTGAATATGTGTTCATTCTTTTTTCCTCCTAATTATGACACTGTATTGTATCTGAGAAATTTGCCATGTGGCCTCTCATGAATGTCAAATCCCAGTCTCTTCTTTCTCCATAGACAAATGCATCTAACTCAAAAAACACAGAAACCTAACACAAGGACGCAGCAAAGTGTGTGTAAGATGTTGCCCTCTTGCTGTTCACAAAGATGCATGGCCCGGAGGCCCCCAAGCAGCATCATAGTACCAGGGAACACGGGGTTCCCTCGGCGGAGTCATCACAATCCACGGTGGGGAAGATGCGTGAAAACCACCACTGTGAGGACCAATGCATCTCCAAAACTAAACTGGGTATCTGAAAATTCAATTCTACAAAAAAAAAATAAAAATAAAAAAGAGCATCTCCACTGAGGGCAAGAAAACAAAGCTGGCCACCCCTTCAGACCGCCTGAGCCCCATCTACCTGTACAGCCCTGCGGTCTCACTTGTCAAGACTACAAAGTGACCAAGGTCCTTAGCCCCCGGCTTCTCACCCCAGAATGGGCTGGCTCCCCAATAGGAGGAAGTTAGCAACAAAGGGCTTCCTAGCAGGCGAGGGGAGGAGGAGGCCATCACAGAGGTGAGGAGGGGAGTGGTGGCGAGGAGAAAGAACTGCACAGGAGGCAGGGCAGCTGTGCTCTGCCTGGGGAAGGCTGGGGGTCTCTGCAGCCTCCTGCAGCCCCCATCACCTGCCGGCAGCCCCTTCCCCTCATGGCAAGAGGACAGCCCCTTGTGGCAGGTGTTTGAGCTGTGTTGGCCTTAGTGCCTCCTCGCTCCATTCCCCGCCACCACTCAGATCAGCGACTCAGACCAGAGCTCGAGCTCAAAGGAAACCCTACACACAGGAGCCAAAAGGAGAAGGAAAGTCACTGCACAGCAGCTTGGGGTCTGGACTAAAATACAGTATTTGGTCTGTATGTCAGTATGCTAAATCTTAATTTAAGGTGAAACCATACAATTTATACAAGACTCTAATCATTACTGTTTACACACAAAAATACACTCCAAGTTTCTAACTTAGAAACTGGACACAAACTGCTCCTTACCCTGGTGACGTCCCTGTATTCAGGTTTACTATTCTAACTAGTCTGAGCCTCTTACTGCAGGAAAGTTAAACCTCAGCATGTAGTATTGATCACACTGGAAAAAATTTCAGTTATGTGAGTAAAGCCAATGTTTTAAAACTCATTTTGCAATGTTTTCCCCCTATCCTTTAAGAAATCTATTAGCAGGGCCGGGGATTTAGCTCAGCGGCATAAGCACCTGCCTTGCAAGCGCACAGTTCTGAGTTCAATCCCCGGTACCAAAAAAAAAAAAAAAAGAAAGAAAAAAAAACTATTAGATTAACCCTCAGCTGCTCATAAAATTTTTATATTTTTGATACTAGGGATTGAACTCATAACCCTGAGCTTGCCAGGCAGGCACTTGTGCCACTGAGCTAAATCCCTGGTTCAAAATTTGGTCTTCAATAAATGAATAAATTTTAAACTCTTAAAAGCTTAAGCTGAGTTTTAATATTTTTGGTATACAATGAATATCCCAGTAATAAACTACCTTTACACAGAATTCTACAAATGTGTATACTAAGCTAGGCATGGTGGCACACATGTTATCCCAGCCTTCAGGAAGCTGCGACAGGAGGACTATAAATTTGATTGAGGCCAGCCTGGGCTACATTGTGAGTTTAAAGTCAGCCAGAATAACATAGCGAGACTCTGTCTCAAACAAACAGAAATGTGCATACACAAAAAAATCTTTGTGTAGGGGCTTTTATATAAAAAAAAGTCACACATGCCAAGTGTGGTAGGACATGCCTGTAATCCCATCTACTTCAGAGGCTGAGGCAGGAGGACCCAAAGTTCAAGGCCAACCTACCCAACTTAGCAAGATCCTTTCTCAAAAGTTTAAAAAGGGGCTATGGTTGTAGCTCAGTAGTACACTGCCCTGTGTTTGACCCTAGTACCCGACCCCACACCCTGCAAAAAGCCGAAGCATGATTACGTCTGCCTAACTTGGGAACGAGGAGGAGATGTGCAAGCGGCAAGACTCCCCAGGAGCCGCACCACGCGGCCGAGCTGCACTCACTGGCTCTGTGTATCCTCTCCCGGACCTCCATGTACTCCTGCTCGTGTTTCACGGCCGTCATGGCCACAGCCAGCTCGTTGATCATCTCTTCCAGCTTGTTCTGGTGAGCTGTGGAGAGACGAGAACAGGTCAGCAGGCAGCCAGGGTGTCAGGGAGAAACACTGACAAAACTACCGCGCACTTCCCAGAGAGGGTCAGAAAAAGCCACAGTTAGAAATGGAGCAGCCATCAAACTGGACCACCGTTATGAGCCACTGAGACAACAAAATTCTCAGAACATTTGTTTAAAGTCCATTTTCAGACCGGGCGTGGTGGCACATGCCTGTAATCCCAGCACTGGGGAAGCTGAGCCAGGAGGACTGCCATGAATTCAATGTTCAATGCCAGCCTGGGCTATGTGGTGAGTTTCAGGCCTAAGCTACATAGCAAGAACCTGTCTCCAAAAAACAAACAAACCGATTAAAAAAAAAAAAAAAGACCAACCCAAAAAAGTAAAGTCCATTCTCAGTAGAGAAACCCCTCAGAGTGGGAAGCACACTTTGCAGTGCAGTGCGGACTACAAGAAACCCCCAACAGACACCCGCTAAGCTAATGAGCTGGCGCTGTTCCACCAAGTTCAGGATTCTGCCTGCCATCTACAGAGACAATAGACAAAAAGGAAACACAGCACATAAGTTAGTATATATTTCTGAAACCCTAAATCCTAAGAATAACAAAATTTAAACTAAAATTGAAATCTTTTAAAAAAAAAAGAAAGAAAGAAAGAAAGAAAGAAAGAAATCTACTTCTAAAACTCACATAAACTAGGTGTGAGGATACATGCCTATAATCCCAGCAACCTAGGAGACTGAGGGAAGAGGATTATAAATTCGAACCTAGCCTGGACACTGTAGCAAGATCCTCTCTCAAAACTAAAATAAAAAAGGAACAGGGACATATGTCATTTCAAAGGCCCTGTCTTCAATCCCAGTACTGCTACCAAAAAAAACCCAAAGAAACAAACACATAGCTCTAATCCAGGAGTAATGTGAAAATTTGAAAATGAAAGACTTTTAAACTCTATGAAACAGAGAAAAACAAGAAAGCACTCTTAGGAAAACCTACACCAACTCAAACATTTTTCTACGACAAAGTCATGTTTTCACCACAGTGGGGAACTGCAGGGATTTTAAATAGTCAAACTCAACTGTGCAAGTGTGTAACCATGCAGTCTCTTTTACCAACAATGAGTATGTGATTGCGTCTCAAGGACTATGCTTCTAGTTGGTGCGATGTCCTGACAGGGTTTAGCGAAAGAATCCGGGCGGGGGAGGGGCAGGCGCCCTGGCCTCATGTGGGTCCCTCATTCACCACAGAGGTCCCTAACTGGGAGGGAAGCCGCAGCCCTCCTGTGGGAGTGGAGCTGGAATCCCAAGGCACCCTTCTGGCTTGGCACTGGAAGGCCTATGCACAAGAAACCTTCGGACCAGGGTCTCTCAGGAGAGGAACTGGTGACACTTGGACCACCCATCCTGTGTTTGCTATGGGAGCTGCACAGTGCACTGGAGGGAATTGGGCAGCACCCACAGCCTCCAGAGGCCAGTAGCACCCTCTCACTTCAGTCTTGAGTCTAACAATATCTCCAGATAATATCAAATGTCCCAGGGGCAAGGATCATTGCCCACTGGAGAAGCCCTGCTTTACAGCAAGGCTCAAGTTGACATTGACATCAAGCTGTTTTGCTGACATGAACAAGCAGAAGTAAAGCCACAGTATTAAGAGTTACTTAAGAAGTTCAATGCCACCGTCACAGCCAGTATTTTTCGACCATTTAAATTGGACCAATTTTTTTTTTTTTTTTTGGTCTTTTTCCTTTTTATCGGTACCAGGGACCGAATTCATGACTATGCCGCTGAGCTAAATCCCCAGCCCCAATTGGACCAATTTTTAAAAACTGAATAAACACAAAGCCCTTCGAAATCCCAAATTCACCTTGAGAATTAGTCAAGCCCAACCTCATAAGTGGCCCTAAAAAACTAAACACAAGGATTACTAAATGGCTGGACGCAAGGCTGTAATCCCAGCAATCACCTCGAGTTTGAGGCCAGCCTGAACTACAGAGCAAGACCCTGTCTCAAAACAAAAACAAACAAAACCCTACTAGTGTAGCTCATGATTGTATCAATTTCACAACCTCACACAACTATCATATTTGTCATGTCAGTACTCCACTAATTGTGAATATCCGGGACACACGTTACCATGCTAACACCATGGATATTTTAAACAAGTGCTAGCTTCCAAGGGTCCCAGCAAAAGGAGGGAGGATACTCGCTTTAGTAAGCAGTTCATCCAGAAGAACCAATTAGCATTCACTACTAGTCAGCTGAACAATAGCCAATCTCTCCTGAACCTAAAGCTACACATGGCCTTTTAATTATATTTCATAGCTAACTACAAATTTCAAGTCAGAAGCTTGCAACAATAATAACCAAGTCTATAAAATACCTGCTACCCAGTTAAAATCACAATTTGCAACTGCCTTGTTTAATTAAGTCTCTTCCACATGGTATACACCTGCAACCTCAGCATTTAGAAGGCTGAGTTCAACCTGGGCTATGTGGCAAGTTCAAGGCCAGCCTGGACTACATAAAGACTCCATCTAAAGAAACTTAAATAACCTAACCCATCTCTCGTATTAACAAATAAATTTCCAAAAAATAGTCAAATTAGTTGTAGGGCTTTTTAAAGAGAATACACTCTCATGCCAACAAACTGAGTTAGAAAAGAAAAGCGGATATTAGACATTAGCAAATGAAATGATGCAAAAAAAAAAGCTATCAAAAAGCAATCCACATACCATCCCAGGTATCTCCACCACCTAAAGAAAAGTGTGAGATATAAACAAAAATACCAACAAATATATATATACATATATATATACACATTAGCTAAACTGGTTATGTTTGGGAATGAGCAAATAAAGGAATATATGCCAGGATTAACACATTAACAACCACCTAAGATATATGTAACCTAGATCCTCACAGGAACACATAGTGGTAAGAAAAGCTGCCAGAGGGCAAACTGGAAAGAACAGCAACAACATGAAATTCCAGAAATTAAGAGACATAAATAAGTAAAAATTACAGTACATTTCACAAGTTTTTGGTTCAAAAACAGTGAATGCATGGTAGAGAAATTCATTTTTTCCTTTTGATACCAAGAATGAAATTTTGGAAGTTGCACTTGCCAGGCAGGTATTTATGCCACTGAGCTGTATCTCTGTGCTGGAATAAGAAATTTTTAAAAAGTGTACAGAATTGAAGTCAGCTCTTGCAATAGAATATAACTCTTCCAAATGTTCATCTCACCTTCTGTTTCCATGTCTTGTCCTTTTGGAGCCTCCCCGATGTCAATGGTGAACATTACTATCTTTGGAGTCATGGTAGACATCCTATTACTAAAACAAAACTTGTATGTTCCATCCATGTGAGCAGCAAATGTGTATTTCCCACTGGACTCTCGGTCTCCTTTGTAAATTGATTTATTATCAGGTCCTGTAATCTGGAAGCAGAAGAGAAAGACACAAAAATCTCACCAAAAGGGCTGGGGATATAGCTCAGTGGCACAAGGGCCTACCTGGCAAGCACGAGGGCCTGAGTTCGATTCCTAGTACTGGGGGGAAAATAATCTCACCAAAGATATGAAATCATAAACCTTGTAAGTAATGTCTACTGGCAGGAGGAAACTAATATGGAACTTTCACTTAGCTCCACTTCAGTTAAGTGACAGTAATCACTCCTGCTCCTATCTTCCCATCTTTATAAAACAAAGATAGATTACAAGGCTCTCTAAAGCATCTTTTAGCGCTGGCTGCATTTATGTCCTGTGTGTCCAACTGGAACTCAAATCCCTTCGAAAGAAACCACAACTTTCACATAGGCTCCAACAGACTTAACACCATCAACAAACATTTGAATATGTGGGTGATAATAAAAAAAAAGAAAACTTTAAAATGAGTTTTTATAAAGCTACATTTCAAGATGTTTGGGATTACTCTCACACAACGGACTCGCTTTACCAAATATGCCTGTTAAGACTTAAGAGAAAGGACTAGATTGAAAATTAGAAGAAACAAAATTTCATCACAGACTGCCTCAAACCAGCTGTTATACCATGGGCAAATCAGCTCTTTTAACCCAGTCACCTGTCAAACTTGGCTTGAAAGCTGATCTCTAAGGTCTTGGCTAAGCCAAAGAGCCTCTCATATTGTGTAACTTGCCACCAGCTGTACTGCCCTTCACTGACAAATGAAGAATCTACACACCCCATTAGTCAAGCTTAAGACGAATTAAAATCTTAATTACACTTCGCAACAATCATTACTCCTAAAACGCACGATCAACTGCCCATCTCTCTCCCAGGCAGAGTGGGCGAAACGAAGTATAGTCTGTTGCAAAACCTAGAGATCCTTCCTACGAACATTAAACCAAAGTGTAACTTCTGTCTAGCTGCCGATCTACTTTTGGAGAAGTCTGCACGCCCTGTGCCGATGCGATTCAGTAACAAGGGGAGCAGCTGCCGACTGGATCTGGTCCTGCCCCACCAATCGCGCCCGACTCTTGGCGCCTTCTGGGCAGGGAATGACACGCGGCACCCGGGCGACAGAGCCGGGCCACAGGGGCTCCCTTGGACTCCGCCGTCTAACTGCAGGGTGGTGGTGACCACGGAGCGGCCCGGCGGCCCTCGTGGCATGGGTGCCGGCGGCGATGTGGCCCCGAGGGGTCGCCGTGGGGCACGGGCCCTCCCAGGACCAGCGGTTGCCCGGCCTGCGCCGCTTCTGGCCCTGCGCGCCACCGATCCCCGCGCCGCCGCGCGAACCCGCCTGGGCCGCGGCAGTGCGCCCGTACCTCCACGTCGATGTCCAGGAAGCCGCCCTCGGCCACCTCGAAGATGAGGCCCATCTTGGTGCCCGAGGTGACCCGCTCGAAGAAACACTCCTCAGCATGCGCGTCGATGCTAACGAAGTAGCCCGAGGCAGTGGCCAGGAGGGCAGCCAGGAGCACCAGCAGTTCAGCAAGCGTCACCATGGTGGGTTTCGGGCCGAAGCCAGGACGCGGACTGCGGCCTCCAGAGTTGTCTTCACCGCTACCTCCTCAGCCGCCACCACCTCAGCTCCACCCCTTCCGGCTACGCCACCCCAGGGGGCTGATGCGGGCGCCGGGGATTGGCGAGCGCCGGCTACTGCCACGTAACGGATGCACGGCGGCCGCCGAGGGTCATGCCGGCTGCACGCGGCTCCGGCCCGGACGGCGGCTCTGAAGGGCCAAACCATTTTTTCTCCAGTCTTCTGACGCGCAAACCAATCTTCACGTAGACTTATGAAGAAAACCGTAATCAAGAGGCTTCCCCTGCCCGGTAAACGCCGTTTTACGTTTGCTCAGAAAGATCTTGAACGATTTTGGAGTCAGTGATGGGATGGAGAGAATGAAAAGTGGGGGCTGAAGCCAATAGCTTTGAGGAGTTTTGTGGCCCCTCCCCATCTCCCTGCTTATCTAGATGTAGACGCGGGATGCTGGAAATGCCCTAGATCTTTGCCTAGGCGTGGATATCTGGGTGTTTTACGTGACTTTTTTTAAAAGTCAAGAAGCTGTGTACTTAAGATAAATGCACCATATTTTACTTTATGTATGTAACCTCTTATCGGCCAAAAAAGTTTACCTTGTTCAAATTCCGTTAAAGGAGATCTCGCAGTTCTCTTAAGTCTTGCTGCATTCCTGCACCCCCTTGGCCCTCGCCAGCTGCTGCGATTGTTTTGTTTTGTTTTGTTTTGTTTTGTTTTGTTTTTGACGCTGAGCCTCCTGGTAATCTCCTATTCATCCCTGATAACCCGATTCAGACTTCACCTCTTGTGTCCCCAAATGCCTTCTTCCCGACACTCACCTCTTTCTTCACGCTTGCGACCCAGACCAGTTCTGACCAAATGACTCTGATTTACCACTCCTGGAGCACAGCCTTGGTACCTGTGTATCATCCTCTCAGCCTCTACTTCCGGCCACAAAAAGAGGGCTCTTTACGCGCTAGTTGAATTCATTGACCTGACCTGGAGTCGAGGACCCCAGACTTTTTCTTTATCTGTAAAAAGGGATGATAACGCCACATGCCTAACAAATTCGAGAGAGTATTCTTTGCAAAGGCCAACAGTCAATAGGGGGCGGTAGCTGCACAATATCTAGTCTCTCCTCTAGATGTCTGGGAACTGGAGCCACTTGGGTGGTGAAGGCTTCTTGAGGCGAGTGTCTTACTAAACCGAGTTCCAGCAATGGCCCCAGGTTCCCCTGTCCCCTGCCTGACAGAGGTTTGATTTTACCTGGTAACTCAGACCTAAGAAAAATACCAACGGCGACTTTGTTTCCATCTAGAAATTTCAATGTTAATTTTCAATTTTCAAATGATTAAAAAATAGTCTAACTCCACCTATCAGGAATAAAATACTGTGGTTTTTCCTGGGGTTTTCTGGTTGTGCGTGCGTGTGTGTGTGTGTGCACGCGCGCGCGCGCGCGCGCATAATGGGAATGAAACCCAGGGCCGCCTACATGCTAGGCAAGTGTTTGACCACTAAACTACTTGCCTCCCTTTAACTTTTATTTTGAGAGAGTCTCACTAAATTCCCCAGGCTAGCCTTGAACTTACCATCCTGCTGCCCCGGCCTCCTCCTCCTGTTACTTTATTGACAATTTTTATTTGTGTATTTATTTTTAGTTTTTTGAGACAGGGTCTTGCTGCATAGTCCAGGCTGGCTGGAGGGGGCGGTGTTTTGTTTAGTTTTTTTATATTTTAAAAGACTGTATGTGTGTGGTCCTGGGGCTCGATCCCAGGATCTTGTGCATGCAAAACAAGAACTCTACCACTAAGCCACATCCCCAGTCCTTTATTTTTAATTTGTTTTCTTTTTCCCCGACTCCTCTACCCTTCCTTCAACCTACTGACAACGATTTTAAGATATTTGAATAATCCAAATTCAAGCCCTTAATTTTCGTTTCTTTGTTGAGACAGGAACTCGGTAAACTGCTCCACTACCCAGGCTGGGTGCCAGCTTGCAGCCCACTCCCGCTTCTTGGCCTCCAAAGCGCTGTGATTATAGAGGTCTGCGGCGGCACCAACTTCCGAACAGGCTGAACCTCAATACGGTTACCTACTCCCACCAGCTCCAGGGGTGGAGTCCTGAGCTCATAAGTCTTTTCACCGTTTGCTCAGTCCCCACAAGCCTGTTCTGCGTGACAGGAACTACGTTTCCCAGGATCCTTTGCGCCCAGCCGCCGGGAAACTTAGCCAATTGCAGGCACCGGCGGCTGGGAAGGCGGAGAAAGTTAGGCTTTTGCGTCCTCTTCTTGGGAAACCGCCTTCCCAGACACTGCATTCTGAATACAGTTCCCGCCTTCCACTTCGTCTCCTGGCCCCCGGGCTCGGGTGACCCCACTTGCTTCCTTTGTCCCCCCACGCCTGATTTCATGCATTTCTGCCATCTTTAGTCTCCAGGGTGTTTCCGCAACCCGTCTGGCTCTTCAACAGTCATCGCCCACGGCGATGGCTTTGAAAAGTACCTAAGGCCTGTGTGGTGCTGGCTCCTTCATCCGAAGGTGGAACCCAATTCTCCCCTTGAAGGGGAGGGAGCCAAGCTTGTGACTCCTACCTGACAAACGTGCAGTGTGAGTTCCCAAGCCAGGCCTTGTTCTCTCAAGTCACTTCAGCTGGGGGAAGCCAGCTGTCCACCCAGCAAGTCTTGAGGGCGCTCAGCTTCTCCCCAAGGACTGTGCCACTGCACACTCTTGCCAGGGTGCTCGCCAACTCCATTCCAGCTTCAGATAACTCCAGCCTATATGTTGTTGGATTTTGGACTCACTATGTAGTCCAGGCTGGCCTTGAACTCTTGGCAATCCTCCTGCCTCAGCCTCCCATGTGCTACATTTACAGGCGTGCACCCTATACCCAACTCCAGCCTATATTTTGACTGCAACACCCAGAGAGATGTTATATCAGAACTACCTCAGCCAAGTTGCTCCCAAATTCTGGACCCACCAAAACCCTGTAAGATAATGAACGATGACTCTTGTTTTGAGTCACTGAATTCTGGGTAAATCACACCAGGATAGATGGTGATGCACCTATTTAATCAATTTCTACATCGAGATTTTGCATTGGAAAAGCATGAAGTGGATGCTACTTTCTGACTGGTACAGACTCTGAATTGTAAAATAAGGCTAAAAAATTAGACAACAGAGAGCCAGGCATGGTGGTGCACACCTGTCATCCCAGCACTCGGAGGGCTGAGGCAGAAGGATTGTTTCAAGTGTGAGACCAGCCTGGCCTCTGTCATAAGATCTTTCTCAAAAAACAAGACAAAAAACTTAGACAAGAGAGTAAAGAGGATAGAACATCAAAACCTAATCAGTACTATTTAAAAGTGAATGTTGGAGAACGTAGCTTGCAAGTGCAGACAAACATGGTTTCTAGTACAGAAGCGTGGAATGGGACGGTTACAGCTGATTTTGTGACACAGCAGTCACATGTCATAGGAGCAGAGCCAGGTCACATGGCCTATCTGGGGGAAGAAACAAGATGGCAGCTCCCACTGGTCGTGGTGGCACTGCCTGTGGTCTGGGTGAGGGAGCATGATCCCCCCAATGCAAGATCGGGGTGCAGTTAACATCTGCACATACACAGCAGTGACACATGATGGAAGGGGATTCGTGGGCAGGAGGCACCTCATGGGCACCGTGTTCCCCAGGACTGGGCCAGAGTGAACAGTGGAGCGCAGAATAGGGCGTGCAGTCAGCAAACAAGGGCAGGCTTGGGAGAGTCTTGCATGCCGTGCTAAACTTTCAGTTTTTTGGGTTTTGGGGGGGGGTACTGGAAATTGAACTCAGGACCTCACGCTTGCCAGGCAGGTGCTGCACCACTGAGCTAAATGCCTAGCCCTTAGGTTTTACTATTCCAGAGAGCAGGGGTCAATAAACTACTGCCCATGGTTATTTTTGTCAATAAAGTTTTATTGGAACACAATAACCCCTTGTCTATACTGCTTAAACCACAACAGCAGAGGTGAGTAACTGCCAGATCCCACATACCCTGCAGAACCTCAAATACTTACAATCTGCTCCCCTGCAGAAAAAAACTTGTTGCCATGGTATGGTGACTCATGCCTGTCATTCCAGCAATCAGGAGGCTGAAGCAGGAGGATCACTGTGAGTGGGCTACATAGTTATACCTTGTTGCCACAAAAACAAAATCCTCAAGGACACAGACTACATTCCCAGTGTCCAGGGCAGCACCTGGCACCAGGAGGTCTTCCTAACAGAGCCGCCTTGAGAATCACTGGCTTTAGCCCAATGCCTGGATATAGTAACAGCTTGGTAGCTACAGGCTGACTTGGAACCCCTCCTGCAGCCTTTAATACATGGAGGCAAACCTGTGGTGGTCAACACCACAAACCCAGCCCAGCTTTTGCATCTGTCCTCCTCCCTCCTCTCCGGGCAGGCTGATTCCCTGCCTAAAACTCCCCCTTCCTTCCTGCCCTTCCCATCAGGAATCTTCATGGCCCACTGTTAATAAAATGCTCTGTCAGGGGTGGTAATGCATACCTGTAATCCCAGAAGGATCACTTCGAGTTCAAGGCCAGCCTGGGCTTCACAGTGAGACCTTGTCTCAAAAACAAAAACTATTGCATGTAGAAAGATGCATCACCCTGGAGTCACCAACACACAGCAGCACACTGGGGCTTTGCTGTTATTTCCCTACTTAGACACATGTTTGTCCTTAAATTGTCCAGGCTGCGCTTGCCATTGTGAGCCTCTTCCCTCACCTTCTAAGTCTGGGAGATGGCAGGTGTGCACCAACATCTCCTTCCTCCTCCTTTTCTTCTAATTTATAGGCAGGAGCCCTGAGGCAGAGGCTGTAACATGTTTTGGCTAGTCCCATAAAGTTGAAAGAATTAAACAACAGCAACATTGTTTAAAATACCTTAGTCAGGAGGCAGCTTGAATGTCTATCAAGGAAACCATGATCAGAAACCTTACAGTAAATCTGTGCAACAGAAAACTGTTTTATCACTCAAAGAATGACAAGTAGCTCATGGTGGCACTTGCCTGTAATCCCAGCACTCAGGAGGCTGAGGCAGGAAGTCTGAGGCCAGCCTGAACTACACAGTGAAATTGTGTCTTAAGAAAGAGAGAGAGAGAGAGAGACATCACCTCCACATCCTGTGCTTTAAGAATGAGCTATGTCTACATACATGAGCAAGAAAGATGATACAGGTTTTATTATGTGAGAAAAGCACATTGTGTACTAATAAGTATAGCATGCTTCTCTCAACACTGTACTGAGGATAGAACCCAGGCCCTTTGCACTGAACTGTATCACCAGCCCTTTTTAAAATCTTATCTTGGGGCTGGGGATTTAGCTCAGCGGCATAAGCGCCTGCCTTGCAAGCAGGCAGTAGTGAGTTCGATCCCCGGTACCGACAAAAAAAAAAAAAAAAAAAAAAAAAACCAAAAAAATAAAATCTTATCTTGAGACAGAGACTTTTTAAATTGTTAAACTGCCCAAGGCTGAGTTCACACTTGTGATCCTCCTGCCTCAGCCTCCCAGATGGGACCACAGGTGTGCACCACCACATTTGCAATGTCCTATTTAAAAAAAAAGTCAGTAAACCATGGTAGCACAAGCCTGTGACCCCAGAACTTGAGAAGCTAAGGCAGGAGGATCATGGAATGTTGGAGGCCAGCCTGGGCTACATCTTGAGTTCAAAACAAGCCTGGACTACATAGCAAGACCCTATCTGAAAAAAACCAAGAATAAAGAAAGAAAGTTCCAACCTGGCTAGGACAACTTAACAATTTAAGGAGGCCTTGTCACAAAATAAAACGTAAGAAAAGGAGCTTGTGATGTAGGTCAGTGCAAAGGCCCTGGGTTCAGTCTCTAGGATGAGAAAAAAAAGATACAGTGATGATAGGTTCCCAGACCATCTCACCTGTGTCACGTTGGAAGAGCAGGAGGAACCCCAAAGCCTCAGCAGCCCCAGTGGAAAGGGCAGGAATGGCCTGGGAGCGGAGTGAAGGGTAAGGCAATTTGAGGGTCAAGGTAGCCCTAAACTTGAGACTCTCCTGCCTCAGTTTCCAGCTGTTGGGATTATAGGTGTGAGCCACCCATGCCCAGCCAGACTTCCCTCCCTTTCTCTGTAGCTGAAGAAAGGTTTACAGTTCTCCCAGGAACATAATGTTCCACTGCTCCCTCATATCCGTAGTCTTTAGATAAGAGGACAAAAATGAGAAAAAAGCTTTTTTTATTAAATTTTTCAAATATTACAGGAAGGAGGACAGCATATAAACCTGCATGTGCCCATCACCCAGCTTCCACGGTAGGTAACAAAATGTCATCCTTTGGTGGCGGTATTTGGGAGGCTGAAGCAGGTGGATGGCTGTGCGTTACAGGCCAGCCTCAATTTCACAGTGAGCCTCACAACAATAACCACAAATACTGTCCCCATGGCCTCTGTAATCCCAAACATCCCACTTTCTCAGCAAACATTTTTTTTTCTTTTAGGACATGGTCTCCCTATGTATAAGCAGGGCTGTTAAGACTGGTACAACGGACATGTCTGTAATCCCAGATCCCTGGGAGGCTGAGGCAGTAGGGCTGCAAGTCTGAGGTCAGCCTGGGCAATTTAGGGAGACCCTATCACAAGACAAAACATAAAGACAGCTGGGGATGTAGCTCAGTAGTGAAGGACAGGGTTTGATCACCAACACTGGGGGAAAAAATCCAGGTTTTCTGTTCCCTTTACAGAAGCTGAGCAGATTAAATCTGTGTTTTCCCTGATCACCCCATGCCCCCAGTGTAGGCCAATAACACAAGTTACCTATGGGTTCTCTCAGCCGAATGTGGTTTTTACCCCAATACTGGGAATTGAAGTCTCTACATTGAGCTACATCCTCAATATGTTCTATATGACTCTTTGAAATGAGGTTTTGCTAAATTGTCCAGGCTGGCCCTAAACTTGGGATCCTCCTGCCTCAGCCTCCTGAATAGCTAGGATTACAGAAGCACTGTGCCAGCCTCATTTAGTATTTTTGGACCATGGGTGACCATGGTTGATCATGGCAACTGAAACAATTAAAGTGAAACCAGGACTAAGAAAGGCTGCTGAAGGTTCTTTTCAGTTTCCTCTTCTGTAAAGAGGATAACAAACCTCAACTGTTAAACTTACTTATAACGCGATTTACACACCCCAAGGCTAAACTCACTATGTAATGGGTTAGCCTTGAATTCACAGCGATCCCCCTGCCTCAGCCTCTTAAATGCTAGGACTGTAGGGCTGGAGGTTTAGCTCGGCGGCATAAGCACCTGCCTTGCAAGCAGGCAGTCGTGAGTTCGATCCCTGGTACCGCTAAAAAGGAAAAAGACAAAAAACAAAACAAACAAACAAAAAATGCTAGGACTGTAAGTATGTGTCACCAGGCTGGGCTCCTCCTTTTTTGTATTATTTTATTTATTTATTTTTTTTATCGGTACCGGGGATCAAACTCACAACTACCTGCTTGCAAGGCAAGCGCTTATGCCGCTGAGCTAAATCTCCAGCCCCCTGTTTTATTTTATTTCTTTGGTACCAGAGATGGAACTCATGACCTCCTGCTTGCCAGGCAGGCGCTGCACTGGTGTGCGGTATCCCCAGCCCCTGAACACATCCCCAGCCTTCCCCTTAAAGTCTTTCCTAGCCCCATCCCTTCAGGGTCCCTATGGCTCCTAACCCCAGTTCAGCAGACTGGGCCTTCAGGGCAGAGTGGACAGCCCATGGGTCTTCATGAGGAAGTGAGTGCACACCTCCTCCCCTCATAGACACAGCCTGCAACTCGAACAACTAAGAACGCTGGGGCAGCAGGATCAAGCATTCCAGACCAGGGCCAGGGGTTTAGCTCAGCGGTGTGAGCGCCTGCCTGGCAAGCGTGAGGTTGTGAGTTCGATCTCCGGTACCAAATAATAACAATAAAATAAATAAGAGCTGGAGGTATAGCTCAGTGCAGAAGGCCTGGCATGCAGAAGGCCCTGAGTTCAATTCCCAGTACCACAAACAACAAAACCACTATGCTCCCAAACAACAAAATGCCCCAAGACCAGCGGCCTCACCTAAGGTCTCCGCGGTCTCCGGGGCTCCCGCGCAGGGGGGGAGCCGCGCTGGGATCCTCAGGCTCTGGGGAGCCCAGCCGCCCTCAGGCCACACCTCTGGAGTAGGAGGTGAGGGAGCTGATACTGCGAAGCACTTGGAATCTTACTTGGCACGGGGTAAGCACTCTGCATTTTAGCTGAATCTAAATCCAGTACTTTTTCCTTTTTCAGGACTTTGCTGGAGATGAAGCTCAGGGCTCTGCACGTTCTAGGCAAGCGTCCCCTGAGTCCCCCGGGGCCGGCCTCTGACGGTTCTTCAATAACTCCGCACCGGCCGGGGTGGCTTCAGGGCTCCGGGGCCCCAAGAGTCCCGGCTTCCAGGTCAAGGCCTGCAAAGTCCGACGCCCGAGGCTCAGCCGCGACCAGAGCGGCAGCGACGGGCGGGGTGCAGAGGACGAGTCCGATGGGTTCCCGCACCCTTGGGTGGGGAGAGAAGGATGGCCGAGGGGCGCGTGATCAGGATGCCCCTGGGTGGACGGGGGTGGGCTGACGGGCTGGGACATTCAGCGAAACTGCAAGGACGCGGGGTGGGGACCAGAAATCTCCAGCCGCTGAGAGGCGCAGGCCGGCCTCGATCCCTGGGTGGGGCGAGCTCCGGAGGAGGCGTGGCGGGGTGCGGCTAGGGCATGGTGGGCGGGGCGATGGTGAGGTGGGCGGGGCGAGTGAGGTGGGCGGGGCGAGACCGGGCGCGGGGACCCCGGAGCGCGCGGCCAGGGCGGTGACGAGAGCCGGGGGCGGAGGCAGAGGCGGCGTCCCCTCCCGGCCGAGGCCGGGCTCGGGGCGGGGCGCGCGGCATCCCGCGGGGGGCGCCAGTCCCCAGAGCTCGCCGCCGTCGCCAAAGTTTCCCGGAGGCGCCGCAGGCCGCCCTTCCTGCCAGCCGCGGCGGGCGCCGTCTCCTCTCCACAGAACCCGCGCCCCACAGCGCACAGCTCCGTACCCAGCTCCGGGGGCCGCGCACGCGCGCCGCCCGGCCCTGTACTCCCTTCCCCCGCCCCGCCTTGCCCTCGCCGGGTCCTCCCGGGCCCCGCCCGCCCGTGTGCCCCCCAGCCCCGAGCCAAGCCGAGCCAAGCCGAGAGGAGCCGAGCGGAGCCGAGCGCAGCGCTGGGCGCCCGGACAGGCCATGGAGGAGGAGCGGGGGTCGGCGCCCGCCGCCGAGTCGGTGCTGGAGAAGAACGTGGCCGAACTGACCGTCATGGACGTGTACGACATCGCGTCGCTCGTGGGCCACGAGTTCGAGCGGGTTATCGACCAGCACGGCTGCGAGGCCATCGCGCGCCTCATGCCCAAGGTCGTGCGCGTCCTGGAGATCCTGGAGGTGCTGGTCAGCCGCCACCACGTCGCGCCCGAGCTGGACGAGCTGCGTCTGGAGCTGGACCGGCTGCGCGTGGAGCGGATGGACCGCATTGAGAAGGAGCGCAAGCACCAGAAGGTGGGCGCGGACGCGGGGACCCCGGGCCTGGACCCTTTGGACCTGAGTTACTCTGCTTCTTAAATAGCTGTGCGGCCTGGGCCACGTTGCTTAACCTGCCTCTGCTTGGCGTCCCCGCTTGTCAGACGTTCATCATGCGGGACCCGCCTTCTAGGAATTAGATGAGATGATGTAGGGAAAGGGCTTAGATAGTATGCTTCTCTTCCAGAAATGAAGCTAAGTAAGCCCCTGCTCTCCGAGATCGACGAGGTGGGACGCAGCCCCCCCCCCCCCCGGCTCTGAGTCTGGGTTGGCCCTTGTCTAACCTCACCAGGGGGTCTTCCCCAGCCTGGACTCTGTGGGAGACAGGGACGATTAGTGTCCTCCGACAGAAGAGGAACCCGCAGGTCTGAGTGTGGGGAAGGATTTGTCCCAAGTGCGTGACAAGTCCCACCCTGCGGAGTTGGCTCTCCCCACTGGCTTGCTCTGGGCAGTTGTTTGGCGGCCGGCGACGTCTGTCTGTCCCAGGAGCCGGCTCCTCTCCTAATGGGGCCTCCCCTGCGGGCTGGGAGTCCCACGAGGTGCCCAGAGGAGGAAGTGTGGTTTCCTGCCCTAACCTCAGCCTGTCCCAGCCAGAATGGGAGGAAACGCCTTTCCTTGGGGGGCCAGAGTGCTGGAGCAGGTTCGGGCTTGCTGTGTGACCTCAGGAAATACTCTTGGCCTCTCTGAACCTTTCTGGCCACCGTCATGTGCTGTGCCCTCTGATGGAACCATGTGTTTTTCAAGGCAGATGATCAAATCTCGATGTGCAGTCTTGATCCAAGGGCAGCCTGGTTAGTGGGGTTAAGCCTGGGTCTCACAGGTCCTGTTCCTAGGTGCTGGAGGTAGAGAGGGAGGACTCAAGGTGCAGTTGGGTGGCATTGCCAGAGGAACACAGGAAGCCTGGACATTCTTCAGTCCCCAAGTGAATTTCAGGACTCCCAGGCGTGAGGACTGTGCTGCTGGGCAGCCTGCTTTCAGAGCCCACCTGGGCAGGCTGAGGCAAATCCCCACCTCAGCTTCCCCAGCTGTCAGGTGGGATGACCGAGGTACTCGCCTTGAGGGGCCTGGAGGGCCATGAGGGTTAGGATACCGGAACCCTGGGGCGCACTGTCCTCTCCAAGCCCTGCAGTGTAAGTACTGTAGGCCTGGAGAGGCTCCCCAGGGCCTCACAGAGCCAGGGGCTTCTCCCTGTCACACGGAAGTCTTGGCAGCACCTCTGTCCTAGTCACAGGTCACCCAACCCGCAGGAGGGTGGAGTCAGCAGAGGCACTTGTTGTGCGCTTGTCCCTGCTCTGCTCCTTGAAGTGGACACCTCCTTCTGGCTCCCAGGCCAGGGCCTATTTATAAGCAGAGGGGAGGAGCTCAGGTCAGGTGGGACCCACCCACACCACCAGGCCCCTTTCCTGGTCATCCCCCGGTCCCCAAGACTGAGGAAAGCCTGGACCTCACCTTCCCAGGTCCCAGACTCCCTCCCCCTGGCTCAGCATTCAGTCTAGGCTTTAGATGTGTCTGTGTTGTCCTCTTACTCAGGCTGCAATCCTGTTGATGACCTGTAGCGTGCAGAAGGGTCCTACTTTGTGATGCAGGTGACACAGAGCAGAGCAAAGTTGGTTCTCGTGTCATCTGGCAGGAGGGTGACCAGCATGGCAGGGCAAACAGATAGTCGCCTTTAGAAGAAGTGATCATGTGGCTACAGTTGTGCATAATGTAAACAGCCTATGGTATCCCTAGAGTTATTCAACAAATATGTTTCTTGCATACCTGTTATGTGCCCAGCACTGTTCCAGGCCCTGACGAGATGGTGCTGGAGAGAGTTTCAGAGGAGGCAGAGTTGATGAATCAGCGCTACCTTCCAAGCCTCGCAGGGCAGGATTAAATTCTCCATGGTCAGCCCTGAGGCAGGAACCAATTGCTAACGTAGACATTAGCACATAGAACAAGAAAAAGAACCCAGCCGGGTGTGGTGGTACAGAGCTGTAATCATAGCTTCACAAGAGGCTGAGGCAGGAGAATTGCCTTGGGCAATTTATGGAGACTTTGTCTCAAAAATAAAATGGGCTGGGGGATGTAGCTCAGTGGTATTCCACTCTGGGGCTTCAGCACCAGATTCACACATAGAAAAATAAAAACCCACCACTGTGTATTCAAGCTGGTACTCAGGCCCTGCGACTGCCGTTAACACGGACACGTGGTACAGTAGCTCAGAGCAGCAGACAGCAGTAGAGCGTGTGCCGAACAAGTGCCAGGCCCTGGGTTCCGTCGCTGGCGCTGCAGAAGGAGAAAAATCAGGTGTCAGGAGGCTGAGACAGGAAGGTCACCATGAGTTCGAGGCCAGCCTAAGCTACACAGTGAGTTCAATACGAACCTGAACTGCATAATGAGACCCTGTCTCAAGCCTCCTCCCCCCAAAACCCCCCACAAACCTCCAGTAATAATAATCCTCAGGAGGAGCCAGGGATTTAGTTCAGTGTCATAAGTACCTGCCTGGCAAACGCAAGATCATGAGTTCAATCCTCGATACCACAAAAAAATAATAATAATAATAGTAATTGTCAGCAAGGCTCTGGGACAGTCTGGAAGAAGACACATTTTTTTGTCATTTTCTTTCCCTCTTTTTTCTTTCTCTTTCTCTTTTTCTTTTTTTTTTTTTTTTTTTTTTTTTTCGAGATAGGATCTTGCTGTGTATTCCAGGGAGGCCTGGAACTCTTGCTGACCCTCCTGCCTCAGCCTCCCAGTTGCAGGGATCACAGATGTGCTCTACCACATGAACTAAGAAGCCCCTTTCCCTCTGCCAGCCCCCGTGTCCTCTGGCCCTGTCCTCAGTCTTCACAGCCAGGGCAAAGGGTCCCCCAGTCTCTCTGCTTCCCCAGCCCAGTGGTCTCTAGCTCTGACCCTCCTATCTCCCCCGTAGGGACCCTGTGATCTCTCAGATCCCCAGTAACCCATGTCACCCCCATCTCCACACCCTTGACTTAGCCACATCTGAAAAGCTTCTTTTGCCCCTGGGTCTCTGCATTCGGGTCCCAGCACCGGAAGTACTCCCTGTGGTGAGTGGGCTTGCAGAGGTTGTGTCAGGACGGCCTGGCTCCTCATGGGTGGCCAGCACTCTGTCCACCAACTCATTTCCCTGCTTCTCTTCTGGGGGTTTTGAGATGGGGTCTTGTTATATAGTCCAAACTGCCCTTGGACTCACTGTGTATCCCAGTCTGGCCTCAAACTCTTGATGATCCTGCCTAAGCCTCCCAAATGCTGGGAGTGCATGTACTACCAGCACTCGGAATCGCCCCGCTGTTTCTGACTCTGATTTTACCCTCCCTCTCCAGCAGTGACCTTGAACCTGCTGCGTGCTTGCTTAGTTAATCCCTCTCCTCGGTCTTCTTGCTGGGGAGGTGAGTTGGGGACTGATTTAGAAGATGAATGTAGGTAGAGGGACACTGAGCATCTGGCCACCTGGCCCCTGTGATGAACAGGACGGGGAGCAGGGCCCTGCAGACGCCTCCTTGCCTTTTCCCTGGGTACCAGGGGTATGGCCAGCACTGCACCATTTAACCCCCCAGCTGCCCCCAGGGGAGCACACTGCACTGTCCTCCTCCCTCCGGGCACCCAGAGGTGGGACAACTTGCCCACCACCAGCTCGTAAGCAGCAAAGACAGGGTCAGGGTGAGACTCAGGGTGACACGCTGGAGTCCATCCTTCAACCCCGAGCAAGGGCAGGCCACAGCAGTGCTGCTTCCTGAGCAGTTTCTGCCCTTACAAGTGCATCTTCTTTAGCTGGGCATGGTGGCACATACCTGTGGACCCAGCACTCAGGAGGCTGAGGCAGGAGGATCTTGGAGAGTCCCAGGCCAACTTGGGCCACACCTCATGGCTTTGGACCAGTCTCACTCACTTGCACACCTACTGTGTGAGCCTTCACACCTACCATGTGAGCCTAGAAGAGTGGTCCCCAAGTGAGCCCCTCCCCCTCAGCCTTTGGGTAACTTACCAGGGGCTGCCTGGAGAGATGAGATGCCTGTCAGGTTAAAGGACTTGGGGGCAGAGGTGCTGTTACCTGATTGTCCCAGCCTGCCTGCAGCCTCTTTGTCTCTTGGAGAGTGGTTTGTCAAGTGTCTGTGAGGAGATCAGGGTTCAGAACCCCAAGGGGTGTTGGGGTCAGGACTGCTCATCAGCCACACAGCTCACTAGTGCAGAGCTTATGTGAGACCCTCCTGGTGTAGATGTAGGTGGCACCCAGTGGAGGGTGCCGGCTCCTGTGGCCCTGCAGGGGCCCTGTCCCCCGCCTGAGGCCCTAGCTGCTCCCACTGGCCAAGCGGGTACGGCCACTGCCATGGCAAGCTGTGACCGCACACCTGTCCTGCAGGAGCTGGAGCTGGTGGAGGATGTGTGGCGAGGGGAGGCACAGGACCTGCTGTCACAGATTGCACAGCTGCAGGAGGAGAACAAGCAGCTGATGACCAACCTCTCCCACAAGGACGTCGGCTTCTCGGAGGAGGAGTTCCAGAGGCACGAAGGTAGGGGATGCTGCCTCCTGCGAGCACCTTGATCACACCATGCCTACATTCTTACTTCCCAGCTCCTGTTGTCACTTTTGTTCACATCCTTATCTGCCAGGGAGTTGTCCCGCCTCAGCTTACAGCTGGTGGCACAGAGGTCTGTTCCACATGCTGTCAGGCCTCCCCAGTGTTCGACCCTTCTCTGGGGCCTGGGACACAGATGCTTCCTTCCCAAACACATTCCGGTGCAGAGCGAGGACATGCATGTGAATAGACAGATAAACAGTTAGGTTCTGGATATTCAAAGCGCCAATGCGGGAGCATCTGAGAGCAACCGGGGGCTTCTTTAGGGACAGTTGCTGAGGAGGTCACTGTGGGGCCTTAAGTGATAGAGTGAGTGAGTCATGCAAGAACTCAGCAGAGGGAAGTGCAAAGGCCCTGGGGCACAAGAAAGCACTCATAGAGGGCCAGCCTGGTGGTGCACACCTGTTATCCTAGCACACTTGAGGCTGAGGCAGGAGGATCCTGCAAGTTTGAGACCAACCTGAGCTACAAAGTAAGCTCAAGGCCAACCTGAACCACATAGTGAGACTCTGTCTCAAAAAGACAAAAAACAAACAAAAACCAACCCCAGAAACACTGAGGGAAAGCAAGACAGGATGGCTGAGGCCGAGGATTGAGTTGTGTTTTATGTGTCAGGAAGACAATGCCGTATTTTTGTTATTGTTTTATTCCTGGTATTGGAAATTGAACATAGGACCTTCACACTAAGCTGCACCTTTAGCCCTTCTGATTTATGTTTATTTTGAAATAGGCTCTGGCTAAGTCAGTAAAGTGCCATAGGCTGGGCTCGATCTTGAGATCTTCCATCTTCCATTAGGCCATGTACCATGCCTGGCTTGGGAAGGGATTTGCAGCTCTTGACATAGGCACACATTTAGCATGGAGCATCCAGAGAGGTGACCCAGAGCGGACTGAGCGGGAGCCCCTCACCCCCGGCTCCTGTAAACAGTCATTGGGAGCTGCAGCTGGGGATAACGACCCCCGCCTCTGTGGGGCCTGCCTCCGAGTCTTGCCCACCGCCTCCACACCAGAGCCTCCCTGTAGCCCCACAGCCCGAGGAGTCTCAGGGCCACCTCCGTAGCCCTGCCCAAACTTCTGGGGTCCCCGTGAGAGCCCCCTCTTGTTGATGGAATGAAGGATTTGTAGGGTCCTGAACTCCAGAGCTGGCTGTGTGGACTCCGTGAGTGAGGGAGCCAAGGAAAAGACAGATCCAGGCCTGGAACTCTTTTCTCCTTTTGTCTCTGTTGTTGAGATGTGATTAGTGCAATGGAATCAGAAGAATATTTTTGTTTTCTTTAGAGATAGGATCTCACTATGTACGTACTCAGGCTGGCCTGGAACCCTCGGTGATCCTCCTGCCTCAGCCTCCTGAGTGCCGAGCACCACCACACTCAGCCTGTTATCCCCTTAATGTTAATCACTAATGCTCCTGGAGCCATTTGGCAAAATTAAGAAGGCAGAATGGGTAACTGTTGTGAGATGCTGTTCAGATGCTGGGCCCTTTGGCCAAGGCAGGAGGACCACTGCAAGTTTAAGGCCAGCGTGGGCTACATAGTGAGTGCAGCTCAGCCTGAACTGGGTAGGAAGATCCAGAACCACGAAGTGAAAGTAGCTCCAGGCACTGTTTGGGGTGGCCGGTGGTGAGCGGCACCCTTCTGCTGTCCCCGAGTCTGGCACTACTTTCGGTATGATTTCTCTGTTCCCCATGTCGTGCAGAATCTGCATGTTTGTTCCCTTTTGAGGAGCAGAGAGGCTCTGGCCTGGGGTTGAAAGCGCCAGGGGGCAGCACCCTGGATGCCAGCTACAGGCAGCTCTGCCCTGGCTGAGGGCAGCTCTGTGCCCTGGGGGCCGTGGGCATCAGGTTCAGAGGAGCTGTGTGATGGCGTCCCTCGCTGAGAAAATGTGCCGTCATTAGTTGAGAAACAGCTTTCTTGAGATGCCCCGCCCAGGTCACAAGGTCCCACTGCTCCAGGGGACAGGTCAGTGGTCTCCAGCACAGTCACAGAGGGGTGCAGCCAGGCCTGTGATTGGGGAACTTTTCCCTGCTGTCTCAGCTGTGGGTGCGACTTAGTGGCGAGCACTTGCCGGGTGGGCACAGGGCAGCAACCACGTGAGGCCCCACCCCGTGCCAGCCATGCGCAGCCACGGGCCGATTCCAGGTCTGTGGATTTGCCTGTCCTGGACATTTCACAGCAGCGGAAGCAGACAGCGTGGGGTTTTTGTGTCTGTGCAGGATTTTTGTGTGGGAGGATGCTGGGAATTGAATGCATCCCCAGCCTATTTTTCTTTTTTCTGTTGTATTTTGTCTTCAGAAAGGGTCTCCCTGTGTCACTCATGTGGCCAGGCTGGGCTTGGACTTGCAGTCCTCCTGCCTCTGTGATATCAGGTGTCAGTCTTTCCTTCCTTCTTTGGCTGAATGTGTTCTGCTGTGTGGCGGAACTGAGTCTCTCCGTGCGTCCTCTGAGGGATGCTGAATTGTTGCTGCCCATCGGCTGAGTGGTACTGTGGCCTCTCTGGTGGCCTTGCCAGGATTTGGGATGCTGGGCTGCATTGCACGAAGGTGAACTTCCTGTAGGACCCGGTCGCCAGCTGTTTGGTTTTTGTTTCTTTGACAGGGTCTCACCAGGTAGATGAGGCTGGCTTTGAACTTGTGGCGATCCTCCTGCCTCAGCTGGGATTACAGGCATGTGCCACCGTGCCCCACTGTGCTCCCGTCCTTTTGTGGTGATGTTTCTGCAGGGCACATGCCCATGACTCCTCTGCCTGCCCAGTAAAGCCCCAGAGGCCTGGGGAGCCACCGGCTGGGCAGGGCCTGGCTCCTGTGTGCAGCCCACAGCCTTCCCAGTGGATGTCAGGAGCTTGCTGCACCCCCATAGCATCCCAGGTCCCCATCCAGGTTGTCACCTCACAGTTCCATGTGATGTGTGAGATCCAAAGCACATTTTGTGGCACAGAGTGGGTCACTCTTACAGGGTGAGCTCCGAGGCCCCTCACTGCCCGTGTGGAGGGGCAGATGCCAGGCATCTTCCTGGCTATGTCTGTGTTCATGGAAACCCGGCAGGGATAACGCGTGCCGGACAGGTGGGGTCCTGGGAGGAGGGAGTGGGGACTGGGTGCCATGGGTGATAGCAGGTGAACCCTGTAGGGTATTGATGATGAGACTAGGGCACTGAACCACCAAGCTACCCCTAGACCCTTAAGACTAATTTTGTTTTGAGGCAGGATCTGGTTAAGCTGCCCAGGCTGACCGCAAACCTGTGATCCTCCTGCCTCAGCCTCCCAACGTGCCGGGATGACGCGTGTGCCTGGTCAGGTGTCCAGACTCAAACACGCTTCCCTGGCCCCTGGTCTTGGAACTTGTCTTGCCAACTGGCAGGCTACAAAGGAAAACATGGGTTAGCTGCAGTCCTGGCTCCCGTGGTGAAGTCTTTGCAGCCGGGTGGGGAGTATGGGGGTGTAGATGTGGTGAGATGCACACAGCAGAAATGCCCGATGTTTTTCTTTGTTTTTGTACTGGAGGCTGAACCCAGGGATTGTACCACACCGTATCTCCGCCCTCGGTAGCTTTTGAGTCACCCACACTTGCAGCCCTCATGCCTCGGCCTCTCAGAGTGCTGGGATTACAGGTGTGCGCCACCACGCCCTGCCCAGGTAGTCATTTTGGAGCACACCCTTTATGGTGATGAGGACCCTCACATAGGCTGTGGGAGCTCCTGTTTGGGGAAACGGAGCACAGTACTAGGGCTGGAACACCGGGAGCGCTGAGCTCCGTCTCCAGCCCCCTTTCCATTTTGGGATGGGATCTCACTGAGTTGCCCAGGCTGGCCTTGAGCTTTTGATCCTCCTGCCTCAGCCTCTTGACATTACAGGCGTGAGACAGCGCACATAGTGCAAGCTGGGCTTTCTTAGGTAGAGCCCAGCCAGGTAACCAAAGTCGGGTGTAAGCAGGGCCCCCAAATCTGCGTACTGTGCAGCCCACCGCAAGCACCTGGCCCAGTAGCAGGGGAGGTGGGTACTGGAGGGAGGGTGGTTGTCACTGTCTCGTTGCCAGTGCCACCGTCATCCGCCTCTATTGTTACTATTTTATTATTACTGTTACTATTATTGTTTTGTACAGAGGGTTGAACCTAGGGCCCTGGCACTCAGCTACACCCCCAGCCCTGCCTTCCTGTCCTGCTTTTAAGTTGCTAAGTTGCCCAGTTGAGCTTGAACCTGCGACGACTGTCCTGCCTCAGCCTCCCGAGTGCTGGGACCGGGTACACCACACTGCCTGGCATGAGCTCACTTTCATGAGCACTTTTCATGAGCACGATGGTGCCAGTGAGGAGGGGCATGGAGGGGATGTACACAAACCCATTTTGCAGACCACCAGATGGAGATTCACATGAAAACCGTGGCTGTGTACGTGGTGGCTGCCTGCACCTGCCTACCTGGTGGGTAGGTGACCTGCTATAATGGCTAGGAAAATCTGGGTTTGAGTCACAGCCCTGGGACTTGGAACAGTCTGTTCTGGACCTCAATTTTCTTTATCCGTAAAACGGGACTGGTGTTAAATCAATAGCAGGGAAGAAAAAGACCCAGTGTGCCAACGCACACCAGTGTGATCCCAACACTTAGGGGACGGACACAGGAGGATTCCTCAAATTCCAGGCAAGCCAGTGCTATATAGTAAATTCAAGGCCAGCCTGAACAACATAACCAAACCCTGTCTCAAAACCAAATACCGGAAATATACAAAAGCATTGGCAGAGACAGTAACACTTGCTTCCAGTACTGGCAGGAAGAGACAGCTGGGTCTTTCAGGGGACCCTCCTTGGGGACCGTAGGGGAGGAGCCTGTCTATGTCCCCTCGTGCAGCCCTGGAATGCAGGAATGACCGAGCTGGGCCAGCTGTGCTCAGAACTGTCACTGTGGCATCCCGAGCACTGTGGGGCAGGGCCTGGTGGCTCTGGCCATGTCACACACCCCTCTGCAGACGTGTTGGCTCCTGGCGGTGGCCAGGGACGTCCAGAGGTTAGAGAAATATGGGGTGGGGCAGAGCTGCTAAGCGAGGGCATCACCCAGGCTCTCTTCCTGGGGGCCTGGCAGAGGGGCCTCAAGTCCTTTGTGTGTCCCTCCGCCCTGTGGGTGAGGCTGGGCTGGGCTGAGCTGAACGACCTGCCGTGCCAGGTCCCCATCTTTGAAGCCTGTGGCTTCACCCCAAGTGCCACCTCTGCAGAGGTGATGGTGAAGAGGTACTGTGCCCCGGGTCACGCCTGGAGCCCTAGAGGCTCACACACGTGCTTGTGACAGGGGTCAGAGAGTGACTCGGGAGGAAGAGCTCATATGTGACCAGTGACAAGGGACGGGAGAGGAGAGCTACTGCGGGCTCTGAGCTCTGACGGGAGCCAGCCCGGGTGACACCTACCCTTCAGGCTGACTTGGACCTTCTGCCTTCTGGAATAAGGAGAAAGTTAAGGTTCTGATGGCTTAAGCTACGAATGTGGTTTTTTGTTGTCTAGGTTGGTTTGTTTTGAGCAGGGTTTCGATCTGTAGTCCAGGCTGGCCTTAAACTCACAGTGATCCTCCTGCCTCAGCCTCCGAAGTGCTGGGATCACAGGCATGTGCCACCACCCCTGGCATAAAGCTACCAGATTTGTTGACCATTTGTGCTGTGGGCACAGGAAGGTCAACAGCACCCATGTGGGGGATTCAGTCAGTCACTGGCAGCTCCCCGAAAGGGCTCCTGCTGTGTGTAGTACTTGTTGAGTGAGGCTCAGGAAGGTCTCAGGAACTCTGGTCTGGTCCCACCTCTGCCCCTGAGGTCTCCTCTGGGCGTGCACAGGGTACAGGCGGCCCAAAGGGAACATGCAGAACCTGGACAGCAGCCCCCAGCGCCCTGAGCGGGCACCAGCTGCCCCTCCCTCGCCCCTGTGCTGGCAGTCACCGGCCTGAGGCAGCCCAGGGCCACCCACCCAAGGAGGGCGCAGGGCCCTGTCTCCACCTGCTAAGGATGGGGTGCTTGAGATTCCTGGTTGCTGTGAAGAGAGCTGTGAAGGTGACAGGGGCATGATGAGGATGAGAAGCTAACGGGGTGACTGGGACTAAAAGGACAGTGAGTGAGCCCCGCAGCGGCAGGGGGATCAGCAGGGACAGAGACCTGGGTTGTAGGAGCTGGCTGAACCCAGGAGGAAGGGAAAGGGGCAGGCAGCGGAGGGGGCGGGGAGCTGCAGGGAGGGGTGTGGCCCAAGGCCCCGCCCAGACCTGTGGGCGTGGCTCACTCGAGGCCCCGCCCCCAGGCATGTCGGAGCGGGAGCGGCAGGTGATGAAGAGGCTGAAGGAGGTGGTGGACAAGCAGCGTGATGAGATCCGCGCCAAGGACCGCGAGCTCGGCCTGAAGAGCGAGGACGTGGAGGCCGTAAGTGTCCTGCACCTGCCCCTCCCGGCGCCGTCCCCTCCCCTCCGTTCCTCGGGCTAACAACTGGAGGACTTGCCTGGCTGGGTGGCCCAGCCTCCACCCAGCAGCGGAGCTCAGGCAGGTGCCCAGGCAGAGGTGGGGGGAGCAAGAGGCCTCCAACAGCCTGGAGCCTGGCTGTGGGGTGCCAGCAGTGTCCCCTGCCATTCTCAGACCCGTGACTTCCATCTATTGGAAAACCATCCCGTCATAGTATATTAATTATAATGAGACGCCGAGCTCCTGCTCCCATAAAATTACCATAGCACATACACAAATCACTCGTCTTGGGTGTCAACTGAGCCATGGAATGCAAACAAATCATAAATAAATACAGATGTTTACAGTGTGCACTGCACACCTGGAGATGGTTCAATTTTGTGCAGTGCATGACCCAAGCTACTGTCTGTGGCAGCCCTGTCCAGTAGCTTCTGTGTCTCTGCAGCTGCAGCAGCAGCAAACCCGCCTAATGAAGATCAACCATGACCTTCGGCACCGGGTCACTGTAGTGGAGGCCCAGGGCAAGGCCCTGATCGAGCAGAAGGTGGAGCTGGAGGCGGATCTGCAGACCAAAGAACAGGAGATGGGCACCCTGCGGGCAGAACTCGGCAAGCTGCGGGAGAGGCTGCAGGGTGAACTCAGCTGCAACGGGCAGGAGGAGCCCGAGGTGAGCAGCAGTGTGTCCAGCAGTGGGAGGGTAGCGCTGCCTTGATTTCCCCGTGGTGCTCAAGAGAATGGGAGGGGTAGACGGAGAAAGCTATTGGCTGGGAGAGCTGGGCCTGGAGCCCCGGTCACCCAGCTTCCAGTGGGAGGTGGTCAGCACAGGGATGGCGCCCAGGCCCCTGTGCTGGGGACACTGTTCACCCATCCCTTCATTCCCTGATTCTTTCAACCATTCCTTCATCCATCCATCCACCATTCAGACGAGTACCAGCCATGCAGCAGGCTCAGAACAGTGTGAGCAAAGCACAGAGCCGCCCCATCCACATGGGCCCCCATGCACGTGGAGGCAGGGTCAGGGATCACACGGGACCCAGAGGTGCCAGGCAGTGTGTGGAGGGATAAACAAGGTCAGTGGAGCACAGTTCCACCCTCAGGAGGGGTGCTGGAGCCTGGCGTGGTGTCGAACACCTGCAATCCCAGCACTGTGGAGGCTGAGGTGGGAGTTGAGGGCCAGCCCTGGCAACTTAGTGACTTAGCAAGACTGTGTCTCCAAAATGGCTGTGGACGGAGCTCATAGCAAAGGTCATGGGTTGGGACCCCAGTACCACGTGCATGCACACGCACACACCAGGCACAAAGAACCACCTACTGCACCGCTGCATCAGTATGGAGCATCAGAGCAGGCAATCCAGAGACAGCCATGCGGGCTGCAGGAACTGGGGAGACAGGGTACCTGCTGCTGGGGGCACATCGCTGCTTTTTGGGGTGATGGATATATTCTGGAATGAGGCAGTGGTGCTGGGCACAGAGCTCGGAGTTTACATAGATGTGGGTGAAAGACGCCTGGATCCGCGGAGAACCTGCCTCCTGCCTGAAGGGAGGGCACGGAGCCAGCTGGGGAGTCACCCACAACCTGAGTGTGGGAGTCTGGGGGCCAGGTTTAAGTCTAGGCTCTGAGGGCCGGGGGTTTAGCTCAGCAGCGTAAGGGCCTGCTTGGCAAACACGAGGTCATGAGTTCAATCTGGGCACCAAAATAAAGGTCCAGGCTCTGCCGCTTTCTCCTATAGCCTTGGATATGTCATCGTCCTGTCTGTGTGTGTTTTCTCCTGTAATGACAGGAATCGGCTGGCTCTGGTGGTGCCCATGTGTACTCCCAGCCATTCAGGAGGCTGAGGCAGGAGGGTCAAGAGCTCACAAGCAGCCAGTGCTGCAGAGTGAGTTCAAGGCCAGCCTGAACTACACGGCAAGACCCTATCCCAGAAAAACAAAGGAAAAAGCTAAAAGCTGGGTGAGGAGCTGCTCGCCTATAATCCCAGAATTTTGGGAGGCTGAGGCAAGAAGATTTCAGAAGTTGAGTCCAGTGTGGAGAATTCAGTGACTTAGCAAGAACCCTGTCTTAAAATAAAAGAGGGCTGGGGCTAAATGTAGCTCGGAGGGAAGGCCTTGGATTCAGCCTCCTGTAGCCAGACGACAGCAACAACAAACCCAGAATAGTAAGAGTGTTTTCCCCCAAACCACTGCAAGTTAGATGGCATGGTTTGGGTGGAGTTGCTATTCACTGTTGTTACATTACCATCACAGTCCAGGGATCAAAGCAGCTCCAGGAGGTGCTTGAGGAAAAGAGTCATGGGTAGGAGGGGTGGGCGTGCAAAGGTCCCATGGCAGGAGAAACTGCAGTGGGTTCCAGGAAGTGTGAGGGATGTACACAGGTGGTGTGCAGAGTAGGGGGTGGGGTCCAGGCAAGGTCAGAGCTGTGGTCAGGCCGGTGCCACAGAGAGGTCACAGAGAGAGGAAAGGAAGGGAGAGTCCCAGCTTTCACCTGAGGCCCTTGCTGGACACTTTCGGGTCTGGCGTGGGAGCCCGATATGGCAACATTCTAGTCCCCCGCTCCCCTTGTCTCTCGCTGATTCTGTGCTGCCGGGAGCCAGAGCCTCAGAGCCACCCAAGGCAGCAGAGGACCACTGTGCTGTGACCTCCCAACCCACATGCCCTTCTGCTGGCCACACAGGACAGCAGAGCTCACTTAGTACTTGTGAGGGTGTCCTCCAGTAGGCTCCCATTGCAGTGTGTCCCCTGGTGCTCCACCACTCAGCAACCCAGTGGGAAGAAGTGGCCCAGCTCCCCAAGGAAACTGGCAGACGGTTTTTTATATCAAGACAAGAGTCTGCTGAGTTGCCCGAGCTGTTCTCAAACTTGTGATCCTCCTGCCTCAGCCTCCCAAAGGGCTGCGATAACAGGTGTGCGCCACCACACCTGGCTTTCTTGGGTTTTTATAGCACGAGGGGCATGAGGGCCTGGTGCAGAGTTTTCGTGTGTCCTGAGCTGTCCCTGGTGGCTCCTGAAGTACCCAGGCATGATCGCAACACAATCGTCCCCTCTGCAGTGCCAGGACCCATCCCAGAGGATTTTCGCAGGCGCTCTGATGAACCTGATGGTGGGAACAGCCACTCTGACCCCTGGTCTCCTGGGCCTCCCTGTCAAGCAGCCAGGCTGTGGCCTCCCTCAATTGTGTCCAGACAGCCCCTGGGGATTAGCGGGCGGGCGATTACCGAAGCAGCCTGGCGTCCTTGGAATAAGCTTCAATTGCCTGATGCTGCCCTGGACTCCGGCCGATGTGGTGCCTGGCATTTGTGGGCAGTTGGGCCAAAGGTGGAGGCCGCACACCCGATGGTCCTCCAAAGGGGTCAGGCTCAAAAAAGAGCCAAGGGCGAAGGAGGCTCCTCCATGGCACTGCTGTGACCCACCCATTCGGGGTGGAGTCATGGCAGACCTATGGTGTGCAGAGAACCCGATGTGGGGCAGGAAGGGTACTTGCAAACAGCACTGTGTCACTGAGGCCTGGAGGGGACAGGACGGCCCAGGAGAGGGCCTGCCCAGCCACTGAGGGTCTGCTGTCCCCATGGCGAGCAGACCCCTGGGGATGGCCCTTCAGGACACAGCTGGGTCCCCAAGAGTGACAGGGCAGGCAGAGGAGTTTGGGGCCACAGCAGGGAGTAGACAGGGAGGGAGGCTGGCCGGAGCTCAGTGAGTGAGGCCCAGGTGCAAACTGTGGTGTGGAATGGCCTGGTCTTACACAGGTCACAGCTCAGTAGGCTGATTTTTACCAGGATTAAACCCTAGACCACCACACTCTGTACATCTTTAGCCCCTGCTTTGTTTTCATTTTTGTCTTGCTGTGTAGCCCAGGCTGACCTTGAACTTTCAACAGTCTTCCTGCCTCAGACTCCTGAGTAGTGGGATTGCAGGGGTTTTTTGAGTTTTGTTTGTTTTTGTTTTTGTTTTGCGACAAGGTCCTACTAAGTCACTGTGTTGTCTGAGCTGGGCCTGAATTTGTGATTCTCCTGCCTCAGCCTCCCCGAGTGCTGGGATTATAGGTATGGACCACCATGACTGGCCAGGAGATTTTAGAATGCAGTAAGAACCAAACCAAATGAGAGCGATAGGGGCGCAACCTGAGGGCCCCGTTTAGCATACGGTGCTCGTTTTTGGCAGACTCCTCCACAGTGTCAGGGCCTGGGCACAGAGACCCCTCCCACGGTGAGCCCAGCCTGAGTGACCAGAGTTCACATACTTACGCTCGATGCTCCGCAGCTTCAGTACGGTTACATCCTCCCTGCACCGCACTCTCCCTGTCTGGGTCTCTGCCCAGCAGTTAGACACCCGGGCAGGGGCAGAGCCCAAAACCGCCTGCCATGTACCAGTCACTACCAGAGTGGCGACAGGGCTGAGCCCAGGCTGGGGTGGTGGGGGAGCAGCCAGGAGGCGGGGGAGGGGGTGTGAAGACGGGGCAGTCTTCCTGATGTCTCAAGCCAAATCCCTCAGAGGCTCCTCCGCCGCCCCCTTTGGCTCTTTGTCACCTGATTTGTCAGTGGGTGGTGTCTGCTTTCCAGTGTCCCTTCCCAGAACAGCCTGTCCGGACTTGAGGAAGCTTGAGGCTCTGCTGCTGGAGCCCCAGGGGTCTTGGCCTTGTGCCGGCGTCCGGCCAGAGTCCCTTGTCCCCGCATCACTGTGGGCCATCTGGGGCCTAGGCAGGGTGTCTGTTTCTGTCCCCTGCTCCTGTTTCCTGCTGCCATCCCAGCCTCTGTCTGCTCCTTGTAGATGACCATGGGACAGGGTCAGAGAGTGCAGGTGACACTGTACTCCCTTGTCTGCGTGGCCCCTGCAGATCTGGCAAGGTGACGGGGCATTTTGCCAATCCCTCGCTATGAGAAAAAACAGGACCTGGGCCAGGTGTGGTGGTATTGCACACCTGCAAACCCTGCTGTCTGGGAGGCTGAAGCAGGGTGATAGCGTGTCAAAGCCCAGCCTGGGCAATTTAGCTACTTTGTAAAATACTGTAACAGATTTTTTACAGTTTAAATTTAAAGAGACCTGGGGATAAACCTCGGTTCAAAGGCTGTGGATTCAGCCCCCGTTACCACCTAGAGACACCCAAGGGGAAATGGTCTGAGGGCATAGCTTGGGTGCAGCCCGTGCTTAGCAAGACAACCTGGGGCAACAGAATTGGAGGAACTGGGACCCTGGGCCGTTGCTGGTATAGACGCAAATCCTGCGGCCACTGCAGAAAACAGACATGGAAAGTTAACCCAGAGTTAGAGTCACCGCAGACTGTGGTAGCCATACCTGTGATGTCAGCACTCGGGAGGCTGAGGCAGGAGGATCACTGTGAGTTCCAGGTCGGCATGTGGTGATAGTGAGTTCAAGACCAGCCTGAACTATGTATAGCCAGGTCTTGGCTCAGAGGGGAAAAAAACAAAATGAAACGCCGCAGAGTTAGAGTCCTTTGAGACCCAGCAGCTCTGCCTTGGTGTGCATCCACCGCGATGGGAAACTTGTGTTCACAGGGACACACAAGAAGGAAGCTTCTTAGCATCGCTCTTCAGGGTGGCACCAAGTGGGCAGCCACCCATGCAGCCGCCACAGGAGTGGGCACAGTGGGAGCGGAAGCCATGTCGGATGAGGCGGTGCACACCTGTAACCCATCCCTCAGGAGGCTGAGACAGGAGGATTTTCATTTTGCAGCCAGCTGGGCCCCATAACAAAAACCTGTCCAAAAAAAAGAGGAAACTTCTGCTGCCAGATTGGTGAGCTGGGAAACCTGATGCCACGTGACAGGCGGGACACAGAACTGCCTGGTGCTGTGGTTGGGAAATGTCCAGAGTAGCAGAGCCACAGAGGCACAAAGCAAATGGCAGTTGAGGCCCGGGCGGCAGCAGGTAACTGTGGTGAGCACAGTGCTTCCTCTTGTGAGAATGTTCTGGATTAGATGGGGGAGCTGCACAACCACAGGAACCTGCCGAGCTGTGCACATTACAGGAGCCCACAGAGCGCAGTATTCTGGGGCCCCTAAACTTAAAGGAGCAAGGCCCCCGGATCCGGAGGGTTCAGGGCCCACCCCCGGCAGGTGACCCAGCTGGAGCTGGGGGCTATCTGTGACATTTGTGTTGATGAAACTTTTTTTTTTCCTGTTTGTTATTTGAGATAGGGTCTCACTGTGTAATCCAGGCTGACCTCAAACTTGTGGATATCAGCCTGCATCAGCCTGCAGAGGGCTGGGGTGACAGATGTGTGTCACCATGCTCGGCTGCATTGATAAAAAAAATTTTCGAAGTGCGCCCCCTGCCAGGGCTTCCCCCAAGCTCTGAGGCGAGATGCCAGGGGCCTCTGGGGAGGACAGGCTGTGATTCCCCCGGTCACTTTGGTGGATTAGGAGGCCATGGGAGGAGAGCCTGGGAGGGGACACCTGGACAGGTCTGTGACAGTGGTGGTCTTGGCAGTATGGACGCCTCTGAGCAGGTTCATAACAGAAGTTTGAGTGCTGGGGGAGGCGTGGAGATGCAGGGCTGGCTACTGAAAGGGACAAGGAACAGGTGGCCGCCACCTCCCATCTCCAGGGGAAGCTGTACAGAGCTCAGCACAGGCCGCCCCCATGCATGCTGCAAATAGCTCCTCAGGCAAGCTGCTCCCCGGGGTGGCATGGGGTGGGGTACCAGTGCCTCGGCAGGGGGGCCACCACCAGTTCCTCAGCAGCATCTCTGCCTCCCGCAGGCAGAGCCCAGCACAGAGGAGTGTGTGTCCGACGACACGGAGAAGGTGGCCATGGACCCCAAGGACCCTGGCCGCCCCCGGTTCACGTTGCAGGAGCTGCGGGACGTGCTGCATGAGAGGAATGAACTCAAGGCCAAGGTGTTCCTCCTGCAGGAGGAGCTGGCCTACTACAAGAGGTGGGCGCCTGCTGCCACCAGTGACAAGCCTCTTCCTGTCCCCTCATCCTTCCTGCACCGTGGGGCCCCACCTCTTTATTGCATTTATTTATTGAGACAGAGGTTGCCGGCCTTGAACTCACAGCTCCCCTTGCTCGGTTCCCCTGGGGTAGAAAAGGCACAGCCATCTGTCGAGGGAGAGCCAGGAGGAGACGTGGGTGCTCTGGAGGGGTCCCTGCTTCAGCCAGAAATGGGGTGCAAAGAAAGTACAAGGTTACCTCCCGCCTGGGGAGGGCCAACATAAACACATTCACGACAGGGATGGCACTGGATTAGGGCCTTATTTACAGGCCAGGGTAACATGTCTGGGGATGGCAACACAAGGAGCGGGCAGCTTGCTACAGGAGGAAGGAGCCCAAAGGTGTGAGACAGGCACTGGGCAAAGACAGGGACACGGGTAGTGTTGCGGGTTACAGGTGTGGCTTATTCTGGTTACATCTGTAACCCCAGCACTGGAGGTTGGGGCCAGCCTGGGCTACATAGTAAGTTGATAGCCAGCCCTGCAGACAGATGATGTCGGGGCAGAGGCCACTATTACCACTTTTCTAGGCCCCCTAATCTCACCCACCTTCCGACCCTCAGGCAGCACCCTTCTGGGATGTTCCAGTTCTCACAGATTTTTTTTTTTTTTGACTCATTTATCTCATGCCTCTCAACCCCTTTCAGTGAAGAAATAGAAGAGGAGGCCCGAATACCCCAGCCGGCACCTGTCGCACATCTGAGACTATCCCCACAGCCGGAGTCCGGTATCAAGCGACTGTAAGTCTCAGGCTTATGCCCTGTGTGGGGTTCATGTGACCTCTGACTTCAGCCCTCAGCCCCTGACCCTGGGTTCCTCTCTTGCTGGATACTGAGCTCTTTCTGGGGTCTCTGAATGGTGAGATTGTGGAGTGCTGGGTGGAGGGGAGCCAGGCCTGGGGCTGGTGCTCCAGAGCTTGCTCGATGAGTGACTTGGGGATGGAGGTGGCTTTGAGGACAAGGATCAGGCTGGGGTGTGGGGCGGGGCCTCAAGCCTCAGCTGTGAGGTGTCTGCAGTGACCCTGCTGCCCCAGCACACACCCCTCTAGCCCTCCGTGTAGCTGCTTGGTGTCCTTTGGTTCCTGACACACACACAGTCAGCTGCCAACCCCCTGGAGATCCTCAGAGGCAGCACCCAGGATTTTAAGCTGCCACGCTGCTCAACCTCATCAGATCCCTTTGGGGTCCTCATGACACAATCCTTGTTCATGGGGGAAAGATAAAAACATGAAATTTTGTGCACAATTTCAGGAGGTTCACGGACTCCTGAGGGCTTTGGAGAAAGGGTTGATGCCTCCACTCAGTTAGGAAGCTAAGCTCCTGTGCCGGGCTCTGCCCTGCAGGTCATCTCACCAGACCTCTGTAGGGCTACAAGGGGAGGCGTGGGCATTCCTGAACGGTAAAGGAAACTGAGGCACTGAGGCCCTTCCTGGTCTCCCCCAGGCCTCCAGCTCTGGCCTTGGCTGACTTTGGAAGGGACAGTGGTCCTCTTCCCTCAAGCCCAGCAGAAGCTTCATGAAAGCAGGTTCGGGTGGGGGTGTGTGGGGAGGGGGTGGGAGTGACCCACAGGCCTCCCCTTTCACAGCCCTGTTGGAGAAGCTGCAGCTGGTTCCCAGCCTGTGGGTGGCCAAATACACAGCACGGGCAGGTGTGGAAGAGCTGGGCTTACGAGTGGGGCGTGGGGCTCTGTCCACACCCGGGGCCTGACTCCTGGAGTGCTGGATGAACCTGCAGCACCCAGCCAAGCTTTTTGCAAACTGCACATTGCTTTTTAGTTTTGCGTTAGGTAGGTCCCTGCTGGCCACAGGGGCTGGAGTGTCCCCAGTTCTAGCTAGTGGTAAATGTTCCCTGCCACTGAAACATGGACCCCGGAGAGCGTGCTTGGATTCCGGCGCTGTTTTGACCATGGATTAGTGAGTGAGCTTCCATGTGCAACCAGCACCCGAGGAGCTGAGGGAAAAGAAGTGAGCGAAATAACCAGAAATTTGCAGTGCATTCCAGATTCAGGTCTCGTTTCCTCTACCCTCGAGTTTGTGTCCTGGCTGTGGACTTGATTCTCGGTTACCTTCCTGCGTGACCCTCGGCTTTCCTGGAAACTCTAGTTCTGGTTCCGTTTGCAGGAGGTCCAGAGAAACCACAAGTCAAGGGTCATTGGCTCTCAGTAGGTCACATGACCACCCCTAAACCAATCAGCAGGGCACTTTGGCCGTCCGTTTCCCCATCTCCTGAAGCTCAAGGTCTAATCTCCATTCAGTGGGGATGAAGCAGACTTTAGAAGCCCGGGGCACAGGAGATGAGCTTCTCCAGGCTCTGGAACATACACGCGGGCCCCTGTGTGCGAGCGAGCGGCGGACTCGGTCTCCTGCCCCCTCAGTTCCAGCTTCAGGGTTCGCCCCCGGGAAGATTGCGGACGAGTCCAGGCCGCACAGCAGCCGCTTCAGCTGCTCCTGTGGTCCACACGCTCTGCAGGGCCTCCCACAGTGCCTCCCCTCACTGGCGCATGTGTGCCCACGGCTCCTTCTGACTTTTTATTTTACTCCTTTCCTCAGCAGGTAATTAACCATGGGCTTTTGCCAGTCTCAAATTGGACGAAATCCAGAGGAAAGTTACCAACACACCTGCCCACTCGTTCTGCCCACACCTGTGCGTGGTGGTGCTGCCCATCCGCCCCAGATGGCTCCTGTCAGAGCCCTCCTCCCCTCCATCCCGCCTCCTGGATGCTCAGCCGGAATTGGTGCTGTGTAACCAGGCGAGGTGTCGCCCTCCTGCAATCCTAGCAGGCAGGAGGCCGAGGCAGGGGGGTTACCCCAAGCTTGAGGCCAGCTTAGGTTACATAGTAAGTTCCAGGCCAGCCTGAATTACATATGGAGATACTGTCTCAAAAACAAACAGACAAAACCAAGAGCCCAGCAGAAGGAGCCGGGTTGGGTATCCCAGAGAAGTGGAAAAAGGCAGCACCAAAGAGAAAGAGCCAGGGCTGGAGATTTAGCTCAGCGGCATAAGCGCCTGCCTTGCTAGCGCATGATCATGAGTTCAATTCCTGGTACCAAAAAAACCAAAACTATACTACAAAGACAAAAAGCCAGACAGCGGGAGACAGAGCCCCTGTCGATGGTGCGCAGGAGGACTGTCCTGTGGTGGTCCTGCCTCTTAGGGGAGAGCCAAGGGAGCCAACAGCCACAAAAGGCTTTTTGAGTAGCACTGCAGGACACTGGTTGCCTTTGTCCTCCACAGCTGACTGGGCCGTGGCTGTGAGCTGAGAGCCCACAGGAGAAGCTGAAGCAAGCGATGCGCAGTTCCTAGGGGACTTGGGCTCCGCACCTCCCCTGCTGGTACCCGCCAGGTTGTTCTGGTCTCAAGGCTTTGCCTTGGGGGGTGTTGGTCACTCAGTCTGCTCAGTGCTGGGGCTCCCGGTCCTGCTGCAGCCCACCCTGTGTCCCCTGACAGTGAAGTCACAGCAACCAAGAAGATGGAAGGGGCTTTGCCAACTCTGAGCACCCCAACTGAGGCATCTTCCAGCCAGAGACACACAGCGGGCACATGTGTCTCCTCCTCAGGAGAGGAAACTGAGTTCTCTCGTGTTTTGTGTTTTTGTGTTTGAGACAGGATGGTACTGTGTGGCCCAAACTGACCTAGAATTCAGAGCAGTCCTCCTGCCTTAGCCTCCTGAGTGCTGGGATTACAGGCGTGCACTGCCACAGCCACCTCCACATAGCTCAACCATTGGGAAGGCTCAACCAGGCACTGGAACCTGGGCTTCTCTGGGCAGCTCTCTTCTCCCCTCTGCCTGGGTCCCCAGTGGTGCCTGGCTCCCTTATCTCAGAGGCCCAAATCAGGGACTCCAGACTGGGTGTTGCTAGGCTGAGCACAACAGGAAACCGTAGGCTCCTGCTGCCAGGCACAACAGTGGCCCGAAGGGGTCCAGGAATAGCTTGTGACCCAGCTGCCACCAGCTGGCCAGAGAGGACGTGCTGGCACTGCCCAGGGAGGTCATGTGGGCGCCTGTGACTGCAGCCCCCTCCCCCACGAACAGCAAGCACCAGCACCACTGTGTGTGACACTGGCCCCTCATCACAGTCCCCTGTTCACACAGTGGCTTCCACCAGACAAGCACAGGCAGCTGGGGGACAGTGGGTGGAGGAGAATGGGGAAGTTTGGGCTTAGAAAGGCCTTCCTCCCCGGAAAGGCCAGCTTCAGAGTGGGCGGCCATCCCGGCCGGCCTGCAGCAGTGGCAGCGACAGTGTGTCCTGTCCCTGTCCTCCCACCCACCACCCCTCCTCCATTCGGCTGGAAATAGCCGGGAATGTCACCCTGCGGACTTGGTTTGAGTCTTCCAGAAATACTGAGTGGGGAGGGAGGACTTGGAACGGCTTCCCCGCTACCAAGGCCTAACGTGGCCAGACCGTTATCATGGTTTCTAGGGGGAATGGCCGTCCCCCTAAAGGCAGCGGAAGGCTGGTGGCACCTGGCTCTGCAGGTGACCCCAGGCCCTGGAACAGATGCCCAGTCCCTGACGGGCCCAGCATTTCCAGGTAGACCAATGTCTCTCCTACCTGGTGACTGGGGTCACCAGCTATGCAGTGACTTTCGTGTCTTTAGGGGTTGCCCTGTTTGGGTCACAGCACAGGTAGGTACACAGTAGTGTAGGCAGGAACCCCTGGAGAGCCACCTGTGCTGGGCCATCCAGCCTCGGGATTAGGCCCATTCCTTTTGTGTCCCCACTGTCCCTGCCCAGGTGGTCTGCAGTTCCCAGCTCCCATGTGAAGAGTGTCAGATGCCATCCAAACACAGAAAACCTCCCCATGGACAGTTATTTTGTATCTTTTCCAGTCCAGTTTAAACACAGAACTGCTGGACAGCCAGGTGTGGTATTTCATGCCTGTAATCCCAGCACTTGGGAAGCTGAGGCAGGAGGATTGTGGCAAATTTGAGACCAGCCCAGGCTATATAGCAAGTTCAAGGCCAGCCTGGGCTACATAGCAAAGATCCTGTAAAATAAACAAACAAAAAATCATAGTTTTCCAAATATGTTCTGGCCACCTAGTTGGAGCCTCATGTTCAGTGCTGCAGCTACAGGCAGCTGTGACCTATCGGCAGGGGCAGGGCTGTGCTTGCTAAGGTGACACTGGTCCACTCCTGCCTGTCACCTGGCCGCTGTGAGGATGCAACTTGTGCATCCCCAGGACAGCGCTGGAGCTGAGAAGGGGGCTCCACAAGCCCCAGAGCACATCCAACTCCTCCCCCAGCCCCAGGTCCAGCCACTAAAGGCTGCTGGGTTCCTTCAGTGGCCATCACACAGCCTCTGTGGCCTTGGGCCTTGGTAACAAAGTGCCGCAGAGGACGGGACTTAACAGTTGTAATGAATAGTCCCGCTGTTCTGCAGACCAGAGGTCAAAGCCAAGGTTAGCAGGGTCAGATGTTTGAGGGAGAATCCGCTGAGGCCTCTTTTCTTGTTGAGGACCTTTGTCCTGTAGAAACATCACCGCCACCATGCGGCACCACGTGCCCTTCCCTTGGCCGCAGGTCCCTGCCCACATCCCCCGTTTCCCATGGGGCTGGAGCTGCCCTCCCCCTAACTGGGTCCGTCTGAAAGGACCCCAGGTCTGTAGTGACGTCCAGAGCTACTGGGGCTTGGGACTTCACCCTGGATTTGGGGGAAAGGGACACGCCTGGGCCCGTGACAGGACCAGCCGCAGACCCTCGGCCAGCCTGTCCGTGAAGTGGGCATCTGTCCTGCCTCCTTTTTATCTTCTCCGTGTCTGTCTGCACCTCTCTAACCAGGATCTTTACAGCCGTAATGCCCATGGTGGCAGCTGGACTGCTGCTCGACGACCCCACGCTGCAGCCCGTGCGACGCCTCGTCTCCCTTGTAGGCACCGTGTGTGTGTTTGGGGTTCCATGTGCGCTGTGCCGTGGCCGGGTGGCTGTGGCACCCACCTGGGCCGGCCTGGCTCCTCGGGCTGCTCGGGCTGCATGGCTGTCGCCTGTGTGCTGGCATCTGGAGTGGGTGCTGAGTTCACCGCGCTCCACCTACACGAGTCGGAGTTCCCGGCTCTGTCACCGATAATCCTTTTTGTCTCTTCTGTTTCCGTTCTAAAAACCGCCTTGCACATGATCCAGTAAAGAAGGTCCTTTAAGCGACGGGTCAGTAATCAACGCCCACTGCCAACCCCGAGTGACACTAATCCTGCATTGGGTCTTCACCACCGAGCTTTCTAAAAACTGCTTTGTCTTGCTGCCTGGCCAGGCGGCCCTTTGGTTTGATGTCTTTGGTTTGATGTCGCTGCAAAAGGAAAAGTGGGAGGGCAGCGGGCGGGTGTGTGGGGCGGCATAACCCCAGAGCTGCTGTTTTTCTGGCTGGCTGATCCGCCTGACCACCTGTGGAAAGAGCGCCCGGGTGACCGGGAGGGACGTCCTGCCTCGGCTCACAGCTGTGTGTGCGGAGAGCCGGAGCCTGTGTGCCAGGCAGGGCACGTTTCCCTGGACCCACACGGTTTGCCCGGGGGCTTCGTGATGAAAGAGCTCTGTCTCAGGGGGAGAGCGACTGTGGGGTGCAAGAGGCACCGGAGAGCGGAGTTGTGTTCCCCAGGTGCGATTAAAATGCCTCCCTGGGTACTGTGCTAAAGACAGACGGAGAGAGGGAACCAAGAATAGCTCCCGTGAGGATCGGGTGTCTCAGGGGCTGCCCGGGAACACAAAAGAGCCATTCTCTGAGCTCCTGCCCGGTGCAGAAACTGAAATTGAAGAGGAAGGCAGAAGGAGCCTCGGCAGGCCCGAGGAGGAGCTCTCGGGGCCATTGCAGCTGGCCAGCTCCAGGACCGGCCAGCCCGAGTCCGCCTTCACATAGCCGGGGAGCCAACCTTGTTTTCAGTGGCTTCTGTCTTTATCCCTGAGCATCTGACAGTTCACTCTGATCAGGGTGCAGTAGTCACAGCAGTTTAAAACACTGCAGGAGCTGGGCACAGTGGTGCCTACCTGGGATCCCAGCACTCGGGAGGCCGAGGCAGGAGGATCACAGATTTCAAGACCACTCTAAATGACATAGTGAGCCCTGCCTGTCATAAGTAAATAGACAAATGTCCCTAGGGGCTGGGGATGTAGCTCCATGGCAGAGCTCTTGCCTAGCATGTACACAGCCTGGTTCTGTCTTGCCGAGGGAAAGAACAAAGTAAGAGCGTGACACCTTTGCTCTGTGTTAGCTTTTACTGTGCCACTGGTTACAGCAGTGAACGCTGGAGGCTTCACCCTTAAGTCCAGTGTTGAAAGTCCGGCCCTGTGAATATCTGCATATTTCATTTGCCCACTTTACCAAGAGAGATTTTTGTCTGGCTACCTGCAGTAGCTTCAGCCTAAGCAGTAACAACATAACCCATGCCACGCGGCCTGTGGTGGCTGCTTGCCCAGATTCCGGTTCACATTAGGGATCTCCGTGGTATTCCATGCCACGCTGCTTCCCAGCGCCCCTCTCAGCTTGAGGAAGTAGAGTTCTGGGCTGTGGCTTCGTGGCAGAGCACTGGCCCAGCAAGGCCTCCATCCCCAGCCCCCCAAAATAAAGGACACTCCTGACCTGTTTCTGGGAGCTGTTGGTCCTCATGGTCCCAGGAAGGGCTCTCAGCGGCCAGGCAGAGGAGTGTGCATGTCACCTGTAGGCCCCACTCACGCCGCCGTGTGACCGCAGCGTTCCACGCTGATGACTGCACGAGTCCCCAGCTCTCCCCAGCCCGCTCCCAGGCGTGTTTTTTTGCACCCAATTGCCCCTGCTCCCTCCAATTTGGCTGCCGTGTCCCTGGCACCCTAGCAGGCACGGCGCTCACCTCTGCCTCTTCCTTTCCCTTCCCAAAGGTTTAGCTTCTTCTCCCGAGACAAGAAGCGCCTGGCCAACATGCAGAGGAACGTGCACGTCCATGAGTCCTTTGGCCAGTGGGCAAACAGCCATCGTGACGACGGGTACACGGAGCAGGGACAGGAGGCCCTGCAGCACCTGTGACCCTGGCCCTGACCACTGCCACCCACGCCTCAAGCCCTAGAAGTTCTAGGACACCCCACTTTGAGGATGGGCACGAGAAACTGATGCCAAACTCTGAAGAAACATTTATTTATACCCAGGGCTGCAGTAGAGGACTCTGCCTTAGGATATATATTTAATAACGCCGCCGACTGAGGCCAGATTTTCGCACTAACTTTAGTGACAAGCTTCTTCAAGCCAAATACATCACTCATCACTGTAACTGCCACCTGATTGACTTTGGATGAAACTCGAGGTGCAAAGGTTTTATCACACGTGTCATACTTCCCATGGGAGGCCGAAGAGGGGCAGCTTTTCATTATCATGAAATTGTGCTGTTCTGTGGGCGGAGTGACGCGCGTCTGTGATCTCAGCGTTGCAGAGGCTGAGGCAGGAGGACTGTGAGTTTGAGGCCAGCCTGGACTATGGAGTGAGTTTAAGGCCAGCCCAAACACCACAGCAAGATCCTGTCTCAGAAATTTGTGGCCACGGCAGATGGGATGGGATGGGACGGATCAACTGGACTACAGCTTCTGAAGCAAAGGCTCCCCACCCGCCTCTGCCCCAGGTGAAGCACAGGACTAAGTGGCAGTCCTCCTGCAGAGACGGGACGGGGCTTGTTGGAGAGGACTTCTCCCAGGTGCTCTGGGGCATGTGCCTTGGGGAGGGAGGCGGCCGCGGGTCCGCTGAGAGCCCCACAGTACTAACCAACAGAGTTGCCACAGATCAGGCCACGCTCCCGGTGTGCATTCTTTCCCCTAGCATCTTTTCCCCAGTGTGAAACACCACCGCTTTTGCAAAGACAAGTGTGTCCAAGCAGATGGGGAGGCGGCCGTGGGAGTCTCGGCAGTGAGGGTGGAGGAGCAGATGGAGGGTGCTGGTTGACAGATGGCGGGGACTGCACAGCTTGGTGACTCAGCCAGCAGCCCCCCGGTCTGCAAGTGGGGTGTTAGGGGATATGTACACACTTGTGCCCCATCCACAGAGCAGCAGGGCACGGAACCGGGTGCCCCTTGTTGAGAACCCCTAAAGACACTGTGATTGACGGGTCTGGGGATGTGCAGGCTGCGTGGTTGCTGGAATAGTGGGCCGTGACAGAGCTGCAGGGCTCCGTCTGGACTGCCGTCCAGGTTACTAGAATCGATTCAGAGAAAGTCGAAGTTGTAGCACAGGGTAGTGCACACCTGTGATCTTGGCTACTCAGCTACTGAGTGTCACAAGTTTGAGGCCAGCCCGGGCGGTTTAGTGACCTAGCGAGACCTGTCTCAGAAAAATTAAAAAATAAAGCCAGCCAGGCATACAGCTCAGGGCAAACTTCCAGATTCAGTCCCCAGTACAAAAGCAAAACAACACTAGTGATGACTGTGAGTCCTCACGTGAAATCATTTGTTTTGATGCAAAACTCTTGTATTCAAGGAGTCTTAGCTTTCTACAGCCATTGGTAAAAATGCTACAGGTCAGCGTTTTTGAAAAATTAAACGAGTATTCAAAGATTCCAGCTTCCAAGCAGACCAGAGCCCAGGTCATCAGGGAAGAGAAACCGCTCTCACTGGAGCTGCAGGTCCCACTGCCCCAACCCGTCCTGGGTCTTATCTTAGTCTGCCCCCACTGAGCCGAGCTGGATCTTCCCGCAGGCCTGGAAGACACCCCCAGGTCACAGCCGAGAGGAAGCAGAGGGCAGTCAGCCGGGGGAGTAGCTGGTGGCTGACCCCAGGTCCATGCTGGCTTGGTAGCTGACCCCAGGTCCATGCTAGCTTGCAGCTGGGGCCCGACAGGATTTCCTCTGTATCCATTTCTATTGCTGCTCAGTAAGCCCCGGGGCTGCAAGTGTGCAAGTGGGTGAGAAACTTCACCCCAGCTAGATGGGGCCAGGAGTTACGGAGCAGTAAGGATGCAGGGCACTGCTTCTCTCCTGCCACTTGAACTGAGAGCAGCAGCTCCTTACCACACTCCTTGTGGACACATGTTAGAGCCACACAACTTTCCCTGACCCTGTTCCACTCGGCAGGGTCGGGATGCAGCTCAGGGGAGATGTTGGCCTAGCATGCCTGAGGCCTTAGGTTCTTCTGGCAATGCAAAAACCACCTCCTAAAAACACAGCCTTAGACCTACCAACAATAATTCATGCTGGGTTTGGTGACACACACCTGTAATCCCAGCTCCTTAAGAGGCTGAGGCAGAAGGATCACAAGAGCCAGGCCAGCCTGGACAATTTAGCAAGACTCTGCTTCAGAATAAAAAAGGACTGGGGATGTCAGGAGTAGAGCACCACTGGGTTCAATCCCCAGTATTGGAAAGAGTCAGGCTGGGCCTGGATATTGGTAGCACATGCCCGTAATCCCAGCACTGGGGAGGCTGAAGCAATAAATTGCAGCAAGTTCGAGCCCAGCCTGGGCTACCAAGTGAATTCACGGGCAACCTGAACTATACAGTGAGACCCTGTCTCAGAAAACCAAACCAAAAAGCCAGGTATGGTGCCAGTAATCCCAGCACTCAGCAGGCTGAGGCAGGAGGATCACTGCAAGTTTGAGACCAGCCCAGGCTACAAAGTGAGCCCAAGGCCAGCCTTAACTGAATAGCAAGACCCTGTCTCAAAAAGACAACCAACCAAACCAGAACAGAAAAAGGAGGGCTGGGGATTTAGCTCAGCGGCACAGGTGCCTGCTTGGCAAGTGTGAGGTTGTGAGTTCGATCCCTCAAACAAACCAACCCAGAAAATGATGAATTCATAATACCAGTTTGCCTCTTGGTTCCAGACTGGAAGGAAGGTCCCAAACCCCATCATCAGCAGGTTTTATTGACCCCTTCCCCACCCACCCACACAGCACCTCTTCCTGGCCGCCAGGGGCTGCTACTTGCTCCTGTCCCTCTTCTCCCGCCCCTTGAGCCTGTCCTCCCGCAGGTCCCGCTCTCGGTCCCAGTCGCCGTCAGGCCAGGCCCGGGCCTGCTCCCTGTCCTGCCACCTCTTCTCCCGGCCCCGGTCGTGGTCCCGATCGCGCGCCCTGAAGTCCCAGTGTCTCTCCCGGGATCGCGAGCGCTCCCTCCGCTCCCGTTTGCCTTCGCGGTAGAGGTCGCTCTTCACCGCGGGCAGGTTAATGGGCTTCCGGAAGGGCCGGTCCCGCCCCCCGAACCGCAGCTGCCCCGACTCCTTCTTGCCGCCCAGCCCTCCGCCCAGCCGCCGGGGGATCCAGCCGCGCAGCGTGCGCTCCAGCTCGAAGTCCACGAAGACCTCGTGCTGGTCGATGAGCAGCCCGTCGGCGTCGCGGTGGGCCTTGAGCAGCGCGCGCTCCTCCTTGTACTCGATGAAGGCGTAGCCCTTGGAGAAGCCGGTCACCAGGTCCCTGACCAGCCGCAGCCGCCGGATGTCCCCGTAGCGGGAAAACACTTCCCGCAGTTTGTCCTCTTTGGTTTGCAGGTTCAGTCTGGCCACGAACAGGGTGAGGAGGGGGTCCCCGGTGACGCCCTTGTTGGGGACGTAGCGTGCCAGCATGGCCCTCCAGACGGCGCGGTCGTGAGGGTCCTCATCAGTGCCATCGATGCTGCCAGCCTTCAGCGGGTCGTACTCCTTGGCGATGGGCATCCAGTCATTCATGATCTAGGAGGGACAGAGGACGAGGACAGTGTGTGGCGCTGTCCTGGGGTCCCCATCCACCCCTCTGCTGTCACCGTGCGAGAGGGAGGGGGGGGACTAGTGGCCACCCAGCTGCTGAGTGGGGCAGGTGGTGTCCATGTGCAGACTGAAGCCAGGGGTCAGGACTGAGACTCCCTGACCCTTCCATGCCCCCTCATCCAGAATGACCACCACAGGACGCTGACACAGGCACTGTGACAGCCACGAGGAGCAAAGGCCAGGGGAACCTTAAAATGGTCCAGGGCCAAAAAAAATGGTCCAAGGCCTGAGGGTGCAGCCCCAGCCTGCAGCTAAAGACCAAAGAGACCCTTCTGTTACAGAATCACAGGCGCCTGCCAACGTGGAGGATGGGTCAGAAACGCTCTCTGGACCCCTCACCCAGCTCTAACGAGGACCAGCACACGTGTGGTCACAGCAGTTACCAGGTTACACTGAAAGAAATCAGTACATCACTTAGCCGTGGGTTTTTCCTTATGCGTCACTAAAAAATGAGGTTTTTTCTTTTTTTCTTTTTTTTTTTTTTTTTTTTTTTTTGAGATGGGGTTGGCTACAAAGATCATACTGATTGCAAACTCATAGCAATCCTGCCTCAACTTCCCGAGTGCTGTGATTCCACTCCACCTGGCTTACAAAATTTATTTGCAGACTACAAAGGATTGGCTGGGTGTGGTGGTGCACACCGGTGATCCTAGCACTTGGGAGGCTGAGGCAGGAGAACCACTGTGAGTTCCAGGCCAGCCTGGGCTACACTGTGAGATCTTGTCTCAAAAAAGAAACGTGAAGTAAAAAAAAGGCATAAAGAAACTACACAGGATGGTTCCTCATTCCTTGAATGTGCCCTGAGTCTCTGGCCCCAAGTCTTTCCTGAAAGTTTGCCAGCTGGGAACAGTCTCTTCCTTTCTCCTCCCAGATCTCTACTCCTGGAGGCTCCTGGTCCTTGCAAGGCCAGCCTCAGAGTTCTCCCCTGGGAACAACTGTGCCTGTCACAGCCCGAAGAGCCAGGAAACACTCCTCGGTGTGATGCCCCCAGATCTCAGGCCACTCCCTGCTGATAGCAGGGAATCCAACCAGCTCCCACCAAAATCCACAAACCATTTGTCCAAGTCAGAAAAAGAAGCCTTATTAGGAATCTGGTAAGCAGAACATCACACTGGCCGCCACCACTTTTTTTTTTTTTTTTTTAAGATGGGGCTGGGGGGGGACACACACTTATGTCAGTTTCTCCCTACCTACCCTGTCTCCTCTAGAGACAGTAGAAAAAGTAGAAAAAGAAAGGTAGAAAGTAGAAAGAAATCTCTTTCTACCAGGCCTCGAATCTTTGGTGTCTACTTTACTCCCCACCCCATCACAGGGCTGCAAAAGACTAGGACAGTGAAGGCTGGCTTCCCTGAGACTCCTGTCACCGCCCAGCAGTCCCATACCCGGGCACCACAACTCCTGTCTTTGGGATGAGGAAGGCTGGACACAAAATTGCTGCTTATTGCAACTGAGAACCAGCAGCTTGGTGGGCTTCAGAAGCTTTAGTGCCTATCATCTCCTCAGGTGGCCTTAATAAAGTAGACGGCTTTGGCTTTGAAGACAGGGACAGGAAATCCGCCAGGATTCAATCCTCAGCACCACACAAAGAAATTAGCCAGGCGTGGTGAGGTGCTTACACCTGTAATCCCTGCACTTGGAAGCCTGAGGCAGGACAATCACAAATCTGAGCCCAGCCCAAGCCACATAATGATTTAGCTAAGCCCCATCTCAAAATAAAAATTACCAGAAGGCTGGGGATGAAGGCCCCGAGTGCAAGTCCCAGCACGGAGGTAGATGGGTATTGAGCGTCAGGATTTTAACTATAAAAATGTAGCTAATAACAGATTGCAGAAAAAAAACATGTAGCTAAATGCCACTTCGCTGGATTTTTGTGAAGATCTGACTACCTACACAAGTACTTTATAAATTATTACCCTGCAAACACAGGATTTTGTTAAGTCTCTCCATACTACGTCTTTGGGAGGAGGCTTCCTCACGTTCCCCCTCAAGTGGGAACAAGACCAGCAACAAGGGCACTGCTGGCGCCTAGACCCTTTCGAGCATGCGCAGTGGCACCATCGAAGCAAAAGCGGAAGCCTGGGTTGGGTTCCTGCCCCTCTCCATCCCCACCCCCACTTCCACTTCCAAATGCAACCAAAGTCTGGGTAAGGGGCTAGATGGCCGACTCTTCCGACTCCTCGCTTTCTGGATGCGCGCAGGAAGGAAGGGCCATCCCTCCCGCTAGCTCTCTTCTCTGCTCCCCCAGCACAATCCCAGGGCTTCCCTTTGCCAGGTTTCAACATGGCGGCGCCCAGACGCGCGCGACCAGGCGGCGTCGCCGGCTTCCCCTGTATTCTCCCCGGCGAGGGCCCAGCTCCCTGCAAGTCGGTTTCACTCACGGCAGCACACGCGAGCACCTCTTCCCGTGGAGACGAGCCCTGCTCCGCGCGACGACGGCTTCCTCGGGCGGCCTCCACGAGACCACACATTGGAAGCGACAGATTCGCCACAGATGCTGGTTTGCGCTTTGCTTTGAAGCGGTCTAGTTACATGCCACGATCACCATGTGTTTCCCGAAGAAAATGAGCTTTCTGTTGTTTCTAATGTTTTAACAAAAACATGCTAACTTGAAAAGCTACGTTGCTACATTATCGAATGTGCGGTTCTCTGAACGCAGCTTAGATTGTGAGACGGGTTTTAATGATGCTGTGGCGGTTCACTTTAGATTCTTAGTTTCCCAGTTTTCTTAGCCTCCAGGCTTCATCACTTCACTTTCGCATGCAGCAGAACTGTACTTTCAAAGCGGGTTTAGCGTTTTGACTTTAGAATCGTCTGGGATTTCATTAAAATGCCATTTCCAAACCGGGCGTGGTGGCGCACGCCTGTAATCCCAGCACTCTGGAGGCTGAGACAAGAGGATCCTTGTGATTGGAGACCACCCTGGGTTACAAAGTGAGCTCAAGGCCAGTCTGAACTGTATAGAGACCCTGTCTCAAAAAGTTTTTTTTTTTTTTTTTTTTAAGCCATTGGGGCTGGGGATTTAGCTCAGCGGCATAAGCGCCTGCCTTGCAAGCAGGCAATCGTGAGTTCGATCCCTGGTACCGATAAAAAGGGAAAAAAAGACAAAAGCCATTTCCTTAGCTCTTCAAGGTGACCAAAATGTCTAGAACTCAGAATCTCTAAAAACTTGAAAGTAAAAAATTTGTAAGCCCCCAAATGATTTTTGAAGGATTCTGTTTTTTCGTGTTTTTTTTTTTTTTTTTTTCTTTTTTTATCGGTATCAGGGATCAAACTCAGGACTGCCTGCTTGCAAGGCAGGCGCTTATGCCGCTGAGCTAAATCCCCAGCCCCCTTTTGAAGGATTCTGCCATTAGAAGCCCAAATGTAATAAATATATGATTATCATGTATCAATTAAAAATAAAAATACATACTTAAAGCCCAAATTTAAAACTTGAGAGTGAAGGGGAAACCAGGAACTGCATGGTCCATAAATATCTGTAAAATGCATCGCACTTTATATTTCAGTTGTGTTAAGTGTTTTGTGTGTGTAAAGTTTTTGTTTCACAGCGCTAGAGATGGAATCTGTGGCCTCCATGTGCTAGGCAACAAATCTACCACAAAAGCAAACCACACCTCCAGCCTCTACAGAATCAAACTCAGGAGCTTGTGCTTGCCAAGCAGGCACTGTGCCACTGAGCTCCAACCCCAACCCTGTGCTTAAATGTTTTGTTTTGTACTGAAGGTCGAATTTACAACCTCATGCTTGCCAGGTAGACTCATGTGCCACTGAGCTACATCCCCAGCCCACCCTGTGCTTAAATTTTTATTTATTCATTTCTTTATTGAGCCAGATTGGCCTTGAACTCACAGCAGTCCCCTTGCCTAACCTCCTATGGACTGTGATTACAGGCGTATGTCACCAGGACCAGCATACGCTCATGTTTTATTTTGAGACAAGATCTCACGATGTAGACCAGGCTGGCCTTGAACTCTCTATGCAGCCCAGGTTGGCTTTGAACCCAAGGGAATCCTCCTGCTTCTGTGTCCTGAGTCCTAGGTGCGCACCACCGCACCTGGCAATATGCTTAAATTTCCTTAGCAGCTGCACTATTTTACACCCCGCCACAGCGGTGTACAAGGGTCTCATTTCTTCCGCAGTCTCAGCACCTGTTAATCTTTTTTCCTTTAAATAACAGCCAGCTGGAGCAGAGTGCATATTGAGCATCCCTGAGGCCCTGAGCACTGTGAGTTCCAGGCACAAAAAAGAAGAGAGAGATGAGGCGCAAAAAAGACCCTTCCCGGGCTCCTCCCTCCTCCTGGAAGGTCTGTTCTGCACCATGAAACATTTACACAAACATTTCCCAAATCCAGCACACTTGGGGGAGCTTTAGCCCCTTCACCCTCCTCCATGTGCCCCCCACCCAGTGCCCCTAGTCAACCTAAGTGGGAAGGTGGAAAACAAAAGCTTCTCCTGTGCAGCTGAACTGGAAACATGGTACACAGGATCTCAGCCTTTCTGCAGACACATTCCTCAAGGAAAAGGACACAGAAACTGAGTGTGGAGGTGAAGGATTGTAATTCCAGAACTCTAGGAGGCTGAGGCAGGAGGGTGGCAAGTCTAAGTCACACCTGAGACTTCAAGAGATCCAGTCTCAACATAAAAAGGGCTGGGGATATAGCTCAGTGCAAAGGACCTAGGTGCAATCCCAATAGCAGAACCAGGCATGGTGGTAGGCATTCTTGGAATCTCAGCACTATGGAGGCTGAGGCAGGAAGATTGCTACAAATTCAAAACCAGCCTGGACCACATAGTGAGTTCAAGGCTCGTTTGAGTACATATAGGGGCCCTGTCTCAAGAAACAAACAAAAATCCTGAGTACAGTCTGGGGATTTAACTCAGTGGCATACGCACCTGCCTGGCAAGTGTGAGGTCTTGAGTTCAATCCCAAGTACCAAAAGACCAAAAAAAAAAAAAAAAATCCTGTGTACAAAAATAAAATAAAATACTAAACTCCTAAAGACTAAAGACAAAACCATTCACCCGGAATTGCTGGCATAGAAGCCAGCCTGCGAAATCTCCAAAATTCTTACTATCTTCATGTGCAGTTGAAGAACTAAACCAGGTGCACAGAGAGGAGGCCAGGAAGCGAGCCGTCCTGAGTGCACCATCAGGAAATGAATGGCGCCCCATGACATAGGCCCCAGAGACCTGCCAGTGGAGCTCACCTGTTGTGGCTCTGTCAGTCAGAGTTTTACTAGAGGAAACAGATAAAACACAACAGGAACAAACGTAAGTAGGAAATACAAGACTGGCTTACGATGGTCAGCCACAGAGCCGGCTGAGGAGGCCGAAGGATCCAATCCAAGGTCTGGAGTTGGTGGAGCTTTCCGGTGCAAGCCTGCACCAGGAGGCCAAAGGGTCTATGCCGGGAGGCTGAAGGATCCGGGCAGAAGCTGAAGAGTCTGCGCTGGCAGCCAGACCAAAGGAGAAGACTGGACCCCTCCAGAGACGGAACCCTCATCCATCCTTCCTCTTCCCGTTTATACGATCCAGGTGCTGAGCCACCCTAGGGCGGATCTTCTACACCCTAGGGTGTAGAATCGCTTAACCAATTTAGTCTAAATTGATCTAAATGTCTCAGTTTGACACAATCAACAGTGGCCCTGATCCCCAGGTCCCTATAGGTCCTTTTTGGGGGAGGAACTGGGGATCGAACTCATAACCTTGCTCTTCACCAGGCAAGTACTTGAGCTACTGAGCTGAGTCCCCAGTCCCATACATGTCCATTTTTATTACATGTGAACCCACCCACTTACTTCTGTTTTCCATTTCATTCCTTGCCTACCTGTGTTAACTGTGAAAGAAAAAAAATTTTTTTTGTCTTTCTGAGACAGGGTCTCACTGTGCAGTTCAGGTTGGCCTTGAGCTCACTTTGTGGCCCAGACTGGTCTCAAACTCACAACGATCCTCCTGCCTCAGCCTCCAGAGTGCTGGGATAACAGGCCTGTGCAAGAACACCCAGCATGGGCATTTGGATCAGTCCATGCTTACTAGAGAAAACAGATTTAATGTGTGATATACAAACTGTTGGGCTTGCTGTTTGGGGGCTGAGACGAGGGGATGGAGGCCACGGCTGAGAGGTGTGCAGCCTCCGTGGAAACTCCTAGAGGGAAGGTGTCTGGTGTGTGGGGGGGAGATATCCTGCTTGGTCCCAGCCCCATCCCTCAGCGGTGGGCAGTGTCTGGTGGTGTCACCGTTCTCCTGTGAGCGCCCGGGGGTGATGCCTGCCAGGGTGCTGGCCCTGGGGTGGGGTGGTGACAGGCAGCAGCTCCTGTTGTGTTATGGGGTCGCTGGGTGTTTGGTGTCCCCTACAGTGGATGACCCCTGCTCAGGAGGGCTGCTTTTATTTTATTATTATTTGTCTTTTTCCTTTTTATCGGTACCAGGGATCGAACTCATGACTGCCTGCTTGCAAGGCAGGTGCTTATGCTGCTGAGCTAAATCCCCAGCCTCAGGAGGGTTGCTTTTAGGAGAGCCTTTGTTAACCTGAAATCTGTGATTGCAGCCTCCCCTGGCAATGATGAGGACTTCCCTTTCCGGGAAAGCATACTTTGAATCCGGGAAACTGTTGGCCACTCTCCCGCTGCCAGGGTAAGGGCTCGGCAGGGCTGAGTCCAGTCTGTTGGGAGGGGGTACTGGAGGAAGGAAGGGCTTGGGCCTCAATCACTGCCATCCTGCTCTGGAAGGCGAGGTGGCTGTGCCCACATAGGGGCGCCCATCTAGGAGTCAAGGGTGGCATGGTGCCAGGATGGGGACACACAAGGTAGGAAAGAAACAGGACAAGTGTTGATAACCAAGGAAGCCTGGGAAATGTGTGATTCGGTCACGTATTTGTCAGCAGAGAAGTCAGCAGCATTCTGTCAGCAGAGAAGTGGGGGCATCTTTAAGGGTCTGGGTAGGGTGACGTGAACCCCCCAACAGAAGTTTCAGCCAGAAGCAGCTGTCTGGCCTAGGAGGGGCGAGTGGACTGGTTGCCCCCGTATCAGTTAAGAATGAAACGGCCTCCCTTCCACCATAAGACTTACCCAGTGTTCGGTGGCTGTGACGGTCCAGGGGGGCTTCTGAGACCCCTGGGCACGTCAGTCACCCACGAACCAGTCGATTACATTGGAAAGAACTGAAATGCCCGGTGGGGCACCCTGGAGGGGACCCCTGCAGCAAGCCTGGTTGCCGAGGGACAGTCTGACCTCAGTGAGGGCCCCCGAGGTGGGACATGGCTTGGAGGGGGTCTGGGAGGAGGGCACTGCTTGGCCCAGTGGCCTGACCATTGGCACTTGAAGCGGAGTCCTGGGGGGACAGTTCCCCTTTCTGCCTCTTTGGATTTATTGTTAGCAGTGGGTTTAGGTTTTGGTTTTGTATGGAGTCAGCCTGTAAGTAGAGGTCAGAGGTATATCGCTGTTGGGCAGCCCTGTCTCGGTTACTATAGACTGAAAAGGCCTGGGAGATTGGGGCTGGGGATTTAGCTCAGCAGCATAAGCACCTGCCTTGCAAGCAGGCAGTCCCCGGTATCGATAAAAAGGAAAAAGACAAAAAC